AAGCTTTTTCGATAGCATTTACTTCAAAATCAGCTTTTGTCAGCTTTACACTCTCGTTTTTCCTACTGTTTAACACAAACCCCAGCCAGTTTCGAAACACCAAGGATATAAGAGTTTTTCTAGTTTTTAGTCTCTTTTTAGTCTCTCCCCTTCCCTCTTCCCCGTCCCTTTTGACTCTTTTTGACCAGAAACTTTCGCCGAAAATCTCTCTTTACTCTCAGTCTTTGATCAATCTATTTGCAATCATTTTGCATCTGAAAAATCCTCTGAAAATGTTTTGCATATAAAGCCACTTTTCATTTGTAAAAATTTTCATCATCTTTCCGTTATCCCCTTTCATTTTTCCTTCCACGTGAAAAGCCATTGTTCCTTTTTTTTTCTCCTGGATCTGTCCTATAAATTTTGCACTTTTTGCATTTCCTTTTTAACCCATTCTTCTTGAAACTCAAAACTAAGTAACTTTGTACATTTCTTGTTTTTTTGTTAAACTTATTATTTAAAAGCTACAGTACTGTCATCTGATCTAACTTGTCTCAACTCTAAATCAAAGACTTTCACTTTCACTTTCACTTTCAAAAATTTTCTCTTTTTAACTTTTAGCAAATTTATTTCCAATTTATCCATTAATTTTACCATTTTCAGAAACCCTACTACTTTATCACTAAGAAAATGATCGTCGATCCGCCAATGCCCGATCGTCCCTGAGGATCTCGACATGTACTACAGAAGAACACCAATCTTCCACAAATTCGATCTGCGCTTTCTGAACACCAGAATACAAAACACAACCGCCGAACCGTCGTTTACAGGTGATTATTGTGAAAAAGAAAAGCGTTATGGGTTCAAATGGCTGCTGTAAGACTAGTAGTAGGGTGCTGAATGGAAACATAAGCTTTCTACGGCACTGATCAGTTTAAAGCTTAAAGTGTATAAGTGTAAATTGAGAAAGTGTACAAGAAAGGATTTAAAATACGAATACAAAAGATAGAAATTGGTAGATTTCGTTGAAAAAGAAACTTACAAAGCAATCTATTTACATAAACGATTCTCTAGCTTAGCCTAAAATGCCTTTTTTAAGATCTCTGGTCACATTCTCTCAAATTCATTCAATCGTTTCCACTCTTTCAATAAATCATTTATTTTATTACAGATCGTTTCCGGCTTTCCGTTCAAAGTTTTATGCCTTCAAAACCGGATTCTCTAATGAATCGCCTTCGCGACTCCACCCAGCATTTCTTCAGTCAGCAATTGATACGAGCCACCGTATTCCAGCACACATTCAGCCGGATATTCACCCAACAAATGCTGAATTTCACGTAATAAAAACCCATTTTTCTATTTATCCTAGTTTCGTTAGTTCTTTTTTTTTTTGTGTGCAAATACCCATGTCTTACGCGTTTTTTGTCTTTTTTTTTATTACGAGCTTCAAACTCTGATCTCACTTGCTTTTCCGGGGCTTTACTTGACATAATCATCTCATTTTCACAAAATCTCGCATTATTTGCAATTTCTTTCATTCATTTTTTTCCCAATTTGTGCCAATTGATCCAAATAGTGCGGGTTAATCTATCATTTTGCATTTCATTACAATTTTTCTTAATCTTTTTTTGTTGGGAGCTTTATAAACCTTTATTCATTGCACCTGTTTGTAAATATAAAGGCCAAAGTTTTAAAGTTGAAAAAAGTTTTAAATAAAAAGTTTTTTGATTGGTTTTAGTGAACAAAGAGCAAAATATTTGATTAATTAAAGGTCAACTTTTAGGAAAAAATTGAAGATTATAGTTTCTGGTTTCTGAAAATCAAAATGATCTTTGACTTGCTTGATCGGTCTTTTTTCTTAAAAGTTAACAATGGTACTTTGTTTATTGTAAACTCCAAATTCCAAAAAATCTTTGACTTACTTGGCGAACTTTTCCAGATACAAAGATCAATACAAAAGTAAAGAATAAGTATTGTTAAGGTTTTCGGGTACCGCAAAAACTCTAATAGGACAGCTCCCTATAGGACGTCGCGTAGTCTAAGTTTACTCTCAAACAAACGCTCAAATCTCGACATCGGTACGTTGTTTCCGTGCGCTTTGGTATCAAATTAAGTAGAGAGAATGGGTGATTTTTTGAGATATAACACATATTTTTAACTTTAACCAGTGCTTAGAAAAACTGACTGAAAAGTAACAAAAAGAGCGAATTTTCGCCGATTTTCAATCATTTTTTCTAAGCACTGGTTAAAGTTAAAAATTTGTGGTATATCTCAAAAATCACCCATTCTCTCTACTTTAATTTGATACCAAAGCGCACAGAAACAAACGTACCGATGTCGAGATTTGAGCGTTTGTTTGAGAGCAAACTTAGACTACGTGACGCTCCTATAGGGAGCTCTCCTATTAGAGTTTTTACGGTACTTGAAAAACCGCTCATAGTACGTCTAGATGAAAAATATTCGCCGATAACTTCGAATGTTTTGTTTCAACTAAAAATTAGAAAATTCAACATTAACTCAGTGGAAAATTAGTGAAAATGACTTAACGACTTTACTGTACAGGGTGCGGCATAAGTATGGCATTACAAGGTTGTAACATTGATTTAAGAAACCGATTGATTTTTATTTCTTGCCAAAGGATTATTTTTCTTAATTTGAATGCTTTTATATAATGTAGCAGTTTTTAAGCAAATTTTTAGGGTTTGGACATAATGGTAAGGCTTCTTCCAACCGTGCCGCTATTCTTCAGCTTGGAGCACAAGGACGATCAACTTCGGATTTTGCCAAACTGTTGAAAATGCATCGAATGACGGTATACTGCATTCTGCAACAAAATAGAGTGGAAGAGCTTCTTAAAACTGGTGTCCACCAAAAATTGATCACACGAGACTCAAGAAAATCATTAAGAAACGAATCAAGCGCAATACTGCCCGGAGCATGAGAAAATGGCTCCCAATTGAATGTTTCTGATAGAACTATCCGTCGTATCGTCAAAAAGGATTTGGGTCTTCACCCTTACAAGTTAAGGAAGCATAACGACGGATCTTCAAATGAGAAACAGGAAGCAAAATGTGCTCTTTTCTTGCAAGGGCCGCAAATGATGAGCATCTGACGACGCTTTTTACCGACGAGGAATTATTCAACATTGAGCAAGTTTTCAACTCTCAAAATGATCGAATTTTTGGCTCACAGCCCTCAAGAAGCAAATAAAAGTGGCCGTTTTGTGGACAGGAACTGACATCCAGCAGGAGTCATGTTTTTTGCAGGGTGTCAGCAACTGGTCGCACGCCGTTGATTTTCGTTGATAAAGGGCTGGGAATTAACACAGACGCGTATCTGGACGTTCTCACAAAACATATACAGCGGTGGAGTCAAGGACATTATCAAAATCAGCGCTGGACGTTGATGCAAGACGGCGCCCCAGCGCACAAAGCAAAAAAGTCTCAAGAGTGGAGTCGAAACAATTTGCCCGACTTCATTCCCGCCAATGAATGGCCAGCTAATTCGCCCGATCTCGATGCTATGGATTTCTTGTGTTTGGGCAATTTTGGAGCAAAAGCACGCACAACAAAACATGCAAACGTTGAAAGTCTGAAAAAGGCTCTGAAGAAAGCTTGGGCGGAAATTCCACAAAAGTACCCTGCGGGCCGCCGTGGAAAGTTATCCAAAGCGTCTTAAAGCCGTTATCAAGAATAAAGTGCCCATATCGAATAATTTGTTATTTTTTACATGAATATGATTACTCTTGTTCATTTTAAATAAAGTTTTATGAATCCGTTCATATTTCATTTACGATACACGGTTCTGAGTCTGTAACCATACTTATGCCGCACCCTGTACTGTTTACTCACAAAACTTCATCAGAAATAGAAAAATGTTCTTTTATATGATTCTTTCGTAATTCCAGCTTTTCTACGATCCTTTCATTGATTCAATTTACTTTTTTTTGAAACTTAACAATAAACTTTTGCATAAAGCTTGCATTCTTTCTTCTAAGGCTTCGTGCTTAAGCAATATGATAGATTCAATTCGAATCTATTAGGTTGTTCAGATATAAACAAGCGTTGCTAAACTTATTGTTGTGAGAGAAGCTTTTAAAATATGTCTTTCTGTATTTAAAAAGTACGTTATTTTGTGCATATTTGGAATCTCTTTAACGGATAATTTCTTATTTTTAAGATCTTTTTCTTGCTTTAGATGACCGACTTCAAATATATCAATTCTGCCTACTTTACGACTTCAAACGGGGCAAACCAGTAGCGGAATCCCATTGAGATTGGTCAAAGCATTTGGGAATGATGTTTTCTTTTCTGTTTTGTCCGAAAGCCGATGCCGAGCCTGGTTCCAACGCTTTCGAAACGGTGATGAAAGACTCGAGGATCATGAACACTCTCGTCGACCTCAGGCGGTAGACAACGATATTTTGAGGGCTGCGATCGAATCGGATCCATGTCAAACGACGCGTGAACTTGCTCAACAGTTTCTATGTTCTTAAATAAACAATTTCTCTTGTTCAAGATTGATTTAATTTGCATTTAAACCAACTTCACCTTTTTGTTAACAATCTTTATTCCGAGCCACGCCCGCTTCTTTCAACAATCATTTCCTAGAATGCCATATAAAAATTCAACAAAAATCATCAGACAGAGAAAAGACAATGCAAATTTTATCAATCAACAGTAAAGCTGACCTGTATCAAGTAGGTTTTGGGTAAATATCACAGAACAATTCGAACAAAATAAGTACCTATGCGAGCTACCAGATTCACGGAAATCTGATCTCCATCCTAGACGAAAACAAAAATTGTTTAAAGCCGTATTTTCTTTTTCTTGAGATCAAAACAACAGTATGCAAAACTCCACACAAAATATGGAGATCAAAGAGGTGAGAAAGTTTAGGGGAAATTTGAATAACCTAGATTTATTATGGCCGGGGAACGGTCAGCGGACGAGTGAGGGAGAGGCACCGGAACAAGGGTGAATCGAGGGAATCAAAAATCCTAGTTTTACTTTCTAGTGCTAGACTAGAAGCTTTGATGATAGTTGCGTTGAGAAAAGCGACATTTTCTTCACCATTGAGTGCATTGTTGAAGATTTGGTTTGGGTAACTGGACGAAGACAGCGTTGAGCCTCGTGCGAGCACTTGGCTTGTCGGACAGCCAGAGAGATATCTGAAATTTGGGAAATTAGGAAGTAAAGAGAAGGTTGAAGTGTTTTTATGTATCTAACACCGTAGTATTCATATTACCGTATTATGTCCATTAAAATGGACCTGGACTTGAAACTAGACCTGTGTCTGGACATGGACTTGGATCTGGACCTACGTCTGGATCTGGACTGGACCTGGACCTGTGTCTGGACCTGGACTTGGATCTGGACTTGGGTCTGGACCATGAGAATCTACAGATCTCCAAGGTAGGTTTCAAGAACTTCTTGAGTTATAGCCCTAAACCCAAGCTTAACTAGAAAAGCTGACCATTAGGACCTGACGCTAAAGGACGGGCCGCTTCAAATGCTCAAACTCAACCCTTTCCAGTACTTGGCTTATCCTACTTAACCTACTTTTAAGTCTGCCTATCTACTACCTCCAAGCTGCTTTAAGTCAATCTTTTTAACTAACCTCAAAAAAAACTCACCAATTTTGCTTTCTGGCAATTTGGTCATTGTTAATCCCAAACTGGGAAGTGTCGTCAACGACTTGGGTAACAAGGTAGCCGAGTAAACGGAGAAAAGTGGCCTTGCCGGCTTTGACAGTAACAAATCCGCCTCATCGGGCATCGGGAATTCGGGAATCATTTCTAATAGAGAAGATTCAGTGTTTAGCCGCCGCCCTTTGGAAGAGCTGCGGGAAAAGTGGCGATCAGGGCGGAGTTCTCTTCACATGAAGCCATCCCACAGAGGGGCGGGTCAAATGGAAAAAGATTGAGAACACAGCACACACAAATTGCATCCACTGTTACATGCTTTTTCTTTTTTTTCTTTTCATAACTCACTCAAAAATTTGTGCAGCTGAAAGGTGATTGGAGAAAGGAATTTGTGATCTTTAGGATCCGGGATTACGTAAAGGCATATTTGTCTTTTATATTGAACTTTTCGAAAAAGTTAGTTACAAGCTAACTACTGGACAATGAAATACTCATATTTGAAAAGATCGTCCTTTCGCGCGTCTGTAACTCCCTTGTCTTTACCGTATTTCTAAATATTAATATTACCATTGTGTAGCGCTTGAAAAGAGCTTTTTAGAAAATGCATAGCACTAATAGTTTAAACTCAAAGACAAGGGAGTTATAGATGCGCGAAAGTGACGATCGTTTTTCAAATATGATATTTCATTGTCCAGTACTGTACATACCGTATTCTCTCTAATAGTAGTGCACCCCGAGCGTTGCCTAATTTGCCGAAATTGCTCGAAAACCGCTTATCGCAACCTATCGATGTGGGAAAATGTAGCTAATGGTGAGATCTTGTGGGGGATTAAAGTGTCGAGCTTCTGTGAAAACTTTGAAAGCTGTAAAATAGTCATCAACTCGGCTCGCCGGGATGCACTACTATTAGAGAGAATACGGTATTTTTCGTGTTGAGCAAGCAAATAGGCCTAAACTGAGTCACATATAGTTTGTCAAACAATTGACTAAAGTGCAGATGTTGAAGTTCATCTAAAATACTTTCAACTCTTGTACTCTAGTTAAGAATTTGGTGAAAAATTAATTTCAAATCTCTATCAAGATTAGCTTTTATAAACCCAATCTATATTAGCTTTTCTTGATTATAATGATTCAATTTTAGTTGTAAAACCTGTAAGTTTAATTCAATTTTAGTTGTAAAATTTTTAAATTTAACTCAAGTACAAGAGTTGAAAGTATTTTTGATGAACTTCAACATCTATTCAATTGTTTGACAAAACCTGTAAGTTCTTTAATTCCATTTTAGTTGTAAAACCTGCCACTTACCAAATCTTCGACTTCAATTGGTCAAATTTCAACAAACTTTGACAATAATTCAAGTGTTTTTTTTTTGAGCTAAATTCAATTTTTTGAATTAAACCCTAATAAGTGTTCATTGTTGGTTCAAGCAGTGACATCACTTGCCTAAACCTAACCAATGACAAGCCACACAAAACCACATAAAGCATGCGATTTGTAAACGTCACACCCACACCCAATTACATCTCTGTCTACTCTTTTCCTATCCACTTCAATTTACTGTAGACGCTAATTCCGGAAACGGAAGGATGACCTCATAAATCTCATCTCCAAAACGAGGTGTCTTGTTTGCTTTGTGACGAGAAAGGGTGGGGACCTTTCCGCTTTCCAGAAAAGGACATGACAACACTATTCGTGACCACTTTCGCTTTCCCTTCCTCTTCTTCTTTCTTCAGCTCCACCCTCACTCAAACAGCTGTTTCTTCTGGGTACAATTCGGAATCATCTGAATGATTACATCATCGAATGATTCAAGAATACGAAACTACGATTTCTTTCGACTTTTTTTTTGCATCCCAAGGTTGTTCATCGTTTTCGTCATCGCTTAGGTGTGAAAACATCGATTCGACACCGATAACAAAATCGAACGATCATGAGAAATTCTCTGAATCACAAGAAAACATCAAAATGAATCAGAAACAAGGACTTTGACCCGGCTGATTTCTATTTTTTGAGACGATGAAAATTTGATATTTCAACAATCTCCAGTTCTCAAAGGATTTAAAATTCAATGTCCAGAATACACAGCTCTATAGTCAAATCTTAAGTCCTATGCCATATTTCGCCTCAGACCTGATATTAGCTATATTATAGCTCTCGTAACCAGGCCCTTGCTCTCAGATAACTTTAAAGTAATGGGGCTGAAGTCCGAGTAACGAATCAAGTCTCATAGTCAGGTTCAAACTCTTCAATATTTTGCTCCACCATCCAAGGTTTCAGCATATTATATCCAGCTTCTAGAATCTAGAAATTGACTCTGAGTAAAGTCTCTTATCAGTAGCTCAACTTAATCATTTGTAAGTTTGATAACCCTTTATTTACAAATCAAGAAATTTCCTATGCTCAATCAGCTTCTTTTCATCTTTTGCAGACTTTCAAATTTCCCAATGAACAGAAATTTCCAAAGATCAAAATCTGCAGAATTCATCTGAGGAAAAGGAAATGAAAAACATTTTTTTTCTGAGAATTCAAATCGAAAAAGCCGTTAAAAAAAATGGGTGGGGCGAAAAATGAAAAGGAAAAAGAGATAGATTCTCAGCGCTTATCACCCTGTAAATCTTTATAAAAGAAAAGAAAACGAAATTCCTTTTTCTTCAAATCGATTCGATGACATCGAAACGCCGGGACAACCACAGAGAGCGAACAAAATCCAGTTAAAAAAAAACCAAGACAAAGCATAAGTTGAACCCAAGAAAATTTCGTCAAGATCACCTCATTAACAAAATACAAAAGTTTTCCAAGCGAATTTTCTTCACTGATAAGGGTTCACACGTGAAATCGTGAAGCTGGGGTTTTGAGTGACCAAAGCTTTCTCAATTCCAAACCTTTTGTTGTATCACTTTGAATCTTGAAGCTGAAGCTGTGACAAGTGCATTTTTTTCCAGAAATTCTTGGATGATAAGCACAGAAATAGATTTAGTAAACTTTATGTTGACAGTGGAAATTTGTGAGGGGAATACTTTGAATCTTGTAGTCGAAGCGCTCTTTGTAAAATGATTGTAAGCCAAGGAAAACAGGGAAAGTGAATAATTCGGATCAACATTTTGTTTGTAAATGGAAATTTTAAGCAAGCTTAGTTAAACAGTAACCTTTCTACAGTACTAAAATAGGTCAAAATTAAAAAAATACTTAGCCAAACTATTGTCGGTAAGTATGGACTGTTCTTAAGACAAGAAATTATAAGGCACATCAAAGCCATTTCAAATCTAGTCTGGCTAAAATTAAGGTTAGATCAACATATCTATCAAGAAATGGTCTGCATTTCAAGGAATTCAAAACCACTTTGTTTTTCCTTTTTTCTTCGAGTTACTCCTCGATTTTTGATCAACCCAATCTCGCCCATTTTCTTTTGTTTGATAGCAGGAACGCTAACAAGTGCTCTCCTTTTTAGTTCCTCGTTCGTACCTACACATTGCTTCCAAATTTTGCCTCTTAATCCTTTTTGCGTCAGTTCGCGATCACCCTATTGCAAGATTTTCATTGAAAGTTGTCAATTTTTTAAAAAAAAGACCGGAAAAGAGTTCAAAGATAGAGTAAAAAAGCGCGGTGGCGAGACGCGACGCTATTTCGAAATCTGTCGAATTTCTAAATCTCTTTTTCCTAGACTACTAGATTGATTCAGAAATTGGGGAAACCCTAGTGATAACGCCAATATTGCGCAAATTGCTGATTGCAGAGAAATTCCAGCTTTCGTTGAGGTAATCAAGGGGTTTCCGGGGATATCACTGGGGTGGTTGAAGCTGAAAATTATATTGATAATGTAGGATTATTATGGAAAGTTCAACTTTTTTCAACATGCCAAAATATAAAATTGGTAGTTGTACAGGCTTGCTAGCTAACAGCCGCACAATTAAAAGTGTCTTTAACGAGACTCAAAAAATATAAAACAGTATCATTACTGTACTGCCTAAGCCTTAAAGTCTCATGTCCTTGGTTTTTAAGCTTTTAAACTCTAATTGTATTAAAGTTACGTCAAATACTTTAAACGGTATTTCATTTTTTGAATTCTTTTCGATTTGTGCTTTCTGGATTTGATTTAAAAATGATAAATTTTTCCGTCAATCACGCTTCGACATTTCGCCCATCAATTTTCATCATTCGATTTGCAAAGTAAGAAAAAAACTGCGTCACTATCAACCTTATAGAAATTCCAAAGCGATTAAAAAGCAAGTGCTGATTTTCCCCATTGAGCTTACTCCAAACGCGCTCGTCATTCCTATCTGCAACTGGATTTTCACCCAAAAGTAAGCATTATTTGAACCTATCGTTTTTCCCTTGCCTTTTCCTTTGTCTTTGCCTTTGTGACAGAAAAGTTTTCAAATTTTAGAGTTCAAATGATTTATCATTTCTGTCTCTTCTCCCCATTTCTTATGCCAATCAGCTCAGAAACGCACTCAAATATTTGGCGCCACTCCAATCTCGAAAATCTGACTCACCGATCGACCAATCGGCGCCGTTCTTCTTTTGAAAAAGTGTGCCACGTGGACATGGGAACTGGGGAATTTGAAAGTTTAGGAAAATTGAATTTTCAGAAGCTTTATCAGGATAAACATTTGCTTGTGATGACAGAGCTTGAACTGTTATAGAAATCATTATAGAAACACTATTATATTAGGTTGATGCAAAAGTCTTTTTTCATTTTTTTCGTACTTCCGTTAAAAAGTACAAAATAAATGCGTAACAATTGAACAACGGTTTATTGCATTCGAAAGGCCAATTATTTTTCTGCAAATTACTAGAAAACGAGTTTAAAATGTCTTATGTCTAGATTTTTTTGAGTGCCTGAAGTCGGGTAGTCAAAAAAGGCGACGGCTCGATGATGTTTTATACGACGCTTTAGCTAAGGAAACCAATCTTGATGTTAATAAATTAAAGATGGAGCACAAAAAGTTAGATATTTTTGAAGATTTTCAGAGGAAATTACACCAGCCAATTTCTTTATAGAGGTTTTTATTGATTTTTATGAAAAACCTGTTTTCATTCTCGAATTTGCTTGAAAGTGAACCCAAATTGACTTGAAAAGATGGGAAATTGAACAATAAACACTTTTCATTTAGAGCAAACCATAGGTTAATTGATGACTTTGTTATTTTTCAAAAGAAGTACGTAAAAAATGAAAAAGACTTTTGCATCAACCTAATAGGAAATCAAAAACTAAAACCCAAAACTGCAGAAATGGGAACTGGGTTATTTGAAAGTTTGAAAGCTACATGGGAACTGGGAAATGGAAAGTCTAGAAAATTTGAATTCTCAGAAGCTTTAACTTATGATATGGGATAAACATTTGCTTGTGATGACAGAGCTTGAAGCGAGCAATACTATTATAGAAATTGTAAACTAAACCCATACCGTAAGAAACTGGTGAAAATTTAAACTGCACCAAACCTTAAACTTTGGAGTTGAACATATTAGTGCTATAGATTTAATTTCAAACTGAATTTGAAAACCTTCAAATAAATATGGGAGATCAAAATGAAACCAATCTATAATTTCTCGTCTTTCTTCGTAAAAAAAGCTCCACGTGGACCAAAGTCGGATTGCTCACCATATGTCAAATTCACGTGAATGGGTTTCAATCTTGATTTAGATTTTGTAAAATGTTTTGAAAAGAAAACCAATTTTTTTTCTCAATGTTGGCTTTGTAAACATCGGCAGAGTAGGACTGACGAATGTGGGATTTTGAAAATTTTTGTAATCAAAATTTGTTTAAAAACTGATTTCGGGTTGCAATTGGCAGCTGGAAGCTTCTGAAAGTCTGAGTATTATAAAATTCTGTACTAAAATTCTAATTTCACTACACAAACAATTCCAGATCAGTTTTCGATTTCCGATCACAACTAGTCGAGCTGTGTTTTGTAGAGATTTCTGGTTGAAGCGTCACTTCGTCATCACCCTTTTTTTTCATCAAAATTCAATCATAACCACCGGGCTTTTTGCGGTCAATTTCGACTAAAAAAAACGCTTATTTGTTCAACGCCTGCACAGTTGTTTTCCTTCTCTTGGCCATCCTTCCCTGCAATTGCACAAGAAAAAGTGTATTTTGGTAAAAGCCAACGTTACGTGTACGTTATTCAGTTGCTAGGAAAGGGACGAATTTGAGAAAAGACACTTCGGGACGAATTCTGGAATTTGAAATGGTGCTTGTAAACAAATACAAAAAAATAGTTTATGATCTTGGGGACTTTCAATAAAAGGTAATATTGAGTGTAATCCAAAATAGTTCAAACAAATCCAACTCTATTAGCTATCTTCGGCTTTTTCTCTCGAGTTACAACTGAGTTCTCATTTTTTGATTCCGACATAAGCGGCAACGCCCAAGACTTTCCCATTTTCGCATGCGTTTATCGTTTTTTGTGTTCTCAAAAACGTGTAATTTCAAATTAGAGAATTTCTCTCTCATATTGTAAAGCAGAGATAATATCGTGACATTTGTCATTTAAAGAAAATTAGCGACAAGACAAGCAATCAGCTCTCGGGAAGAGACGTTCAGCTACGTATAACGAGGTGAAACTTAACTAAAAACTAAAAACTTCAAAACTAAAAGATTGGGAGCTCTTCCTGGGAATAATTTTGAAATGTTTAGATTGATTGAAATCATTGAAAGTTCCGATACTGGAGATTACAAGATTCTACAGGTTTTGCTCAAAACGGTTTAGTTTTTTTCTTCTAAGCCTTCACCCTGACGCCTGCCAGCCGGCAAACCAAGCTAAACTCTCTCCGGAGGTCATAATTGTGATAAGACGTGTGTCAAGTCCTTATTTTTACAGCCTTTTCCTTGTTTTACATGTGGTTCTTGTAATGGAAATGGTGAAATGAACATAAAAATCCGGGTTTCGGGGCAAAGTTTGAGTGAAAGCTGAAGAATAGTTTCGTTTTTATTTCGTAAATAATTTCGTGGGATTCAGCTGAAAATATTTTTATTCAAGTCATTTACTGACAACCAGTATGATCAAATACAAAGTAAAGAGTGCGGCATATGTATTGTTGCGCTTACTCCATCTTTTTGGCTTTCTAAGACAATACATTAAGCTAAGCTGAAAAAAAAACAATTACTCATAAAATCTAGGCGTTGTTTTACAGAAAAATAGAAGAACCATCACATTTTTTAATGACTTTGACAACCCTAACCGAGCAATACAAAAAATGTTATGCTGAAGTGCTGAAAAACAGTTAAATTCGAGTTTGTGGTCTCTAAAAATCATCTTTTTCCGTTTTTTTCTGCATTAATACCTTTTTAGAGTTATTTACTATAAAAATAATGCTTTTTGAGCTTCATTATTGCAAATCTGAGTTTACCTTGGCTAACGAAAATGATATTTTTGAGATTTCATTTTTTCGAGAACAGCAATCACGTTTAAATTAAAGTCTTTTATGAAAAGAGTGAAGTTTTAAATTTTTACACAAACTAAATATAGTGAAAAAATCTCCGTAGATTTTAAATATCTAAACGAAAAACTGTCAACTCTTTTGGTTTTTGAGGAAATCATCCTTTTGTAGAGCGCAACACTATATACGTCACACCCCGTAAAAGCAAGAACCGTAACAGATTACTGTATCACAAATGAAATTTTCAACTAAAATAAATAAGTTAATGGGTTAAAATATAAAAGTCAATTACTTGAAATAGGTAAAGCTTGAATGTTGTGTGATAAAGTACGACAAGAAATCTGACAATGATATGGCACTTATAAGTGTTAGACCTGCACAACGAAGTGTACTTTGTGCTCAAAAATAGAAACACAGGCCTTCTGGGGCTTCTGGGACTGTTAGTTTCGTTGAAAATTAAAATATAGTCACAGTCTCAAGTGTGTTTTTGAATTTGAGCACAAAGTACACATAAGTTATTAAATAAAAGATACAAAAAAATTATCCTTTGTGAACGATTCGATGAATCACGCAATCGCCTTTAACCGTCAGCAAATTGATATCGGTCGGTTGATTCTGATTGCGAAAAGCGAATTGAATATAGGGAGCTCCGTTGAGGTCAACCTGAAATGAGAAACGTTTCCTAAACTTCTCTAGAAATTTTTGGAGTTGACTCTTTTGCTTACTCAAAGAAATATGTATATGATTTTTTAATGATAATAGAAATATAGAATAGATGCTAGATAATTTAATCAACAAAAATTCAAAAACCTACAGCGATCGAGCGCTGAAACGCGGTGAATCGGAGATCACAGGTGACCCCTTTGTGGAAGGGGAAATCGTTTGGACTTCGCTCCTCGGTTCCCCATTTGAGACTCTTTGTCGAATTTCGAATTACACAACCCTGGAAATTTGAATTTGAGTTGAAATTTCTATTCTTGATTATTTAATATTTTTTGAGTTCACCTTTTCCTTTTTCTCCTTATTCGGCAGATCGACGCGAAAATGGAAAATCCATTCCTCGCCTTTATGGAAGTTGATAGTGAAGCGTTCGCCGGATAAGAATGGGGTGAGAGTTATCTGAAACGGTGAATTCTTTATTTAGATTAAAAAGAAAATGAGTTCTGAGTACAAATAACTTACGATTCACTTACATGGAAGATTTCGGGTGGTTTGAAGCCGTTGATCGGTAGTTGGAAGGGAACACTCTGAAGAAGGAAAGTACATAGAAAACTAGCTATTGCTGGTGCTCTCTTGCAAAATGCCCGAAGATGGGCTTTCTGTTTTAAGCTTTATCGGTTTGGACCAATACTAGCTTTTATATTCAAACCAAAAATTAAACCTCTATTTTATTAGCTTGCTACAAGTTCACCCTCTAGGAATACAATTTTACCCTACAAAGCCTAGTTTAGCATTTACCGTATTTATTCTAATTGAAGAACCCTCTCTATTAGAAGAACCTCCTTTTAACGAAATTTTTCAACTCTCTGATGGCAAAATGCTCAACTTTTTAAAGACTTCCAAAGGCTTTAAATAATAGTTATAGACTCAAAAAACTTAATGACGTCAAAATCCGGATGAAAATTCAATAAAAAGATCCATTTTTGAGCTCTTGAAAATTCCTGTATACTGTAGCTAGGACACGAAAAAGAATTTTAGAGGGACATTGAAAAATAGAAGAGCCGGTTCTTCGATTAGGATGTTTACGGTAAATTTCTTTGTAAATATTCTAAAACCCTTCACGAACCGGTCGATCGAGCGTGTTCAACACTTGTGGCCCCATCGGTGACCCAGCAATTTGTTGAGCGATTCCATCCAAAATCTAAAAAAAGCCTGTTGTGTTTTTCCAAAACATTTTATAGGAATGTTTATTCGAGGCAGTTGAATCTTAATCTTTCGCATGACAATCGAAAATTGGCACTTAAATTGGGTACAGATCAAAAAAGGGCAAATGCGCAGTACATAATTTCAACCAAGGCAAGTTAGTGGGGATTGTGTGGGTTTTTATATGTGCAGGGATTTGTACAGATCACAATTATGGGATTGACTAGGCATTATGCAACAAAAAGCACTAATCGATACAATGCGAAAATTTTATAAAATTATCTTTTTTTTGAGCTCATTCTTCAGGGTCCTCTGCCTCCTGAAAAGCACGCTTTTAGCTCAGAATCTAGCAATGAAGCTTTGATTTTAAGAATTTAACAATTCATTAGGAAATCCAGTTTTAGTAAGTTTCTATCGTAAATCTTGTATCTTTCAGGTTTTTTATAGCTAATTGTAGTCATTTTAACCTCAATTTTTATTTGATCTGACCACTCACCGCTGGCTGGAATTGGATGTAGTCGACGCGCACACAGCCGTCAAGGTGAATTGCTTTAATCTAAAAATATTTTAACCGTTTCAATTTTAATTTCTATATTCATACGCTTTCTAATTGTAAGCATTTTGCTTCTAACAATATTTGAAAATTTAAAAGTAACCTGATCAACCTTGACCCGGTACTCGTAATCGCAAAGGTGCTTCCCGTTGACGGCAATCTGAAAAAAGATTTGTTATTATTAAGTTTATACTTTAACACGTAAACCCATTCTAGATTGGCTCTGGCATCATTCTTCAATACAAACTTCACCAAACTCGGACTGGACCAACCTTGAAATACTCTTCCAATGCCAAGATTCGAATCGTGAACTGTTCCTCGATTTTGAAGGCATTTATAAATCTGAAACGAGGGTTCTCTTCGATTTCATATAAACCAAACCTCTCTTCGCTTCCCCATTGATTGTTGATGAGACTGTTGAGCACGATTTGTTCGTCACCCGCACCACCGAATGGCCTGAAATAGAAACTGTCGAACTCAATCTAACTATAATACAATCTATTTTGGGTACTTATTTGTTTATATCCCCACACAAAAAAAACCCGTTCATCAATTCGGTTATACCCCACAAAATGAACAGATTTGTGAGATATAAACGACTTGCTGCATGAATCAAACTCTTGTGGGGATATAACCGACTAGTATCCTTTTTTTGTTTTTGTTCAGTTTGACTTTGACACAAGGCTTGTGTAAAAATAAACTTTATCATAAAATTTATCCTTCAACCTCACCATGCTCCCGGCTTCTCAAATCTCGGATTTATATGAAGAGCCTTGTTGTCCATGTGATCTCCGTGAATCAACAAACCGCAGCAAAGATCGACGTGGAATCTAAAAACAAAAGAGATAAAGATTTAAAACTTTACTTGGACTATAATGTACTTGGACTTTTTGTTTAACCTTTTCATAGCGTTGTCGATAACAGTTCCCTTGATGGTGATCGACCTGCCGGGCATCATCCCGCCTGGGATCAGCGTTGTGTAGGGGACATCCTGGAAAATTGAGATGATGAGCAAATGGTGTTTAGCTTAAAACTAAAATAAATGAATAGCTCCAATCGATTCCCCGATCCCGAAAACTCCCCAGTACAAATTTACAGTTGAATCTCTTCTTTTTGTACCATCTATAAAGCAAAAAAGAATCCGTATGTGCGCCAGCGTAAACGCTGTCCATCTGGCAAACCCCTCCGGTATAGGGTGCTTTTTTTTGAATCGGCCAAGGGGAGGGACAGGTGAGCGACTGAGCCGGCTTCGTTTTTTTGGGCGTCACTATGCGCAAATTTTTGGGAGCAACTTTTGTCTTAAATTTGGCTTAAATTTTTTGCTAAAAATTCTACATCCTGTTAAACTAAAACTGAACTGAAAAGCTGATTTGATCTTTTAACATTTGGTAAATTATTGATAAACCGATTTACTTTAATCATTTCTACATAAGACTTCATCAAAAATTATATTACTACACCTATCTGCCGACCACTCTTTTAACTCTTGTTGTCTCAAAAATATTGGTCGACAAATACCAACCAAAACAAGTTTTTCAAAAAAAAAAGAAAAAACAAACCGGATTCCGAATGATGTTGAAATCAGTGTCACTCATATTCAAGCCAAAAATTGAATTCTTGTAGTAGAAGTCTTTTCAATCTAAATCAATGCCACTTCGTTTCAATTCGGTAATCGAATGTCAAAAGCCGTTCGAAAAAGAGAAAAAAATTGAGAGAAAATAGTGAATCACAATGTAAATAAGTCCTGTGTTTATTTCGGTGGAAAATAGCAGCACAAATCGACCTCACTTTTTGCTCTTTTTTCCTCTCTTCGCACACAACAACACCCTGCTATCTATGGAAAGCGCGCTCCCCGACAAAAAAGCTCAAATTACGGTAGAATGGGCATAAAATTAGCATAGAGAAACTGAAAAAAGTTTATGACTTTAAAGTAAAGTTTCTTTTGAAACTGCTTTAAAACTAACTTTGAGGTTGATGTCTGATGCTGAACACATCAAGAGGTCGACAACTATTCTAATGCAACAAAGAAATTTGAAATTGACAAATGATAGAACAATTACAAGTCATTGTTAGAAAGGTGTGCTTAACAAGGCAATCAAGTATCCTAACTGTAAACAATGAAGTTTCGGGCTTGATTATTTTGATCAAGAACGTTCCAACCAGGCATGTAAGCCAAGCCAGGGTAGACAAGGCAAGGCCAGAACTTGACAAGAAGCTAGGCCTGCTGCCGAGATCTAGTCCGGTTCTGAAATTTGCTTTGCCTGGCTTGGTGACAAACACGCCTGAGCCCATAAAACATAGAAGAGTTATGTAAGCGATTAAAGGCCTGGAACAACACTTGTTTTAAGTAAGAGCCTAAAAGAACTCAAACAAACTGCACAGAAAGAAAACTATTGCCCAAACTAACGAAAACTACTAAAACTATTGCATGTCCGTAAAACGCTCAAAATTGCGCTCAAGACTGGCTAAGGTCTTGTGAAACGTTTCACGGATTTATCATATTTTTTAAACTCATGAAGTTCTCGTCATTTCTTATGAAATCTATTACGAAACAAGTTACTTTCCCTTTTCGCCTTTCTCTTTCGGAGAGCTTATAACTCCCGAAACGGGAAGCATTCAACCGGTTGCCATGGTCAAATGGAGAATTTTTCTTTGAAAACCTAGCAATCCGAGTTAAAACTCAGCTTCGGCATTGTAAAAAGGAAATCGGAACGTTTTGCGATTTCACTAGAAACATTGCCAAAAGGAGAATGGGCAATTCCAGTCAATCTTTCTCGTTTATAAGAATTTGACGAACCAACGCCCAGAACAAGATGTTTTACAGTTGGCATAGTCAAAATTGCATGCTTGGTACTTGCTGTTATCGTATATCACGTTATGAACCAAAAAAAACATTCTTTAAGCGAAAGTACACCTAGAAATACGTAATGGTCTTTACTTTGCTTCCCAGCCCGTAAAAACCAAATCCTCGGTCCATTTCCAAGTTTCCTCTTTATGATCGCAAAAATTGAAGCTATTTAACAATGTATGAATCTAACATCGAACTCTTTACCAGTTTATTGTTGCTATGCTTCGGGTGATGTACTTTCAATGGAGTCGTTTTCCCCTTCTCTTGTTGCGATTTTCCCGCTGGCTTCTCGACGCGATGTTCCTAAAGAAAAATAATATACATCTATGCTGCATAACAGGTTTATTTGTTGCTAAAGTTTAGGAAACTTGATAACGCTTTTGGTAAATGTTTAAATCACGCTACAAAATACAACTTTAAACTAACCTTTAAAGCTAACTAACTAACTGGTAATTTTTTTAACATCAAAACTAAGTTCCGTTTTTGGTTCAATCAATTTGATAACGTTAAAATGTATTAATCTCGCTAATGCTTGTCTGGCTCTGGATGTATTTCAAGGTAATTCTTTTCATTTAAACTATTGAAATAAGCAATATGAGCAAGCATAAACTTCAGCATTTGTCCAGAGCTTCAACAATCCTTGGGGTCTCCTTGAAAGTTATACCCTCTCCTAAACGAACCATTTACCTCCTCTAAATGATGTTTCCCTTTGTTGTCAGGCGCTTCAGATCGATCCCGTCCTTCTTTGTCTTTACCCATCTCTCACTGTAAAAAAAATTAAGAAGATGAAAATATAACTTCTTATTTATTGAACTGCCCAGTATAAATCCCAATAGACTTCAAGGCGAAGCTAGAGTAAGCAAAATCAAACCAACTCCCAGTTGCATCGTTTTAAGCTCATCAACAAGGTGCTTGTTATGTGCTAGGTAAGCTTATGTTAGTGTTGTAATTTTTCAAAACTTAAAATTACAAAACTACTAAACATTTTAAACGTTACTATTCCCAGTAAACTTCAAAAACAAATTTAGTAAACAAAATAAAACCAACCGTCAAATTGAAACCCACCGAGAGGGAACGAGGCAAATGAATGTTTTCTTCTCCATCTCGCGTCGATTCACCTAAAGTTAAATATTAATTTCAAAACGTTAAGTTAAATTGCAAAAATTGGAACCAAAACAAACAGAAGTCTTAAAAATTGTATTCTACAACGCTTGGCGGCTCTCTTGCGTTTGACTGTGATCTTATTTTTGCCAACGATTCAATATCAACTCAAAAAACTCGATTCTCGAGTCATTTCATTGCTTTCGAGTGAAGCTTTTTGGGATTTTGCGGATAACTTTGTTTAGTTTTGATAGGTTTGCTTGAAATGATTGCTTGTAAACGCGGTTTTTACGAAATTGGTAGTTTCGAGTGGGATTTAGCGCCTTTCATGACAGTCTGGCTCCGATCTTCCCCCCGATAGACGATGAAAGTTCTTTTCCAATATCCCGGGAGCGAAAGGAAATCGGGGTAAATTTGGCAGCGTCCTATATTATACCAACTACCGCCATAAAATCCGCGAATTATCCGTGATTCTCACAACCTTTATATTAGATCCAAAAAGTGACTTAAATATCTAACACCAAACCTACCTCTACCTTCCCCATCGGTCGCCTTCTCTTTTTGCCGAGGACCACAATCCCGAACGAACAAATGGCTACACAAAATTATTCATTAATAGTATAATTGATATAACAACGAAAGAAATGTAAACAAGTAACCAAAAACAAAACCCGCTGCTTAATCACAAATTAACTGTAAAGGTTGTATTCATTTCCGCCCCTGCGGGCCAAAAATCGACGATGTCCTCCATGATCGACTCGAATGCATTCACTCCGGTAGGCAAACTGCGATACCACAATCCCTCAGCAATATACGAATCCACCCCGGTGCCGTGTCGACGTCTGCTCATGTCTTTAAACGGTTTCCACATTCGCTCGATGTTTGCGTGTGCACGGTCAGATCTGCCGGCAAAACAAAAATTTGTCGAGTGGTTGACCCGTGCAAAATCGTAATTTGGGTCAGTGAGAAGCCCTTGGTATGCGCCATCCATCCGAGATGATTCCCGTCCCCTTTTCGATATGTTTTCGAATCGCTTCAAGCAGAACCGGGCCGTTCGGTTCGGCACAATAAAAGCGAAGCATTCCGCGGTGTTTCACGACACAGACCACCAAAAAGCCAACGGTCTGGCAGCATCCTCGCAGCGTGGTTTTTGCGCTTTGCGATCAGCGATTCATCGATCTCCACGGTGAGTCCGGCACCATGATCTTGTTCCCCCCGGTGCTTGATTTTCCAAGCGCCCACTTGGCGGAGAAAGTAGTTCCACTCAACAACGTTGTCGCCACTAATGCCGAGCTCCTGTTGACAGTGTTTGATTGTCATTGAGTTCTGGCTCCATAGATGAATGAACTTCGTGACGAACGGGAGCTTGCTTTGTTGCAAAAAGTTATTGACTCGAATTCCTCTTGAATGCTTGAGGACCTTTCGCCGTGCGCAAGTGTCCCATACCCAGCAGAAATAGATCTTTTTCCTTTGAGCGGACTTTCATCGATTCGCCACGGTGCAAATCCACGACTGGATGACTCCTTTGGTGACGAGCAATGATTGCCGTCCAGTTCAATGAGCACTGGAATATCGGAGAAGCGCATCGTCGTTAAGTTTAAAAAAACGTTGCAGCTAAAAATACAGTCCTGGAAATGCATTTTTCCAGGGGGCAAAATTTGCTCACCCGATTTTCCTTTCGCTCCTCCGATAATCCTTCCGCTCCCCCGATAATCGGACCGCTCCCCCGATATTGGAAAAGTAATTGCTGTAATGTGAAAATACAACCTTTGTAATTCAGGAAGTAACTTTAGTATTTCGAAATATTGGGAAGTTTGAATGGCGACCTCTTCGGACGAACTTTGAAAGCTAAACCATAACTTTTTCTCAAATTTTTTCCCAATAACAATTGAAGTTTTGGTGATTATACGCCAAATTTAATCCCGATCCGATTGCTGGGAGGGGCTTGGGAAAAAATTTGAAAGGGATCCGAGCCCTTCATCCCCCAGCCCCAATTAAACCTCAAACCTCTTTTACTGATGCCTGTTATTGTTTTACTAAATCCTTATTTTTCTTTGGCCCCAAGCCGACTAATTGGCGCTGTTTTTTGTTGATTGTTAGCATGATGACAGAAGTGCGTGGCACGGTACTTTGCTGTTTGCTGTCCCCCCGTTTTGGATCTGCTGAAGGACAGTATTCAGCTGGTGAAGTACTTTTAGGAAATATATGCATTTGATACTTTATTTTGCTTCCAGCTCGTAAAAACCAAATCCCTAGTCTATTTCCAAGTTTCCTCTTTATGATCGCAAATTGAGGCTATTTCCTAGGAATGAGTAAACGTTAGAAGACAAACTCTTTGAGTGGCTCAGATGCGCATAATTACCGATACTTATCCAGAAAAGATGATTCAAAGTAGTTTAGCCAGTTCAATGGTCCAACATATTCCAAGAAAGCACTGTCTTAGCTCTTTTATGTATAATCCTGTCTCTTTTTCGTGTTAAAAGGGTGTGTTTGAACTTTAATTCTACACAAAGTACACTTCAAGATAAATTCGGGTTTTTTGTTCACTGCTAGTTTCCGCCAATTCCGTCTGTATTTGGAGTCAACCCGAGCAAATACTCCGGAAAGAGAATGTTGCCGTGTCTGTATTGTAAATTTTGCCGAAATTTGTTCAATCATTTCTACTTTCTCATTTTCTTCTTCAACATAGTAAAGTATTGTTTTTGTTTGCCATAATGCAACACTTTCAGCGAAAACGCTGGTCAGTTTTGTAGTTGCTTTCTGTGTTTGTGGTTACAAAATTTCCCCATTTACTTTCCCGTTTCTTCAAAATTTTTCAAGTGGCTAACCTCGCCAAATTATTTTCCCCCTACTTTCCACCCATCATCCCCCGAAAAAACCCGAAATTAGGATTTTCTTTCGAGAAACCGAAGTCGACATCAGCCAAATTTTTGTTGAAAATTTGAAATACATGCTCAATTTTATGTTGCCTCAATCAGCCCTTTGTTTCCCAATTTTCGGAAAATTTTATGGAAGAATCAACTTATGATTTTGCTTTGACTAGGTTCATACTTTCTAGGTTTCCTTAAGTTTCCATTTAACGAACTCTAGATTCTTCTCGGAAATCCTTGTCTCTTAAAAGATCTTTTAAATGCTTTCCTTTTTCTTTCCCGCTCTCTAAGGCGTCGTTTTGCTCAAATTTTTGGGATAAGTACACCTCCCAATTTGTTCTTTTTACTTGAAATACCCTTGAACCGGGCGTTAAGGTGGCCAAGTACCCAATCATTTTGAAAGAAAATGGAATGAGTTTAGTGCAGAAATAAAGGTAAAAAGATGTTTCGGTGGAAACATTGTTCCAACTTCAGGCAATTACCTAGAATATCAATTGTAATGTCTTGAAGCATTTTTACAGAATCTTGTGTTCTATTTTGCATTATCGAGGAGGTGTGAACAACAAATCTCCTTCCCCTTCCAATTCCACTATTTCTCCCTGCACCTGAGTTAGAAGATATTGGAACTGGTTCGGACGGCCCAAAGAAGATGACTAACTCCGGATCTTTTCTCATCTTGTTTTCAGTAGTTTTTGAGTCAGGATGAGGTTTTTCCAAAGCAATCAAAGGCTGGGAGAGTTGCCCGATAAGCTGGAAAGAACTGGTTCATGGATGGAAGAAGTGCGGCTTGATGCCAGATCCAGACAGTTTTGAGTATAATTTCTAGCCAAGATACAGCCAATTTAAGGCCGAAATTAATCCCCAAAAAGAATTTAGACATATTGACACTTCAAACAGATGGATTGTTTCTTTTGTTTAACGCTGGCAAATGATTCCCCAAATGAGATTTAGTGTTAAGGACTTATGCTCCGGAGGTTTTCAGGGCCGTAGAACCTATCGGCGGAGTTTATTTTAATCCTTTGACCTGAGAAAAGTCCCAAGAAAATCAATTGGCTTTGGGTTTTGCATTCAATAACTTTTCCAAATAGAGAGGAGACTGTGTCTGTTTGTGAAATACTTGAATATCGTTTGTACTTTATTTTTATCTTAAATTGTTCCAAATAAAGAACATCATAGCTAATATTTGCAGAACCTGTTTAGCACTGATTTCGAGTGAATAAATATTAAATAATTACACTTAGTGATACCGGCTCCCCCTTTGAAAAAACGGCCCTTTACCGGAATTTTCTGTTTTTTCGTTCTCTTTCTCCGTTTCCCGTTTTCTAAACTTTTTCCACTTAACTAAAATTTCTCCGCAGGCTAACCATATTGCCTAAAGAAAACCTCATTGCTAAAGAAAAACAAAACTCCGAAACAATGTTCGGAATGTTCTGGTTTGAGAACAACCATGCGGTCACCTTGTCGAATGAGTCAAAATGCCACTGCTCGGATTTGGCACCTGGCAGGTTTGGGATTCATTTGAAAGGAAATTTCTGTACCCCGCGACTAACTGGTTTCGGCATCAATTTTCCAATCTAAAATGACTCGTGTTGTGCGTTTGGCAGACCTGGTTATCAGGCTTATCGGGTTCAGGAGATATTATAGGTTCAGTTCGGGAGGTTATCGGTTTTTATCGGCTACCCTGCTAACTTTGATTTTATAGGCCGGGATAATGATCTTTTTTTTAATTGAAAGCTTGTTGCATTTCACCAGCAATCAGCGAACATCTGTTCCAAGAACCTTTTCAACGAATCTTCTCGAAACTAAAGTGTACGCTATCCATATTTATACCGTTCAGACACGTCGGAAAAGTGAAAGGGTGGCGCTAAAAAATTATACAGTCATCCCATAAGTGATAGCCAGAAGCTGAAACAAGGTTAAAGATGACGATGTGGTCAAATTGATTAGAAACTTTCTTTTCGTTAGCCAACTGCCAATCTTATCAAAATTTTGATTTTTTTTGGATTACGAGCCTGCAAACTAAAGCAAGCGCATTCTCTAATTGTAAACTAGCTCTTTTTGTATTTTTAATTGATTCTGGTGGAAAAAAGTGTGAAAATGGCTTAATTTTTGCTTTAAATTAATCAATAACTGTTTTTCATTAAAATGAATGAATACAAATCTTAAAAACTCTCAAAAAAGTCGTATTAAGGAAAAGAGAACCCGGTAGCTTATCGATAAGCAGAATTAACCAAATTTGCCCAACTTTACGTAGCTTTTTTGAAGAAAAATAAAAATTTTCCCGTTTGCACCTAATCTGGCGTACTCGGCGGCTAGATCCGTGTTGAAGAAAGCGGATGATCAAAACAAAAATTACAACTAAACTAAAAACTGAAGCGTTGGAGGGCGCTGATCTGTCCCCTAAACCCATCGACTTTTAATTTTTATATTCAAATCCACTTTTACGGTTCCTAACCATTGCTTTACGGTATAGCAAATGAAATCTTAGCGCTTTGTAATCTGTTGATGTTCAGAAATTTACGGCAGAAATACAACGCATTGTCGTTGAAAGCCTTTCAACTGTCGTTCAAATTTGAAATGATCTCCGAATAAACAGGATTCAAGTAATATTTTAAGCATCATAATAACAAGATTTGGTCGACGTTGGGGCGCGGGAGAGGCGGTGAAAGAAGCGGTGCAGGCGGCTATCAGGCTCATCGAGCGCATCGATCTATGAAAATGAGGGAATGATCGGACAAGCATTACAGAGTAACTCAAGTGCTGCTACTTTAATAATAAGTAAATTTGGTTGCCCAAACAACACCCATCGATCAGAGCCAAGAGTTTTTACAATCACAGTTTTGCCACAAATTCAGGAACTTTATGATGAGGGGGAGTCGTGAAACGTGGGGACATCTTCATCACGACAAAGGTAAAATATTTATGAAGAATTTCGTTATCAATACTGATCTCACACATTGTGCTAAGGAAGCGGAAGCTTACAAGCGCTGGATCCCGAAAGCCCATCCGGATAAACACTTGGCGGCAATCGAGGAGGCAGTAGCAACTTCTCGGCACCTCCTATGTTGATCACGTGGCGGTGCTTTTGTTTTCGGTTCAGCTGAACGCAAGCAATCCGGATGAAAAATGATTCAGTTGATGCCGATGATCTGGCGATTGAGGATGTGTGGCCGGTTGTTTCCCAATCTACCTCCGCCGGACCAAGAGGGCGATGCGTCGTCTGTGCGGGCTTTTTCTCAGCAGTCTTTTGGGCCAAAGGAGCTGGGGACGACGCGGTTCTTCCGGCTGATTTTTTTTTGTGTGTGTTATGGACGGGATAAAGTCAAAAGTGAGTACAACTATGGGGGTTGAACCCGGCTTAGTGGGCGTAGACAAGCGCGCTCCCGACTACGCGACGCGACGAAGTCATGCAGCAGAAAAACCCACCAAACCCGTTAGGCCGGGTTTTTCAGCTGAACATATCCAAATCGTTCCGACAGGGAATCGACCATCCTCTACGATTTAGAATTACCCGAAGCGATCAGCGTCTCCAATTGCAGCTTCAAGCAAATGGGCGCATTCGGAAAATTGCCAAGACTCCAATTCACAACACTCAGGTTTGAGTTTTGTTTATTTTCCGAATAATTCGAATAAACGGTTCCAGAACGAATGTTCCGTTTATTTCCCTTGCCATGATCTGCAAGCTTACTGTAAACTGCATAACATCTCGTTGACTAGTTATTTAACTCTTGGATCTGGCAAATAGAGGCGTTCCAGTAAGTGATAGAAACCAAAAGTAAAAATCTAACTTCACTTTAGAATGTTCCAATGGGTGAAGAGCAACCCATCTCCATTGGCCAATCCAACAGTGCAACTGATCGCTGAACACGGAAAAGTCAAGCTCAAGTACCAAATACAGCACATATTGATAAAGTGAAGGAATTGACAAGAGTAGGCATCCGGAGAGAGTTGAACGCTCGACCTTTTACTTTTGCTTTTGCTTTAACCACTGAGCTATCCGGTACTTTTGCTTGCCAAGATAAAGGAGGAGGGGGAATAGGGAAGGAGAGGAGAGAGAAAGAAATACTTGAATCTTTAGAACCGTGGTCCTACTTGAAAATCAAAAGCACGTGTATTAGTAATAAAGAATGGAAGAGTGCTTGAAAAAGATTTCAGCAAAAAAGCAAAGGATTGAATCCTTGACCTTGGGTGATTAGTGTGCCCCCCCCGAGTTGATCTCATCGTACATGTACAAATTAGAGGAGAATTTCAAGATCCCATTAGCAATTCACTTTTTGTATCTTTCTCTGGGTTCTCCTTCGCTACATGCTTGAACGCGACATCGCCTATTCCAAAAGCATCCACACCGCAACGAAATTCGGGAAATATTGATGTAACTATTAAAATTGCAAAATTGATCATGTCATTGATTTGATTTCATACAGTTTCTCCTTTGAATCCTCGATTCCATCTATCCACAGAGGAGGTCGAAGCTCGGCTCACTGAGGGGAGCACATTCGCTATTTTGTTTTTCATTAGTAAGTTATGACGAATTCGTTTCATAAAACGTGGATCTTTTTTCTTAAGAATGAACAGAATTAAAGCTACCGTAATCTTCTTTCAGATTCAAAGATCACCCCCGTACCCATTCCATCAATGCGGAGCCGCTCGTCAAGCCATTGATGCAATGAATGGATATTGAAACAAGCTTGAATTGTTAGATTGATCCCTTCCTCCTAACTTTATTATACCCATAACGTCCAAATCACAACTCTAAAGCGAGCACAAGAAGGGCCTGAAAGCAAAACTTTTTCCCGAGGCAAATGTTTTAGCGATCCGTTATTATCCATGCAAATCGATTTTCCATTCCTTTGTCAAATAGCGCCCCATTTGAAATGACGATTTATTTGTGAATTCCGATCGTGCTCAAATGGAAGATCCTCAGGAACAAATCTTAAGATCACATTCTCAAAGATCAATCTCTTCGATCTTTTCATCTCGCTGGCTAGGGGAAAATTGTTTTGTTTTGATTGATAAAGCGTCTTTCGTTAGTTGCAGGCTTGTTCCAACTCGCGTCTAAGCCGGATAAGGAATTACGAATTTGTTAGATTCGAAAATGGAATACCAAAAGCAATTCGGAAATTTATCTTTTGATTATGAATTTGGAAAATGCAAGACTTCATCCTTCACTTACCATCAAAGGTCAATGTGGGCGGTTTGTGGATAAATTTCCTCCCCGAAGATAGATCTTATCGATGAGAATCTCCGATTCAGTTTTCCCCTTTTTGTCCAAATTCTTGTATGTAATTGTGAAGAGATAATCGTGTTCTTTCTTAAAAATAAATAATTTAGCATTTATTTTAAAATCTAGAAAGAAGCCTTGAAAGTGAAACCCCAGAAGGCGAACTCTCCTTTCTCGTATGGTAAATGTTTCCCCGTCGTCCAAATAGATCGTTCCGTTGGCAGGTCTCCTAAAAATGCTTGTCAGGCTTCTTTACTACTTTAACATGTTTGTCATTTTTTTTGTCGGATCATTTAAATTATTTGTTTTACATAAATAAATTTTGTCTATCAATCTATTTCGATTTGGGAGCCAGTAGAGAATCCGAAACTTTTCGTAGTCGGATCTTAATGAAGGCCAAAACTAGTTGTAAAATGGTTTGGAAATTTAATGGAAAACAACGAAAGCAAGACTCATACTCTGGAAACCAGAAAACCTTTAGCTCTTTCAATTCAAAACTGAATCTAAGGAATCTTTTTTATAAGTCTGTCATCAAAGGTCTAGTTGAAAAGTTGGAGTAATTAGAACCGGCTCGGTGTTTCCGGACTTAAATCGATTCTTAACATTTTGATTTGAGTCGGTTTAATTACGCAAATGGCACCTCGAATGTGGTACCAGATACCGATTTCTTTTCCGTAATCATTTACACATTTATTTTTAAAGCCTAAATTATCTACTTAAAGCCTAAATTATCTACTTGACCTAAATTATCTATTTAAAGCCTGAATTATCTCCTTAGAGCTAATTCTGTAAACAGAGGCATTCTGGATACTCTCCTTTTTTAGGCTTAAATGCATATTTTTAGTCCTCTGGCTACTCACAGCTCTTCATCCATTTTCTCTCTCTGACTTTTTTTGTTGACACAATTGCAGTATAATCATACAGTCAGCAAAAGGAGCTGTCAATAAGTTTTGTTTGGCTTGTTTTTCTCTGAAAAACTTCAAGACTAGACTCCTTACTTTGGCTTATTAAACCTTTTCTTGGACCTTGTTTAATATTATATTATGTTTACTAGCAATATCATATTGCTTACTACTTTTTACTAGCAAGATTACACTGTTTACTACTGCTTACTAGTAACATTTCCAGTTTACTACTGCTTACTAACAATATTATACTGTTTACTACTGTTTACTATTACTTACTCGCAAGTATTATACTGTTTTCTACTGCATACTAGCAATATTATACTGTTTACTACTGTTTACTAGTAATATTCTTACTGTTTACTACTCTTTCTCGTAACTATTCCTTGGAGTTATCTCATTGCCTAATCTTCAACTCAATAAATTTCTTTTTCAGATATGACCGCTTTTCTCCTCATCTTTACCGTTCTCGTCATTTTCCCGAACTCTCTCGGAAAATGGCGAGTGTGGATGACTAGTTTGGGACTGAAAATAGACACGGAAATTGGTTTCTCGCCAATCTTAGCCTTCTCTGGGCTACGTTCCGGTAAATAATCCTTTAGAGTATCTACAACAGTCACTTCAGTGTGCGAAGCCAGCGGTATCTGCGGTGGATATGACGGTTGTCCTCCAGCTCCACCTCCTTCATCATGTTCATATCCTGGTTTCCTATGGATGTGGACGTTTTGGATGTTATCGAATGGGAGCAAGAGGTGAGGATTTTGATTCGAAATACTATAGAAATTCGGAATTGGAGAGAATCCGATCAAAGTCGAGATCGAAAATCAAAGATGAAAGACAATTTTAGGATCAAAGCTTTTCGTGCCACGGCGAGAGTCGCTTCCCAAGGAAAAGTGGTTTTTAAAGGCTTAGAGACTTAGAGATGAGTCAAAGGGTTTCTGATCTCAAGAGTTTAATAACTTTGGACTGCAAGAAAGCGGAAAGCGGATCGGACATTCTTAGCGAAATATCCGAGACGGCAGCCGCAATTCAAAGAAGTTCACACGAGCAATCATTTGTAAGTTAATAAATCAAATAAAAAGAAATTGAAAATATATATTCAAGCTCTAATCTCTCACTTTACTTCTTCTTTACTTAGATTTTAGAACCCAAATCGAGCTTTCATGGAGTGTTGCATGGATAGGGAAACTTCCCGATGCCTGTCACCAAAAGGGTGCAGCTTCAATTCGTACAATAAAGATGCAGTAAATCAAAAAATCTATTGAATTCCCGGTTAAATGAAAATCTAGTTAACGAAAATGTACTTTAAACAAGACGCACATCCGCTTGCGGCCATGTCCGAGGGTCCAATTCTGCGCCGCAATGGTCAAGTTCGTATGAGAAATAAGCGTATTTTTTTGAAATCAACTCTACAGGGTGCGGAAAAAGTTTCGAGCCGCTTCTTAAGATAGTTAAAGGTTTAAAAACGAGCTTAAAAAAGTCAAAAAGTCAAAAATTAACAACAAATCCTTTATTCGAATCATAACAACAAATAACTTATAAGAATGCCCGAAATTTCCACCATCCGTTTCGATCCACCTCTTTAAACGCTTTCGGGAGTTCCTCACGATGGTGGCGCGCACTTTGAAAAGTTATTTCACAAGCAGAACTTCAATTTTCTGCAACGTTTTCATAGCGGCTCCGAACTTTTTTATTACCCTGTATTTCTTGTCTTTCTATTCACTTTTACATCTAAATTTTACATTTAATTTGCAGGGCCGCGATCACACAGAGTGCTGTGCTCGAAATGGAGTCACCACAACGCTTGCCGGCTCAAAATGTCTCCTCTTTTGTGATCAAAAACCCGGTAAAGCGCAGCAAAGAATAAAGAATAGTGGAAAATTTGATATAAAGCAAAAGAAAAACAATAAGTTTTATAATGCTATTGAAAAAATGGGGTTTAATTTGTGTTTCCAGGCCGTGTCACTCCACTCGATCTCACCTATGTCCCATGTTTCGATCGTTTTGCGAGCATGAAAGCGTGTTTCTGGCACGAGCTCTCCACATTCTATAAAATTCGATAAAATTTCAAATTATTTATCGAATTATTTCGAATTTACTTGAACTTTTCCTTTCTTTGATTCTCATTTTGAAACTTTAAATGTGTTTTATGAAATCTTACATCACTACCTTTCTACCTTTCTCAAATCGAGAAATAAATTTGTAACAAATATTTCACCTTATGTCATTGTTGTTAGTATTTCTGAGTGTTTTTATGCATTCTGGAGAATGGACTGGTAAAATGGGGTTAAAAAGATAAAATCAATCATTAAACGATGATTAAATGATGATCAAATGATGAACAAATGATAATCAAAATGATAAGCAAATCGATCAAATCGATCAAATGATGATCAAATGGATCAAATGATAATCAAATGGATCAAATGATGATCAAATCGATCAAATGATGATCAAATCGATCAAATGATGATCAAATCGATCAAATGATACGCATAAATTACTCCAACATGGTACTCTTGTCCCAACAAAGATGCACAGTGCAAACAAAATATCTTTAAACTAGATCTAACGGATCTCCAAGAATTCAAAAGAAAAGCGTTCAAAAGAAAAATGAAGAATTGCACGGGGATCTGTTGAGAAGATTGAGTTTCTATACTTCCAACAAAATTATCGTTTTCTAAAGCGCACCTTTCACGTCTGTATAGGTTGTCACTAGGAACGTCCCGTAGCTGGTGCCATTTACTTTATTTCTCGCCTCCCTCCCATTGTGGTTTTTCTGTATACGGATCGATTATGATCCTTTTTTTTTCGTTACTTGCTTACTTTTCGTTCATTTTTCATTCATTACTGAATTAGACTTGCTTAGCGAGACAAATCAAAAAATCCGGTCGCGCAACTCCAGCCACTTGATCTTGAGTACCGGATTCCAATGAACTTTTTTATTTAAAAGCCAAGATTTTAAGCTATCTAATGGCACCCATCACTGACCGTAAATACTGTAATAGTACCCCCCCCTCGTACAGTCGCGTAGTCTCAAATGTTAAATGTTTTTAGTATTTCATTTTTTCCAAAGCGCCCGGTACTTGCAAAAATGCGTCTTTGGTATCAAAAAAATAGCCCTGGATTTCAGCTATTTTTTGATACCTAACAAAGGATGATCTCAGCTCAAAGTTCGAAAATCGACTGGAAACACAGTGCATAACATAAAGATCGGCCATGGCGCAAAGATTAGCCGCTAATAGCCACGGAAACACGAGGAATCTGGCATGAAAAAGCGAGATTCAAAATTGATTCCTATATAAGGCTTCTCTCTCGCCCCCAGACGGTGGAGTGGTGGTAGTCAGTGGGTACAGGGTAGATCTCCCAAACGGTTATCCTATTTTTTGCTTTCCGGGGGTTCAATTCCGCCCACTTACCCAATCAAATTCTATTTCATGATTTTCTGATTTTCTCTCTACGAGTGATCGAATTCACTTCAATTCGTTATTTTTGATCTCTGTTTTCATTTTGTTGATCGAACTTACTGCTGTTATTTTCAGTGGTATGGAGATGTCAACTCTCGTCTTTGTTTCATCCGGGGTCTTGATTCATTGGAAGTGCATGCCGAACGTTTTGGAGGTCGTCCATCAAGAAAAAACATTTCGTTTTGCTTATCCAGACAATTCGGATGGTCGCAAATTTGCGGTGAAAATGGATAAGAACGTCCACGTTTTTCTACCAGAAATGACGCTTGAGGTATATTTGATTTACTTTCAACCTTTTCGTGAAATTGTTATAGGCTTGAGCATTGTTAAATGTACTAAAATAACGTAAGCGTATGAAACACACATTTTTTTTCATATATTCAATGTATCTATGATACAAGGCTAATTATGTTTATTTAATCTGTGTACTTTTAGTATCAAAGCGAGGGCGTTTGGCTTCGTACTCAGGTGGTTGGTTTCTGTGCTCAATTCATCGACATGGTGAAATTTGCTACCTTTCTCACAAAATTGTCCAATATTGCCGGTTATCAGCAGGTTTAACTTTATTTTTGTCTAATAAAATATTGATTCATAATATTTCAATTATTAATTTTGGAATTGACTAGGTTTTTAGAAAAATTATCCTGACTAATGATGCATAAAGAAGAATGTTTAGTTGGTTGTATCGGATGGCGATTCATCCCAAGAAATGGAAGAAGAGACTGACGGTTTCGAGCAAGAAGATTTTGACGACGATTCTCAAAGTGATGAATCGGATGAATACATGTTAGTTGTATTGTTTTTGCTTGGAATAAAATTTTGCTTGCATGAATTATCAAAATTGAGTAGGCTTGCTTGCCTGATATAGCTTGATTGGATGAAAATTTCTATTGGTTTTCGTATACTATTCATGGCATATAGGAGTAATGGATTATTTTTAGCTCGATGTATCCTGAATTCGGCATCTTGGAAGACTACACTGCAATGGCTGTGACTCCACAGTATATCGAGCTGGTTGTCGCCGGACAGACGCATCGTTTTGCACATGGACCTCTGGTTCCTCCTCCTGGTGCTGGTGCTCAAGTTGGTCAAGTCCATCAATACAGACCGGCTCCAAAACACAATCCAAGAAGGACAAATGGACGCCCATCATCATCCCAGGCGTGATGCTACAGGTTCTTCTTTATATATGCTTCATATATACTTATTTTATTTTCAGGACTTAACCGGACCCCGGGGAAACCAACAATACGTGAATCTCTTCCCGGGTCGACCTGTATATTCACTTCGGAAGTTTAACGGATCCTCCTTGTCTTTGGTCTCGCTCTCAAAGCGAACAACTATTTGGAATTCCCGAAATAAATGTTCTTGTTATCCGTTTGAATAAATCTGTTATTTGCATTTTCTATTGATTTATAAAAATTTGTTTTGGACATATTATTTAGATGCCGTGCATACGCTTTGTTTCCTAGTATTGGATTATTTTTAGATGTCGACCCGTATTTCGTTTCGTCTCGACCACACAATGATTGAACATCTCCGCCACGTATTCCACTTCGACTATCAAGGGCATCGATATCGTTTTCGACACCCTCTGAACGGCCGACCTGAATTCCTTGTGCAGGTCGCAAATCGCTCCACAAGGGCCACGCCGTCTTCCGGAACTTCCGCCAAGAAAGATGGGAAGAGTCCTTGTCAAGGGGCTGATCTTGGAGGTAATATTAATAACTTATTTTTATAATATAGAAGTTCAATAAGTGATCTGCTAGGAAGTAAATACATCACACATACACAGATGATAATTTTCGATAATGAGATTACACATGACTAAATAGGCTTTAATTTGTGGTGTTGTTTGACTTTTAATTTCATGGATTCGGTTCTAACTTTATATTTTAGCGTGATACTCTGGTCGCTGGCAAGCAAGTCGACTTGTATATGGAGTTTGAAGATTCGAATCGTCAGCAAGAACCTCTACAGGGTCTCCGGACTTCTGAGCTATCGTGAAATATAGTTGAAACGGTTTGTGGAACTGTTTTGTTTGTTTGTTTGTTTATATTTGTTTGTATTGTTGGTTGTATTGTATTTGTATGCGATTCTTTTGACCTGTGATTTATTTTTCCGTTGCTTCGCTCACTAATGTTTCTGGGGAAGGATATAAAATTCATTTAAAATTAGATGATCCTCAAACTCGACTTATTGGTACGATAAAGCATTAAGCAACTGAAAAGACGCTACTAGCACCTTTTAAAAGACGTTGAAGAGATTAAACCTATTCGCGAAGCAACTTTTGCGTAATCTGGCTAGCACATGCTTCTGTAAGTTAACAGTTAAAATCGCATATGGGTAATTTTTGGAAAGCAAAAACAAAACCACATGGGAACAAGAGAGAGGCCGACAGACACTTGGGGAAATGGAAATGTTGGCGAGAAAAGTCCAGCTCGAGTACCAAATACAGTACATATTGATAAAGTGAAGGAATTGGCAAGAAGTAGGCATCCGGAGAGGGGATTGAACCCTCGACCTTTTACTTTCCTTTTACTTTTGCTTTTGCTTTAACCACTGAGCTATCCGGTGCCTTAACTTGCCAAGATAAAGAAGGAAAAGACAAAGGGAAGAAGAAGAAAAGGAAAAAAAGAAATACTTGAATCTTTAGAACCGTGGTCCTACTTGGAAATCAAAAGCACGTGTATTAGTAATAAAGAATGAAGGAATTAGCAAGAAAAAGGAGGATTTCAGCAAAAAGCAAAGGGATTGAATCCTTGACCTTACCAAACACAATATTGGGTCAAATATTAAGTTCAGTCTCAATTTTATGTGGCTGTACAAATTAGAGGGAGAATTTAAGATTAAATTAGCTTATTCACTTTTTGTATCTTTCTCTGGGTTCTCCTTCGCTTCATGCTTGGACGCGACATCTTAGCCCCCTCTTCAAAAGCATCACCACCGCAACGATTCGGGGGAATATTGATGTAACTATTAAAATTGCAAAATTGATCTGTCATTGATTTGATGTCATTGATTTCTCACTTTCGATCCTCGATTTCCATCTATCCACGGGCCTGAGAAGCTCGGCTCACTGAGGGCCATTCGCTATTTTGTTTTTCAAGAGTAAGTTATGACGAATTCGTTTCATAAAACGTGGATCTTTTCTAAGAATGAACAAATTAGAAAGCTACCGTAATCTTTTCCAGATTCAAAGATCACCCCGGAGTACCCATTCCATCAATGCGGAGCCGCTCGTCAAGCCATTGATGCAATGAATGGATATTGAAACAAGCTTGAATTGTTAGATTGATCCCTTCCTATAACTTTATTATACCCCTAACGTCAATCACAACCGGAAAGCGAGCACAAGAATGGCAAGAAACTCAATTTTTACTTAAAAATAAAATCGTTTAACATTCATTTATTAATAGACTGCAAATCGATTTTCTTTCCTTTTATCAATTGCTTTGCCATTTGAGAGTGGACGATTTGTTTTGAATACGATCGTGCTCAAATGGAAGATCCTCAGGAACAAATCTAGAGATAAGACTCTCACGAGATCAATCTTTTCGATCTTTTTATCTCATAGCTAAGGGAAAATTGTTTTGTTTGATTATTCGGCGTCTTTCGTTAGTTGCAGGTTTGTTCCAACTTTCGTCAAGCGGGTTCAGATCTGATATTAGACTAGGCCAGAGGGATAAGGAATTGCGAATTTGTTGAATTTGAGTAATGGAATGTGAAGAAATAATTGGGAAATTTATCTTCTGATTATGAATTTGGAAAATGCAGGCTCATCGATCATTTACAATCAAGTAAATGTGAGCGGTTTGTGGATAGAATTTCACTCCACGAAGATAGATCTTATCATTGAGATCTCACGATTCAAGGTTTCCCTTTTTTGTCCAAATTCTTGCTGGTAATTGTGAAGAGATAATCATTAATTTCTTTCTTAAAAATAAAATAGTTTGGCATTTATTTTAAAAAATCTAGAAAAGAAACCTTGAAAGTGAACCCCAGAAGGCGAACTCTCCTTTCTCGTAGGCAAATGTTTCCCCGTCGTCCAAATAGATTGTTCCGTTGGCGGAGTCTCCTAAAATTTTTTGTCGAGCTTGTTTTTCCTTTCTTATTGAAAATCGATTTAGCTGATTACTCATGTAAATACCTCTGTTATTCAGTCCAATATACAGGGAAACTGGATCAGCTTTTGTTTCGGCTAACGATGCTCTCGGTCCGTCCATCTCTCAGATCAGGATAATCGTTCCTAAAAAACATATCGATGTTTTCAAAATCTATTAGGGTAAAACAACTTTAATTCACTCAACAATTTTTCTTGAAGTTATTGTACAGGGTGTCCAAAAATTACAGACTTTTTCTCTAGTCGCACTCCACTATAAGTTGTATTTGTCACCATTTTTTTTTGAGTAAAATTTTCCCCCTATTTTCAACACTTTACTTCGAAGCGCGAAATTAGCAATTTTATAGGGCTTTAATTCTCCAAACCTCGAAAACCTCTGGGATTGTGACCAAATTTTTGAACTTAAAATTACTTTAACGATGACTACCCGATCATGAATGAAACACTTATGAAATATCTAAATTATAAATTTTAAAAACCTAAGCCATTTGCTAGTTTTTTTGAATAGTAATTCTTTAAGTTCAAAGAATTTGAGTGCAGAGAGGCTCTCGAGTTTTGGAAGTTGAAGTTCTATAAAATTTTTTTCGGTACATTTTCTAAGTAAAGTATCAAAGTAAAAGTGTTAAAAAATATGCAGTAAATTTACCCCCCAAGTTTATGACAAATGGTTCTTCTAGACGAATTACTTAAGAAAAAGATCTTGTATTTCTTGAACACCCTAGCAATGTTTTCAAGATTCTGACTCATTCCAATCTTCTAGAATCTAGAATCTGGGTCAAAATTAGCCGCCAAACATCCGACACCGCCCATCAAAATAGTAGCTTTTGAATTCTCAAGTTTTCAGTACGAATCAACTCGTATGAAAAACTTCTTCACCTCCTCTCTGGAAAGAACGGATAAATCAGATTGGTCATCTCGTTTTGCATGGCTCCCAGTGATGGACGGGCTTTACCCGTGTCTATTTCATTACCAAATCTAGAAATATGTTTGTTTTTAAAGTAAGTAAATTCAATCTTCAACCTCTCTCTTTCCGGGCAAATAAACCGATGTGCGTGTCTCTCCAGCTTCTAGCGTTGGTTTCACCAAAAATCACATTTCACCAGCCATTGCCCTGTCCTCATGTGTCCAACCTATCTTCGATGAGCTGAAAACAGAAATAAGCCAACTTTGAATCCTTAAATTGTTAGTAATCATTTATCTCCCTAAAACCTTCAACCTTTTGAAACTGTGATCAGTTATAACCTCTAACCAATGCGGTCGCATCACAGGTTTCCCATTTTTCCAGTGCTCATAGAAAATCATTGTAGATGTAGGGTAAAAATTGTATCTAGATTTTGAAATAACAAAAAACAAATCAATTTAGTTATCAACAAAACCATAGTCCTCAATGGCTTTTTTGTAGGCGGCTCGGAAAATTTCAACAAAAGATAGGGCTCTCTCCGTTTTGTGTCCGTGTAGGCGTGAGCTCAGAAGAACGGTTGAAAGAGCCAACCGGCTTGAGCCCTAGATTTATTTTGATTGAAAGTGAAGTTGAATGGAAATTCATTTATCTCTCAATGTATTCAACGTTTTACCACTCATAGGCAACTCTGGATCAGGTGTCTTTGAAAAAGCCGCCCACACCGCGCTTCAATAAATGGGATCCCAGCCGTTGCAGCGTGAGAAGTATCGGAACTGATGCCTAAAAGTTTGATTACTTTTTAGATTTTACCGCTTTTTCGAAAATTATGTTGAATTTTAACAAAAGCCAGATCAATGTTTGCCAAATTTGTAATTTCATTACCTTCAAGTTCCCAAGTAGCCCACTTATCGCTTACCGTCCACACTGCAGCCGTTCGTTGCGATCCGGCAAAGAAAGCTCCGCGCTCAGACGAATGGTCGGTGCCACGCTCAGATCCGAATCAAACCGTTGTGAGTGGCTTCGTGCTGGAATTATTTCGAAAATTCAGTTGTTTTCAAATTGCTTTAAAACCTGATAGAATCCGTACATGTTGTGCACCTCGCGATGCTCTCGATCATCGTAATGGACAAGATCTTTGGGCATTGTGATCTAAACATTGCATCAATAATCTTAATTTCAAGCATCTTTCCCCGATACTTCTAGTTAAAATTGGAGTTAAATACAGGGTAGCTGAAAGTTCTGTCCACATTATAATATTGACTTACATGAAGCCCATTCGTAGAAGATTAGACAAAAATGAACCTCAAATTTAGAAAATTCGACCTATTTTTACTTCGATATCTGCTTGTTTTTGCGAGGGATCTGCAGGGCAAGTATGGTTTGGAATCGCATTTAATCCGACCTTAGAGCACCTCACATTTCTTTATTGTTGAGCTAACCTAAAAGTATTTGAGGTTTGAACAGTTATTTCAAGAGCAATTAAGAGCAAAACGAGGGATAAGGAGTGAAATGGGAGAGAAGTCAAGGGAATAAGGGGGAAGACTGGGAAAAACTGGGAAAAGAGGGCTTTTCATAGAAATGTACAATATAGGATTGAATAGGTAATGATGGGAATTGGATTAGTGAAATGAAGAAGTGGTACGAGAGACGGTTCTAGACACATTAAGTTCGAACAAAGTGAACCTGGTAAGGTAAGGTTTTCAAGAAAAATGTTTCTTCCTTCTGATGAGCTTACGTCATATTTTACTCTAAGTGCTCCAAAACTGTTTTTAGAGAAAATTGTCAAAAAAATTTACCTGATCAAATAGAAATGCGTATTTGCTCACAAGAAATAAAGCTTTAAAAGTTTGCAATCAACTTTAACGTATCTCTAGGTTAATATATTTCGAGTACAGCATAAAATTGTGTACTCATAAAAATTAGAGGTCATTTATACCTTTATTTACATATCAAAGGGGAAAGAACCTCTCAGCCACCGTCTTTGAGTTAAATAAATTTTTGATCAATCTTATTAAGATCAACAATACCTCAGGGCCGTTGAAAACCGATGGTTCATTCATGTCATTCCAAATATGAACGTCTTCCGTCGTCCCCTCATACTGAAAAAAAACCTCACAATTGATTTTGGCAAAATGTTTTACCTTATCAAGCCAAACTTTTCACTCCACCATTTTCTCGCCTCCGGATTCGTAAAATCAATGTAGACCGAGTCCTGGGGCCAGCAATTGCCAACGAGAGTTTTCTTCCCACCAAGCTCTTTCACCAGAAAGCCTTAAACAAAGTAAAGTTGAGCTGACTATGGCTGAGGCTTAAAATATGGAGCTAAGACCTCTCCAACTACAAAAAAAACTCCCTCATTCTGACTATAATGTTTAATTCTTGTATCCAATAGCTATCTAATATCTAAATTATTTAATAATTCTTCAACAACTTAATATCTATAGACATTTACACTACTGATAAACCTTTTTTTTCTTGCTTCCTTGTAAATCGTATAGTTTTTTGTCCTTTTGATGTGCGGATCGACGATGAGCACCATTTTTCTGCCCTTAAATTCAAATTCGATGTTTTGAGTGAAATCTCAAATCACCTTTTTCGCCACATCTTCTACCATTTGCTTTGGCTCGGGGAATTTCTCCTTGTCCCACGTGAAATACCGCTTTTCGTCGGTGTGTTCGATGTCTAACCAGATTACATCCATCGGAATCTCGTTCTCGTCGAATTTGGCAATAACCTAAAAATCCTTACAATTTAACAAAGAAACAATTCTACTCAAAAGCCTAACCTCTCTAACATCTTTCTCATCTTTATAATTCCATCGGCATTGGTGATATCCGAGAGAAAATTGCTAAACGAACATTTCAAAGCCTATACTATTGCGTTTACCGGTGGAACTGGAGTGACTCCGGTCAATTTTGAGTACTGCCTGAAGAGATCGTGAGGCTTAGGTCCTAAGAAGAAGAACACGTCGATAAGACCAGTTTCCGAGATGAAACGAGTATTGATCTGAAATCCTTGGTCCCAGTAGTCCTATTTAGAACCCACTTGTGGAATCCGATCTGCTCTCTCATCTTCAGTTTCAACCAATTTCCCAACAACTCCCAAATCGGCTCTCGAGATATCGTAATCGACCCAAGTCTCTGATGGATTTAGCCACAAAACTCCTAATGTTCTTCTCGGATTCGTGGCGGCCAAATAGGGCACTAAAATCTGACTTTATAATAAAACCAGCAGCTTCGGAGCAAAAAGCAAAAGATTTGGCGGCGAGAGGAGCCGAACCCGAGACCTCTCTCTTCCGTTCGTTTGAGAGACGCGCGCGTTAACCACTCGGCCATGCTCTAGTAGATGGCGTAGTGCTAGCGCACTTTTCTCTAGCCCTTATGACCCGGGTTCGACTCCCGCCCGCGTCAACACTTTTGGTTTTTTAAAAGTTTAAAACATGTTGCACAACTATATGGAATTCTAACCCAAACTAACTATAAGTCTTTTGAAACGACCCACTGGGCGCGGAGGAGTAGCGTGCACAGACAGACAGACAGACACAGCTCTTTTTATATAGTAGATAAAGTAAAGAAATGAGTGGCAAAGAATTTGGAACCAAGGGGATTTGAACCCTCGACTACTTACTACTTACCACTACTCTGATGCTCTACCACTGACCTATCGACGCCTTGTTTGTCATGAAGAAATAATAAAGACAATGGAGACATAAAGATAACTAACCTGATCCATAAAGTGCCATCGGGTTGTTGATCTCGTACTCAAAAACATCCAAATTGTAGAGGCGGTAGGGTTCGTAGTTGCTAAAAGTTGCTGTAGCAATTTGAGTAAAAGTTGGGGATATTCTATTAGCAAAATAAGTTCAATAGAACGTCAGATTTAAATTTTTACTTGGTACTTCGCAAAGCATAAGTCTCCGAGTGCTCCGGTAAACCATAGGCCATTTTGAAGCCGAGAAGTGCAATGTCAACGCTTACCGAGGAGGATCCTAAAAGAAATGAATTGTCTTAGAGAAAATATGATTTTGAATATGTAAACAAAAACTTGTATTTACTGCATAGAATTTCAAATGAAAAATCACAAACCATGCGGCTTCATATCCTTGTGATCTCCCCATTTTTCCTCCCAAAATCCGTCTCCATCTTTTGTCTTTTTCCCTTTCTGAAGTGCTCAAAGCGTAGCCAATCTGAAAATGAATTTTAACCGAAAATACTTACAAATATAATCAAGAAAAAAAGAAAAAAAAGAATAAATTCTTGACAAACTTCTTGAGTTAATCGTTGTGACGAGGGTTCCCTTTGCGTATAGATCAACTCGGAAGGGTTTATGTTGCACAACAACCTAAAACTCTATTATGTTATTTTTAAGCTTTAAAAGAAATTTCTATATTCTTATTTTAACCAAATAATGTTTTTAGTTGACTTGGTTGATCGATTGACCTGAAAATTGAGAAATTTTGACTCACCTTATGCCCATCTTCCGTCTCAAACCACGACTCTTCTTTGCCGACCTCGGACTTTTTGATTCTGAAAGAAAAAGTTTTATTCAGCTTTTAAAGTTATGCAGTAGAAACTTAACGAGTTTTCATGTTATTCTACTCCAAAAACTCCTCACTTTTGCTGTTCGGGTTCGGCTTTGGCCAAAGCATCCAAGGGTTGCCACCTCGTTCTGACTCGAGCTAAATTTACTGTTAAGTTGTTTGCTTGCTGTTGTTAACTTACTGCTAGGTGTACCTAACAGTAAGTTCAAGCATTCTAGATTTATTCATAAGAAAATGTTCAATCTTCTTCAAAATAGTAAACTATTTGTGTGGCTCTTCCAACTCTTCTCAGCTCTCACCTTCTTTCCCTTCGAACTCATCAATCACCAATCGAATCGTCGAATCTTTCAACGCAACAATGTCCAAAACTAGAGAGTTTTCCTAAAAGCAATTGTTTTCTATAATTTTCTTTTTCATTACCTTATTTTTCAAAATGGCATGAAGAGCGGTGTCATTGAACTTGAGACTGTTGCTCACGATTTTGTAGTCTGTCAATGATTTGTCTTCTCGATGGCGTCTAAAAATGGGTTATCATAAAACCGAATTTTCACTCAAGATTTAATATTTCTACAAAGTTTTTCTAAAATTAAACCCACCTGCAAAAAGCCGTATCGATACAGCGTCGAAATTTCGCCCGATCGACGGCGGAGACCGCGAGAACGGCTCCCAGCAAGAGAAACCACTTCATTACCCCTCAAATTTCTTTAAATATTTAAAAAGTTAGTTTATAAACATTTTCCATAAAATTTATTATCTTGTAAAAAGATAAAATAGATAAAACAAAGAAAAAACAAAGAAAAAACAAAGAAAAAACAAAATTCAATACAAAATCGACCAAAAATATTGCATACTTCTTAATAGTTAAAGTCAAATTTTTATCACAAAAGTCATAGCAGCTTTTCAAAACCAAATGATTTTTATAAATCCTAAGAGATGGATGAATTTTTAGGTAAGAAAAGTGTGTGGATGTGGGAAATGAGAGCAATGGAAAGGACAAGAAAGTCTCTCGTCTTTTTCGGGGTCAAGGTTGCAGACACGCAAAAGAGAAACCCTCAAGCAATCATTGAAATCTTGAAAAGATCGATCTTAATTTTAATTTAAATAATTTTAATTAATTTGAAGAGCTTTTTAATAAACTTTAGAAGCAAATTATACACAATAAAAAAGCCAGAGTTTATAAGTTTAACGGGTACTTATCATTAGTCATGTATGGAGTTATTTAAAGTGTACTAGTGGATGATTTATAGCCTAGCTAGTGGCCAAAGTTAGCTAATGGTAGATCATTTACCCAGCAAGCGAATAATCTTTACCCAAAATCTTAATGCGGACATTTTTATCCTAGCAAGATGCTGAGTTGGAAGAGAACATTCGAGAACACTGAAAATCTCTCTTTCTTTCTCATTTCTCATTCCGAGAGCCGGTTTGCCACCGTTTAGTGTACAAGAGCGATTGAGTTTTTGGGTAAAGATTTTTTTTGTTTAAAGCTTGCTTTGCTACATTTCTAAACTTGTTCATCTAAACCCAGTTTCTAGGCTTTCACTTGATGTAATATTGCTGTACCAAACCAAAAGTTAACTTGAGACTTTAGTTTGTTTTTTTTTTCATGATATTTTTTTAAACCATGATCATATATGCTCAAAACATTTATTAATGGAAATAGCTGAAATCCATGAAGAGAAATTGGTCTATTTCTATTATCCACTTTATGGGGTGGTTGTAGTAGTGGTAGTGGTGGTGGTGGTGGTTGTGGTTGTGCTGGCAGTGTTCGTTGTGGTCGTCGTCGTCGCCGCACTAGTGGTTGTCGAGGAGCACAAGTCGCCTAAAAGGGTTTTCATATTGCAATCTGTCAGCTTACGATGCAGTGGTTAGAACTGGGTTAAAGTCCGCATCAAGTACGGAAATCTTCTAGTGCTCTGGCAATGCCATTAAGTCTACACTTGGCAAAGCTCTTCAACCGCAATTTATGTCATTTTGATCCAGAATGTACTAATGAATCAAAATTTGCTAATACTAGAAACATTCTAGTGCTATATCTAACCATATTAGGTCACTCACAAGATTTAGGGCAATACTGGGCACGCTGAGCATCGGTGTAGGCGGTGTTCGTGCAAAAACCGTTAGCTACCCACGTGGCGCAGCTGAAATGATAAAAGCACATATTTTATCAAAAAAATTTGAACATTTTATACTTTTTAGGATATAGACTAAATGTAAATAGTAAAAATCTCGTCAAAAAAACTCACTTCGAGTTCAAATCAGTGCAGCTTGTGGACGAGCAGAGGCTGCCTGAAGTTTTTGGTTCATTTGTTTGAAAAGTTGTTGTCTAATTTGAAACTAGATATCGAATGAGTCAGCTGTTTGTAAGATTTCGGTGAAATTGATCAATTTTATGCAAAACGCACATGAAGCTCCGCAGTATTGCGCCTTCTGGGCGTCGGTGTAGAAAGTGTTCGTGCAGAAACCGTTGCTTACCCAGTTCGGGCAGCTGAAACAGATGGATTGGAAAATATTTGGGAAACGTTTAAAGCTCAAGCTCAAGCTCAAGCTCAAGCGGCTAATTGATCTTATCTATTAGCTTACTTGGCGCTTGAATCCGAACATGTTGTTGACGAATTGCTGGAAGTACCGCAAAGGCCGCCTAAAAAAGTGAGACTTTGACAAATTTTGTCCAAAAAAAACCGAAGAACATAGAGAATAAAGTCATTTATGGCTAAACAACTTGCAATTAATTAACCTATTAACATTTTTAACTATGAAATTAACAGCACTCACATGAAGCTCCGCAGTATTGCGCCTTCTGGGCCGACGTGTAGTAAGTGTTTGAGCAGAAGCCGTTGCTCACCCAGTTCGAACAACTGAAAGCATGTTTTTACGAAAATCATTGAAATCTCGCTTACGAGCTGGATGTGTCCGAGCATGCGGATGCAGCGGAAGCACCTGAAATTCATTTCTTAAGCTTATTCCCATGATTTTCAAATGCACTTGTAAGAAGTTGTAGAAATTTTAGCCTTATGGCCAGTGTTGCTTCAAAAGATAAGGCTAGTCAAGCCAACGTCGTCAAATAGACTTTGAAAGACTTGAGTTTTGTCAAAACAACTACTGTTAGAAGCCAATGTGATTTGGTACTGGCTTTTGACTTATAATTAGCTTGACATGGCTTATAAAACAGCTCAAGGACTACCCTGGAAGTAAGGCAGCGAAATCAGTTTGAAAGGTGCGGTCTGGATCGAGCCGGATTTGAACCAGGCCGAGCCGAAACCGGATAGATTCAAAATAGATCAAATCGATCCGGCTGACTGGAAAGCTTAGACCTTATGCTCCTGGTTTGAACCCAAAAAATGATAACAAACCAAGAACGATGAGGAGTGCGGCGGTGACTGTTGAGCTCATTGCTGCTTTCGTCGGATTCAGGACAAGACTTCACTAGATGATTGGAGGAGAAACCACCGAATGAGTGATCCTGAAGCGCTCACTCCGTCTTTTATATGATTACTGCGTAAAGATTTCGAGATCTCGTCGTGTCTGTGTGCACAGCTTCAATGTGCAGCAATTTCGACCATGTTTCTTTTTTTGTCGCGCTCTTTGCGAGCTTTTAATTTTGCATTTAAAAAGTTATTGGTGAACATTGGTGTGTAAAAAGAAAATTTTCGGGAAAAAGACAAAAAATTTCATCAAACTTTTGCAGACAATCTCGGGAGCTGTTTGAGTGGGTGTGGTGGGTGGATTCTATTTTTGAATCGAACTCTGAAGTTTTCAAAACGGCTAACAGTTTAGCAGTTGCACATCAGGCTATTGAGTGCTTTTGCAAATCAACCAATTCGCTGTACTTTTGAAAATTAACCGAGCTAACAACGAGTGTGACTTTATGCTCTTTAAATGTTAGCAAAACTTTGTTGGTGTCTCAGATAATTGAAGATTGATTTGTTTATCTAGTATCCGTTTGCTAGTAGTGAACATCAAGTACTCTTCATTTCATTTTGCAAGTGTTGAATAGTTCTGAAAGTGCTTTACAAGCTAAAGCCACTGCTCTGCAGACAGTCAAATTCAATACACAAGTTGAAAATTCAAAGTCGATGGATAAGATATCGTAATCAGTTAAAGACAATATTCTGTTGTCTGTTTTTTTGTAACTTTTTTTACTCTAAAAACCCATTTTTAAGCATTGCGTTGATTCAATTGTATTCCTTTTTTTGTTTTCATTTTGTTAAATTCATCAAGTTTGTCTCTAAACACGATTTGGATATCAAGTAAAAAGTTCTCTACTCTTCATTTCACTTTGCAAGTGTTGTAGAGTTCGGATAGCGCCAAGTTGCTCCATTTTGAGCAAAAGTTTGCACTAATAAGGGAAAGTTTTGATAAATTGTGCGTTTTCAAGGCATCTAACACTAAACCACACTGAGACACGGCCACACAAGAAATTACAAAGCTCAAAGTATATTTCTTACAGCTTACTAGTACACTCTGTCAAAAAATTATAGACGCACCCTGTTTTTTGCTAGTTTAGAGCCGGATATAAGTGCTAGTCCAGTGAAAAGTATTTTTTAGTTTCTTTAATGTAAAAAACAACCCCAGCAAAATTTCAAGTCATTTCACTCATCCAAAGTACTTTATCGTACAAAAAACATTTTAACAGCTGTCAAAAAATTATAGACGCACTTTTATTTGATGATTTATTCTATCGATAATTGTTAGTTTTTTCTCATTTTTTTTGCTTATTAGCTATGTTTATAAATGTTTTTACATTTTCAGATATGCCACTTGGAAAACAACTGGATGTGGTGGAAAAAACACGTATCGATGTGCTCCACACGCTTGGTCACTCAAACAGGGACATCGCTCGTCGCATCGGACGTTCTGAGAAATGTATTCGTACATATCTCAAGACCAAAGTGACTTCTAAGAAGAAAGAAACACGGGGCCGGAAGAAAAAGTTGACCGATCAAGACGAACGCGCAATTACGAGACGTCTTTCCAACACGACGACATCACTCGAAGAGGTTCGCAAGGAGATGAAGCTTCCGGTCACTCGCCAAACTGTGCACAGCGTTGTCAAACGATCTTCAATACTCAAATACAAACTCATGAAGCAAGCTCCACGACTTACAAAGGACCATAAAGCCGCCCGTATCGATTTCGCTCAAAAGAGCCAGAAGACCAAATGGGAAGGAGTTGGTTTACTAGTATTTCTTATATATTTTATGTCTAGATCATTTGGAGTGACGAAAAGAAGTTCAATCTTGATGGTGCTGATGGTTTTCGAAGGTATCGGATGGATTCACGAAAGCCGGGCATGGTCTTTAGCACGAGGAACTTTGGAGGTGGATCATGTATGGTATGGGGAGCCTTTCGAGACGGTGAACTGATCGGCTTAGAGTTTATTTCGACCCGGATGACATTGCTTGACTATCAACAAGTATTGAGCAAACATCTAGCCGTCTATCTGAACAACAATCCGGGCAATAACTTTACTTTTATGCACGATAACGCGAGTATTCATGCAAGTTGCTCCACAAGAGATTGGCTAACAGCGCACAAAATCGGCACTGTCGCTTGGCCCGTGGCAGCCCAGACTTGAACCCGATTGAGAATTTGTGGGGGACACTCCTTCGAGGTGTCTACAAGGGAAAGAAGCAATATTCGAACGTGAATGAGCTCAAGAAAGCCATTCAAGTAGCCAACAGCGCTCCATGACCTTGTCTCTTCGATGCCGAGAAGTCTTTTTGAAGTTGGACTAAAGCAAGGAGGGGCCACGCATTATTAATTTATTTGGTTTGTGTTGTTATTTTTATTTCTGTTAACTTTTTCTTGATAGAGAAAAGTGCGTCTATAATTTTTTGACAGCTGCTAAAACGTTTTTTGTACGATAAAGTACTTTGGATGAGTGAAATGACTTGAAATTTTGCTGGGGTTGTTTTTTTACATTAAAGAAACTAAAAAATACTTTTCACTGGACTAGCACTTATATTGGGCTCTAAACTAGCAAAAAACAGGGTGCGTCTAAAATTTTTTGACAGAGTGTACCTAGATATGGAAAAAAAACTCTTAGCTCATCTTCATTTCCGTTGCCGTTTCTTGGCAGATTGTTCTAAATTTTTGTCTACATCTTCCTCATTAAATGTCCCAATTCATACATGATCTCATAATCATTTACAAATTTCAAAAATAGCTGTGTTCTTAGGAAGTAAAGAAAGGCAATTTAATCCCTAATTCGAAAGCCACTCATGCAATGAGCACATTGATAATCCTAAACGCCGATAATTAAGACTGTAATACAAACTGTAATCGAGTGCACTGACCATCTTGCTTCTGTAAGTTGTTCACGTTGTTTGTAATCTTTAATTTAGTTTTTTTTGTTATTTGATTTTCATTTTCAAAATATTACTACTTGTTACAACCTTGTTACTGAGATTTTCTCCCCTTAAAAGAGTTTCATGGAGTTCAACGAGATCGACAAAAGAACAACAACAATCGATAACAAACGTGTCTTCAAACAGACAAACAAACAACAACGTGTCTTCCCCTAAAAAGATCCATTCCTAGAATTGATCTCAAACCAATTTTTTTTCTACAAGTACTTTTTCTTTCAAAAAACTAGACTCGAGAGCTTTTTTAAAGATTCATTTGATTTTCATCGATGAGACCGAATGAAATTCACACGATTCCCCTTCTTTTCATCAAAAAGACGTGTCTCTCGTCTCAATTCATCTGTGCAAACATTCCTCCCATAAACTCCTCCATTTCATGTACTTTTAAAAGGTGACTTTACAACCGCCCATATGTCTCTTTTTCTGTGCAAATTTTGTGATCAAACACTGTGTATAGTTTGCAAATTTTTCAGCAGTCCATGATGGCATGTTTGATATCAACTTTATATACAACAAAATTATAATAATTATCTAATTATCCAATTATCTAGTTGTTTTTCTTTTCCTCTTCTTTTGGTTGATCTTTTCTTGGGGCAAATGCTTTCTTCTTGCTCTTTCCGATAAACATTGCTTGTGAGAAACCGGGAGCATAAGCTGGAACAAGTGGAGGAGCCAATGGGGAGAGTTGAGGTGCCTAAAGAGATCAATATGAAAAATATTAAGATATTGAGCTTTTAGCTTCATAGAACTTGTTAGCTTGGAACCAAACCGGTACTTAACAATTCAGAAATCAGCTTATTTGTGTTAGGCATACTATAGTCTTGTCATTTGAATCCAATTTCCAAGCAAACTACATTCTGATCCTATTTCCAATTGCTAACGTACCAAGTAGATTGGTGGCACAGGGACGCCCGGGAAAGCGGCTGGCAGCACTGGAGCTCTCAACACCGGAGCCGGCGCTGGAAATGCAACTGGGGCCGCCAATGGGTAGCCGCACGGAGGCACACCGCAGCCCTATTAGTAAATATAAAGATATAATCAAAATTAGCAGTATTGTCATTATTCCATTTTAACAACTTACAGCCAATGGAAGCGGTTCAGGGATTGGCGCCGGAGCGTAGACAGGCTGTGGTGGCGGTGGTGGTGGAGGGGCACAGGCAGCCGGCGGAGCACAACCGTAAGGAGCCTAAGAAAGTTGTTATCAGAAATCATTATAGCACTAAAATCTCTAAAATCTTGTAAGTAAAGCTATTGAAAAACTAAACCGATAGTGAGACGGTGGGTTGTTGATAGGCGAGTTGTGGTGGTGTACGTGGTTGATAGGCGGGTTGTGGTGGTGTAGGTGGTTGATAGGCGAGTTGTGGTGGTGTAGGTGGTTGATAGGCGGGTTGTGGTGGTGTACGTGGTTGATAGGCGGGTTGTGGTGGTGTAGGTGGTTGATAGGTGGGTTGTGGTGGTGTCGGTGGTTGATAGGCTTGCGGCTGTGGTGCAGAAGCCGGTGGCAAAAAAGCCCGGGATTTGTGTCTAAGCAGTGCAGTGGTGCAAAATTACATATTGATAGGTTTACCGGGTTAAATGCTGGCGCTTGTGCGGGTGCGGGTGCTGCTTGGGGTGCACAAGCTGGTGGTAAACAACCCGGCATCTGAGTTTAATCGTAAACATTGTGTTTAGCAAAGTATTATAGACTAATATCATGTGCTCTTAGGCAAGCCTATAAGAACAGTATTATAGACTAATAGCAGCTCTTAGGCATACACATCTATGAGAACACTTACCGGGTTGTAAGCTGGAGCTGGCGGAGCGGCGGGTGAAGCCGGAGCATATCCACATGGTGGCTGAGCACAAGGGTTGTATGGCGCAGTAGCAGGCCCGTAGGGTCCCTAAAAGCTTTGTTAAGATAAGGCTACTGTAAAATTCTAGTACTAGTTAGTTCTTTCTTATAGGTGAGTTTTTTCTATTTTCCTATTTTCTAGCCGCGGCTTTGCGCGTTCTTTTCATATCACTCGTAGGAAAAAGCGGCCTTTGGCACACTGCCCCCCGGATATGAGTTGCAAAAGGAGCCCTTCTCCGATTTAATTACCCAAGTTTTTCATTTTCCTTATATCGGAAAATCTTTAGCCAATCTTTTCTGCTTTCTAGTACTAATTTGTGAATTTATAATATTATATTAAACAACTTGTTGAAGCCAATACCATACCGGAGCCGAATACGCTGGCGCATTGTAGGCGGGTGGTGGGGCAGCATACGGTGAATAGGCAGGAGCTGGGGCTGAATATTGGGCAGCTCGTGGGGTGACTAGTGGAGCCGGATAGCCGGGAGCTGAAGCCGCATATTGGGGTGGTGGATAGGCACGCGGTTGGGGTCCGGGTTGGCCATATTGAGGTGCTCGTTGAGCATAGGCTGGTGGAGTCTGGGGTGGCGCTTGAGGAGCTCCATACGGTGATTGGTACGGCCTCTGCGAGGGTCCATAAATGGAACCGGAGATTTGTTGGGGTGCTGATTGTGGAGCTGCACCAGGAGTTTGCTGAGATTAAATATAAATTAAATTTATTCTTTATTCTTTCAAATAGGACTTTGCAATCAAAGTTCAACAAAAAAAACAAACCCCTGGATACAAATATTGGGCGGTGAGTGAGCCGAAAATGGAGAGCAATCTGAAAGTAAACATTGAACCAGCATCAATGATGAAAATCTTTAAAAAGCGGTTGTCTGAATGCAAGTTGTCTATGCAAAAAAAACTATAGACTTTAGAAAACAAGTCATATTGATATAGACTAAAGTATTTTATTAAATTATTATTAAACTAGTTCAAATCTCGACTAGACTTTTTTTTCAATTTACCGTTAGTTTACTATAATTTTAGACATTTAGTCATTTACTTTAAACAAAAAGGTGTTCTTTTTGACTACTATCTTTTCTAAACTAAACTACAGTAATCAGCAGCTCTGGAACTTTGGAAAACTCTGAAAAGCAGCTCAAAAACTCTGTAATTCACCAAATTAAGATTACGATAGTTTTTGCAAGTTGACACATTGTTAGAAACGCATTAGGAACACGCTCTATGTTTATAGTTATAGTAATTATAGTTTAAAAATCTAAAAAAGACAATAACTAAGTCAATAAAGTGTTTAAAACTTAAAAAAAAACCTAAAAGAAAGTAAAGTTTTCAAACTCACAGCACACTTCTCAGCATCATCGTTGTCTCTTCGTTGTTGTAAAGGTGGAGGGAAGAACTCGAGTCGGCGACCACAATTGCCGCCTCTTTATACCATTCATTCTATTCAATGCCATCATTCCGCTTCTCCGCTTTGCTCATTGAAAACGAAAAACGGGAAAAGGGTACCGTTCTATGCACCTTTCCCCCTTTTCAACCCATTCATGACACCTCTATTGCCATGGACCCCATCCCGGACGACCCCGATTTCACCCGCAAAAGACCCAATATTTGTTCGATTGTTTCCCTTTCTTTCTATTATTGCGACAAAAAACGTGTCCCATAAAACACACAATCGACGTATCCGGAACATGATACTCGCGCTTCCCTCTTTACCAACTCTTTAGCGGCTCTTTCACAACAAAGGACCCGTTTCCATGCGATCTCCTCTTCCAATCGACCTCTCCTTTTTCCCTGAAAAACCTGAGAATTTTGAACTCCGGTCTCTAACGAATATCTCTTACTATTAGTGCTCGATTGCCATTCAAATACAAGTGACGGTCGAAACGAGACCAAAACTTTCAACTAAATAACTTATAGCCAGGAATTGTTGTTTATTTGTTGTTTGTTGTTTAGCTAAACGAGAAAGAAGAGGTTCCTTTTTTGGCACCAAAGTACGCAATTGCAGAATAAATTAAATGCAAAATCTGAAAGCGGCGCACTATCAGGAACTAGCATTCCCTTTTTATGCAATTCTCGGGTTAGAGTTTGACATCTTTATTTTCATCTATATACGGTCGTACAAATCATGGTGTAATAAATCCCAGAATGAGGGTTATACTTCTCTAAGAAAATGGGGGCATTAGACCTCAGTATATAAATTTAGAGACAGCTGCACCCTTTGTACCCCTTCACGAGAGAATCTCAGGTCGGACCTGAGATAATTGTATGAATAAGCACTCGCTGCAAACAGTGTGCAAACAAATAAGGAAAAACATCTGATAAGAAAAATGAAGCTTATTGGATCATAAAGTTTAACAACACGCTTTTCTATGTTTAAATAGGTAAGAATATTATTTGAAAAAATATTGTCTTGTCTTGTATCTTGTGCAACTGTCTTGCATCTTGTTTATCTTACATTTTATTGATTTGGTAGGTCGAACTCTGCATAGATTTTTCATTACTTTTCAAAATGTTATTATCTACTTGTTTTGGCAATTGGACAACCCAATACGTATTAGAAAAAAAACAATAAAAAAGGAATATGATGGTGAAAAGAGAATGGCAAAGATGGCATAACAACCACCCCTTTAGGTTTTGATAAGGATCCCATCAACCCAAATACTTTCGACAAATATTGTGGCGCAAGGAAAGATTTTTTTATAAAATGCGAACAAATGCCTATTTTACCTTACCTATTTTTTTTTATGTCAACCCCCGCGTACATTGAAGGTGTACTCGGTGCACCGGTAAAAGCTGTGGCTAGCTCAGTGTGCGTCTATTTGATTTTACGATTCCTAGCTGAGTACTATCAAAACGAAAAGAAAGAGCCGGAAAAGGAAAGAGATGAGTATGACGACACGGATGTTGGGCATTATCATGATTTGGGTCAAGACGGAGCCCACGAAAGTAATCCAGAAAGAGAGCTTGGTGGAAAAAAGATGTAGTTTGTCATTCAATTGCTTACTGTTTTGCTCAAAACAAAAGTCGACTCATTTAAATCTATTGTACAGTTTATACATTTTTCAGCCAATCAGAGTGGATGTCTCCAAGAAGACTCGGAGACGCGGGGATCTTGGAAGTTGGAGATCTCATTGAAATGCATCGGCCATTTTATAGCGTTCGTTTTATTGTTTTACTAAAAAAACGCAAAAGAAAAACGTTTAGCACTATGGCATTTACGTAGGGAAAAGTAATCGACGAGCATTGGTGATTCATTTGGCGCAACTTGGAGGCGGCGGCTTTTCGTCCTCAAGTTCAAGCAGTTCTCGCTCAAGCAGTTCTTCTTCAAGCAGTTCTTCTTCAAGCAAGAGTTCGACTCACTCCGATGACCGCCCCGGTGGAATCAGGGTTTGTGTTAAAAAAGCAAAAGTTTTTTCGTGAGAACAATACAACTGGAATACAACTGTGAACATTTCGCAACATGGTGCCGTTACGGATTTAAGTATTCGGAGCAAGCCCAAGGACGGGTTCGTTCTTTTCTTTTAAACGTAAATCTTTTGTTCTATTATCTAAATGTAAAATGGCCAAATATGATTTTAGATCTTGGGTCGTGTTGCTCGAGGTTTAAGCAAACTTGGATTGGTGCTCGGTTAATCACACATCACTTCAAAAGGAAAACAATTATTGAGAAATTTTTTTAAGAAGTTATAATTGTTGTGACTCTTTTCATTTGTTGTTTTCAGTTTCCAATTGTTCAACTTTAAGGGATTTTTGCTGAACTTTGTATAGGGTGTTCAATAACCTACCCGAACTCGGTATTTTAAGTGTAACACACAGATGTGTCAGCTCCGAACCAAACTGATATTTTAGTTACTATTGTTATTATTGAATGATTTGTCTATTCTTATGCAAATGTGTTCTCCTCTGTGCTTATCCCTTTTATTGCCGAGAAGGGGCAGTCCTTAGGACTGCCACAGATAAGCACAGAGGAGAACACATTTGCATAAGAATAGACAAATCATTCAATAATAACAATAGTAACTAAAATATCAGTTTGGTTCGGAGCTGACAGATGTGCAATCATCTCACGCTTTGCTTTGAAGGAAAAGTTAAACAATTTTCTACACTGGATTCTTCGGTTTGACGAAAAAACTATTTCTATCTTTTTTGTAGAACCGTCAAGTTGACAGTCAGGAGTTGCTTGGCCTGCTTGCTTGGACTTGCTTGGCCTGCTTGCTTGCCTGTTTTTGCAATACACTTTAAATGTTATCAAACGAATCGAAATGTAACGTGACACTCAATTAGATCAAATTTTGCTATTTTGATTTCACATGGGCCTAAGCGTTGGGGTCTATCCCAAAACAGCGCCAATGGAAAAAACGCCATGCAAAACAGCGCCGATGCAAAACAGAGTTTTTTCTCTTTTACAATGTACAATTCATTTTTTTATTAGCAGCTTTTAATTTTGATAATTTATTTAAAAATAACATGACCAACAATTAAACGATGCATAAAAAACATCAAAATAGCATCAAATTAATAGTCCAAGTCCTGGCATACATCAGAAAAGTTCTTTTTCTAAAACACAATCGTATTAATTAAGAGTCCAAAAGACTCTGCAACATCATAAGTGAGAACCATTAATCCTTGAACGAAGATTTTGTCAATAGGATCCTGGTATACATCAAACAAGTTCTTTTTCTAAAACACAATCGTATTAACCTTTTATAATTAAAAACCTGAATAGCTCCATAAACGCTCTTGAAAAAAATGTTTTGGCGCTGTTTTGAGTACGGCGCTGTTTTGAGTACGGGGCTGTTTTGAGTACGGGGCTGTTTTGGGTACGGCGCTGTTTTGGAATAGACCCTGTTTTGGGTACGGCGCTGTTTTGGGTACGGCGCTGTTTTGGGTACGGCGCTGTTTTGAGTACGGCGCTGTTTTGGGATAGACCCTGTTTTGAGTACGGCGCTGTTTTGGGTACTGTTTTCTTCTTCTTTTTTCTGTATATTGTCAAAAATTTGAGCACTTACATTTACTTCAATTTCTTTTTATAAATCAAAAATATTTACTCTCTTGAAGAAACATCGAAATTCATTTCATTAATCAAATCGTAAAAACAAAATAGCTGAAGATCATCAAATCTATTTACAAGTCATCAAACAGATTTAATTATGATCAACATTAAAATGGTTACAAAAAATTGAATGAAACAAAAAAAAGTTTAAAGTGTATCACACACTGAAAAATCTCTCGTCGCCACTTCGCGGATCTAGTCGACACGATGGAATTGGCTTCAACACAGGATTGATGGGTAGCTTGTTAATTTTCCTCATCCATCATTGATAGACCGGCCGATTTCCTAAAAAACGCAAAGTTACTTCTCATAAAACAACATCAAAGTGAAAATGAGAAAAAATTGAAAGAAAAGGCACGCGAAGTTGAGAAGGACGAATGGGGAATTTGCCGAAAAGTTGACAGGATGTCAGAGACATTTAGTGACTTCCAAAATTCAAAACCAATTGTAATTTTGCCGAATAGCCATTTTTGCACACTACTCATAAGACATCACCACAAACAAATGGGTCATGCAGGCACTGCCTCAACATTAGCAAGCATTCGTCAAAGATTTTGGATTTACAAAGGGCGGCAAGCAGTCAAAAAAGTCACACAAAGATGCGTCTTATGCAAATATTTTAATGGGCTCCCATACAAGCAACCGGCATGGGCACCTTACCCAAAGATTCGAACAAATCGCAGTTTGCCATTTGAGAATACCGGAATAGATTACATGGGTCCAGTATTGATCTACGACTCAGCACTAGACGTCGAAATAGACGTATGGATCGTTCTACTCACATGTGTGTGTACAAGGAATATTCACCTAGAAATTGTAGATTCATTACGAACCAGCACGTTTCTAGAAAGTCTGAGAAAATTTTGCGCTCGTCGTGGAAAACCTAAACTCATTCTGACAGATAATGCTAAAACATTCAAATTGGCGGATAAATTTGTAAAGAATGCAAAAGAAATCGAGGGAAACTTCGTGAATATCCAAACCCTAGCCGATTATGGTATACAATGGAAATTTACGGTTCCACATGCACCGTGGCAGGGAGGGATATATGAAAGATTAATCGGTTGTGTCAAACTAGCACTGGGGAAGATAAAACACGGAAGAGGAATATCCAAGCAACTACTGGAGGTTATCATAGTAGAAATTGAAGGCTTTGTCAACAGCCGCCCCTTGACTTACTTAGACGAAGAACAGTCAGAAAGATTGATTCGCCCAATAGATTTTCTGTTACCCGGCGTAAAATTGAACCTTGAAATTGAAAGTTGCGCAGATCAGAGCGATCCGGATTATCAAGACAAAATTATACAAACTCATGAAGATGTCAAAAGAAAAATTGAAACCACAGAATACTACCTAAACTTGGTGTGGAAAACATTCCATAACAGCTACATGCACTCACTACGAGAAAGCGGCAAACAACACGCAAGTAAGCGAGAATCAAAAATAGCTATTCAATTTGGCGAAATTGTACTGATAATGAAGGAAGACGTAAAAAGAGGTTCTTACGCAAAGGGCAAAATTATACGCTTAATGGCAGGCGCAGATGGAAAAATTCGAAGTGCTATTGTCAAAACAGGCAATAATAAGCAAATTGAAAGACCAATCAATCTGTTGATCCCACTAGAAATTCGCGCTGAAGAAAATTTTGAAAAACCGTGCGAAATTACGTCGAAAAAAGCAACACTACGAAACAGTACGCCAAGAGCCGCAAAAGGCAAAGTAAATTATTGGAAAGCGCCAGATGACGATTTCTGAGCATTTCGACAAAGCAACAAAGCTCGCGCTTCCGTAACAAATTGCATATTTTTCCGAACCACACCTTGTGAATTTAATATTGAAAAATTTAAATCAAAATCATTAACCCTTCGAACGTTATTTGTATCAAGTTTCCCCCCTTTCTTAAAATTTCTCTTTCAACAAGATTTCTTTTTAAACAACATTTCAATGTTTAAATTACAGGAGATGTCTGCCAAAAACGAGGGCACCACGATAGAGAGTCCCAATACGCTCGAGGTGAAGCAATTAATGGAGAAGATGGACGAGAAATTTTCGGGAATCACGTCGATGATCAACGAAACAACGGACAAGCTATCGAACGCGATTTTTACGGAGACACTCGCCACTTCGGCCTCAATCAAAGACGACTTGAGGGAAATGTTCGTCGAATGGAAGGAGAACATTGAAGAAACGATCAACCAACAGCTCAATAAGCTGAAGCGAGAGCTGATTGAAGACTTGAACGATCCAGATGAACCACCCATGAAGCGAAAAGTAATAACAACCAACACTCAACGTCACGTGAAAAAAGATTGCATCTTCTGTGGAACCAAAACCTGCAAAGATATAGTCAAGTGTTCAATGAAGATTGAATATTTTGACAGAATGAGGATCGCAACAATGAACAGAATATGCCAAATCTCGAAGAACTGCTTAAAAGAGCATCCGGGACCCTGCAACAAATCTCTGCAACAAACAAATCTCCTGCAGCCATTGCAGCGGTCGACATCATGTGGCTTTCTGTGAAAAACTTGGAATCGAAATGATCAAAAACCAGTCTTCATCCAAATATTAGTTATTGTGTTTTCCCTTCCCCCACTCCTCGTTCAAAAATTTGCTCTTTTTTCAAGATTTAAATCCTTCCCTACAAAATTCCTGGTGCACAAGGTTTCCTCGAAAAATTGAAACTTTCTCTGTTAAGATTGTCGCAGAACAAGTTTCCGCTTCACATTTTGCGTTGCGGGGAGAATCCAGAGTAAACTCTGAATCATTTTGGAGGTCGGAGTGTGGCGAATAGCCACTAAAAATTATCTAACCCTGACAGCCTAAAAATTGGAAAAATATTGAGGAAATCGGTGCGCCTTCATTTTATTTCGCGCCCCAAATCATTTATTGTTTTGTAGCTTGTTAGCTGTGTTAAAGCCTATATAAGGCAACTGTTGTTCATTTGTTTTTTGTTATCTTTCATTTTCTTTACTGCTTTCCTCTCATTGTGTGAAAGTTGTGTCCTAATTAGGACGAAATTGTTTCTGTTTTATTGTCACTTTTAATTCAATTGTCGATCTTGTGTGAAAGTTGCTCAAGTGAGAGCCCAAAGATTCCGAGTCAGTCGGCTATTGAATAAAGTGCTTTTTTAGTTCAAGTGAGATCAGATATCTCAAAACAAGAAATAACGTGTCTTGAGTGAAGAGTACCAAGCACGCAAAGAATATTTCTTTACAGTAACCTAATAAAACTAAATTTAGCGCTGAAACGTTCACGACCACCAAAATTTTTTTTTTATTAAATCCTCCAAAAACCGTAGAAAAATATTTCACTTTTCTATTGAAACAAAAGTGTGAGATGATTGCACATCTGTGTGTTACACTTAAAATACCGAGTTCGGGTAATTATTGAAAACCCTGTATACCAAGTTCAGTTTAGATTTTCCTATTGTAATATTTTGTTTTGTTTATTTGTCAACGAGGGATTGGTACTCATTGAGTCTTGAAAACTCTTTTGAAATAGTGTGTACAGAAAAGGGAATGTTTTACCAAATCTTCATTTTACTCAACGATGAAGTACCACAATTTTTGCGAAACAACTCATTGTCGACTAACTACTAAAAAGTAGTGAGGTGTGAAGAGAAAAAAGCAGAAGAAAGGAATTTTTGACAAAATGGGTGAATGGTCACGACTGTGAGAGTTTTGCGAAGAAAGGGACACAAGAGATGACAGTGAAAGAGCAAAAGAGGGGTCATTTGCACCCGCTTGAGGGGAAACTCTCAACAATTTGTATACAGACACACCCATCAAAGGGGAAAATCCCGTAAAAGGAGTCTGTGAATTGATTTTTTTTTATTTCTTTCACTCACCTAAACTTTCTATGATACAATTCGTCTTATTATCTGCAGTTATCGCAGTCATTTCGGCTAAAGGCATCACCGTTTTGTCGACAAGGAGCATTCCCACAATTGCTACAACGACAACAACCACTACGTTTAGGTAAAAATTGGCTACATTATCTAAATTATCAAATTTGTTTTAAGAAAGTTTCTAGTGCAGAATGCTGACAAAATAAGAATATAGCCAAGAATTCAATGCTACTCTTTCCAAAAACCGAGGCCAAGTCAAATGCCGATAAAAACATTTTCAGTTCAACCACCTTCAATAATGAATCGGTAACAAGTGAACTGACAACTACTGAGAAAGCCCCCAATTTGGTTGCTTTTCCTATTTTTGACCCGAGCCTCACGGAAAATGAAGCATTGACCACAAAGAAACCAACCACCCCTCGACGACACAAGAATTACCGAAAAAATTCAGCTCCGTTTGGACAATTTCTGCAGGTTTGCTTTAAATAGTTGTAAAAGTTCGTAAAAATTTAGATTCATTTACTTTTGCAAACTGTATTTAATCAAAATATTAGCTAGTTTTATTTAGAATGATGAACGACAGGAGTTGGGTCGGTTAATTAAAGAGGCTCGAGTGGCTGGACTGCCAAGAAAAGTGAGTTCTGATGTATGGACATTGTATGGACAAGGCAATTCTTGAACAAAACTTTGCTTTAAAAGATTTTTGGATGTGTAAGTGTAATTTAACCTCTAAAGAATCTATTCCTTGTCATTCAATTCATATTTGAAAATCCGAAAAGTCTTGTCTATGACAAGTGTTTAGCTAAATAGTAAAGATACCATTTTTCCAAAGAATTGATATCCGTTCTCTAGGATGTGCAACAACAAATCTACTCCTACATGCAAAAGCATTTGAGTCCATCACTTATGCTCGGTCTCAACCAACTCATCGAGGAGGGCCGAAAAACGAATCGCGGTCTTTTACCCCCGTTAACTTCATAAAGCTTTAGAAATTTATTCACTTCAAAGACATCAAACAAAGCACATAAGAAAATGAAAAGAATGAGATGAGTGATTTGGATGGAATTTAATCTAGAACACTGAGGCCACCAAGATGAGCAGAGTGGTGAAGAGGAACGGAATCGAGCTCGAGAGCTGCGTGGGTGCGGGTCCGGTGGGAAGCGCGTAAGGGTTGGAGTTGAGCGAGTTTCCGGTCGTCTTGTTCACGCAATCATTCCAGCTACAGCAACATCCACTGAAAAGGATTTGAATTGATAAAAAAGATATTAAGAATGTCTAAAGAATATCTTCCTTTGATTACCGACTATACCGTCAACTTGCTTGTATTTTCCCAACGCAAGCTAACTAAAGGTACGATAGGTTTGTCAGTTTTACGCTTCCATGCAGCTTTTTATACAATATAATCTCCATATTTTATCCCAAATCACTTGATACTGTGTGATAAACTCACAGAATTCCGCTTCCAGTTCCCGGCACAGTCACACAGGTATCCACAATTCCAAGACCCGCGCACAAAGACACCGGGTCACAGGTAAACATCGTAGCGCCAAATGTTGAATCTAAATGATGTATTCAAACAAAAACTGACTTTTTTATAGCCTTCAGGTACTGTTAGATCCTAAACATTGAAAGTTTTTCGAAAGAGATGTCTTGTTGCTATCAGTACCATTTTTATCTAAATGAACTCACTGCTGACGGTGGTGTTGTAGGTGATCGCAGCGCAATTTCCGAAGCACGGCATGTACTTATCGTCACCGGTCAAATTATAGAATTGACCGCCGAACGTGAAAGTGAGACCGGCATAGCAGGCGAGTGGTGATGAAGGAATAGTGGCGACAACTGGAGTCGGTAGTGTTGCATTTGGTTGCTGAAACAGTAGCCTTGGATATTTGGCTTGGCTATCCCATCAAACCTGGTTCATGATGTTGCAGTTGTCCATGCCATTGCAGCAGCAAATGTCAACAGCGTCACCGGCCGAGTCGACCAAGCGGCGAGTGCAATCGTTCCACACCTCTGAAGTTGAGTCAATGATTGAACTATAATTCTTTTTCTACCGAAAGCCGAGCAGAGTGCTTGTGGGGCACAATAGTATCCGTAGGTCCTGATTCCGTTGATGGTGGTGACAAGTGTTCCACATTGCCCATCACACTGCCCTTGACCTCCATAAGTTGTGGTCATTGAAGTGTTCTGGTTGAAGAAGGAGAGTCCGATGAAGCAATTGCTGCTCGTTGGCAATGGATATGGGTTGAGCGAGTTGCCGGTGGTTTTGTTGATACAATCGTTCCAGTTACAGCAGCAACCACTGAAAGCATGGTTTTTTTGCAATAGGCTCACTTGGTTAGACTCACGAGATTCCATTTCCAGTGTTTCCAGTGATGTTGACGCATTGGTTGCTCAATCCGAGACTTGGGCACAAGTATTGTGGGTCACAGGTGTACATTGTGGCGGCAAAGCTTGCGTCTAAAGTGGATCTTTTTAGAATTCTTCTAGTTCCCCAAAGGTAGACGGTTCTCAGAGACAAATTATAGATTTAATTGTTCTAGATTGATCTTAAAAATGTTGAAAATCTTATTGAAATCGATTGAAATTGAAAATAAACAAAGAAAAACTGTTAGTGCACCGAAGACGATGCAAACGATGCTGTATCCAAATGGACCGTTTCCAGATAAATCAACCCACTGTTGGCCGTGGTGGCATAAGTGACAGCGGCACAGTTTCCAAAGCATGACATGTACTTATCACTATCAGTCAAGTTGTAGAATGTGCCACCCAATTGGAAGGTGAGACCGGAATAGCATGAGAGTGGGTATCCTCTAGTCGCTGGTGGAGTTGGAGTTGGGATGGTGACATTTGGTTGCTGAAAAGTTTGGGAATAAGACTCAGGATCAGAGTTGGGTTAAAGTAAGCCCAAAATTTAGAATTACCGTAAATACTGTAATAGTACCCCACCCCCATAATGACGGTGCGAAGTGTTGCGTAGTCTAGCTTTGAACGAGTTTTTCTCGACACTGATTTATGCTATAATGCGCGCTTAGGTATCAAAAAATAGCCCTGAATTTCAGCTATTTTTTGATACCAAAGACGCATTTTTGGAAAGTACGGGCGCTTTGAAAAAATGAAATACTAAAAAACTTTTGCGACTACGCGACTGTACGAGAGGGGTGGGGTACTATTACAGTATTTAGGGGAGGTCCTCTAGAGGCTTTGAACGGTGGCCTACCTGGTTGTTGATGTTGCAGCTGTCTCCCGAGTTACAGCAGCAAATGTCAACGGTGTCGGCGGCTGAGTCGATGAAACGCGTTGTGCACTCGTTCCACAGCTCTTAACAAGCCAAGAAGTTATTTTTTTTTAGCCTTTTAAAACTTTATTTTAAGTAATGAAAGCCTACCGAAAGCCGAGCAAAGCGATTGTGGGGCACAATAGTATCCGTAGGTCTTGACTCCGCTAACGGTGGTGACAAGTGATCCACATTGGCCATCGCATTGTCCAGGTCCTCCATAAGTTGTGGTGCTTGCTGAATAGGAGATTTTGTTGAAATAATCTTAGTCAATTCTTACTTCCATTCTGGAAGGAGAGACCGATAAAGCAGTTGGTTGAGGTTGGCAATGGGTAAGGGCGAATCTAAATAAGATAATCGATACAAACAATAAGACTAGTTGTGAAGTTGAGCTTATTCTATCATTAAACAAAGAATATTTACAATTAGATTTATGATTGTTTAATGCCATTTTTGAAAACCTGAAGTGTGTTAGGGTCGATACAGTCATTCCATTGACAACAGCATCCACGAATCGAGGTCGAGTTGTCGCTTCCTTGTTGCTAAACTTCTTGTTTGGAAAGTTGTAATGATCATGAAATGTAACAAGCTTTTCTCTATGCTATAATTTCATCAGCCTTAGGAGAGGGTTTGAATTATGACCGATTTTCAGTCAGACAGCTTGTCATCAGCTTTTCCCAGTACTTACGCTGATCCGGTGGCATCGGTTCTGCATGCGAAGTCCAGCACACATTTGAACCGGATCACACATAAACATCGTCAACTAAACATCAAAGGTTTAACAGAATAAAAAATTCTATTTTACAGTATTTCATAAAGCTTAAAACAAACGTTGATTGGTTGTCCTCCATTGATTGTCGACGAGAAGGTGAGCGAGGCACAGTCTCCTTGGCAAGCCATGTAGCTAAAAGTTAAATATAAGATTTTGTCACTAATTAGTCTGTTCTTTGTTCTTGTGAAATATTTCCAAAAGCAGTACCGATCAGCAGTATTCACAACTCCATTGTAGTTGATACCGGCCAAGCAGCCAAGCACTGGCACTCCGGTGGTGTTCACTGGCATTCCTGGGTCGATTCCATATCTAAAAGAAAGTTATTTATTATAAAAGGATTCCACGTTAATGTCACAAGATTCATAGTTCTTCAGTAGTCCATTTTTTAAAAGAATTTAGCACCTGGCTGTGTTACAGTTGTCGGTGTCGGCACAGCAACATCCCTTCAAGTAGTCGCCGCTCTGAAATGAATTGGTTTTTCGTGACTCTAAGACAAGTTTATATGATAGATAACTCAATTATAGGTAAAATTCCTACTCGATCAAGGAATCTAGTCGCACATCCACGAGTTGGATCAATCGCATCGCAAACTGAATCCGAGGAACAGAAAAAGCCAATTGTGACGACTCCGTTGAACTGAAATTTGCTCAGTTAGTAGGTTAGAGAAAGTGTGCCAGCCAACCAAGCTAGTTTAGCTCATAATTAATCAAATCTGGCTGATTATTGCGGTATTTTTTTTCTCCCACAAACCATCGTTTCGACACTCATGCATTCTCCATTGCAAATTCCCATTGAGGATCCATAGCTGGTTGTTCCATTTGAGCCGAGGAAAGAGAGGCCAACATAACAGTTCAAGTCATCCTTGTGCCAATGGGGCATGGGTTTCACCTGAAAGATAGTATTGAAGTGATCGAAGTTTCGTTTAAAGATTAAGAATTAGATTCTACAATGAAACTCACCGAGAATGAACTGTTTGACGATCGATCGATACAGTCACTCCATCCACAGCAGCATGAACGAATTCGAGTACCGTTGGGGCCATTGTTCTGGAGATCGCCGCAGCTGAAAGCCATTGTGTTTAGTAAGCATTGCAACTTTCAAAGCTTTGAACCTGTTTGACATGTTGAACGAGTTGCACAACGCTGCAGGATCACACGTGAAGATTGTCGCCGAGAAATCGTTTCCGTTCACTCGAGAACCGTAAGTGAGTTGCGCACATTGTCCTTGACAAGCCATGAATCTGGAAATAACTTATCTTACAAGATTCTCTTTAGTCTTTAGTTACCTATTGTCCGGAGTGAGCACGTTTCGATTGAGCGCAAAGCCAGCATAGCAAGCAATTGGAGAAGTCGTTGGGTCGATGGATGGAACGGGTGAAGGAACTGGGAAGCCATGTCCGTAGATATTGCAATTATCCCAGCGGGCACAGCAGCAAGTCTCAAGATAGTCACCGGCCGCATCCATTTGGTAAGTGCCTAAAGAGCAAGCTCAATCATAAAGGATTTAAGCTCATATGATAAAGATAATTAGCTAATGCTCACCACACTCGCGTTCCGTATCGAAAACGTCGCAGAGAACTTGTGGAGCGCACATGAAGGACCACATGTCGTAGCTGCCGAAATGCGTTTTCACCGAAGCGCATTCACCGTTGCAAGGCATTGAGGCTCCCTAAATAGCTTCACATTCGTCTACTGGTTGCAGTTGTCATTTAAAATTGCTATCAAGACTCACAGTCATCACTCGGGTGCTTGAATTCATTGGGTTCGATTGCAATTGGACACCGACGAAGCATTGGAGATCATTTTTGTGTGGTTGTGGGTTGATGCTTCCGTTGTTTTTGTTGATACAATCATTCCAGTTACAGCAACAGCCACTAAAGTGATTAATTGAAGTTATAGTCGACACTAAACTCACGAGATTCCCGTTCCACGGTTGTCCGATTTTGTGATATTGGTGCAACTATTCGCGATTCCGAGTGTAGCGCAAAGAGATACGGGATCACAAGTGTAAACGGTAGCCAAGAAGTTGTTTCCTGAAAACAAGATGGTTTCATTGCTGCTGAATCTCTTCATTTACCGCTAAGGAAAGATTGATAGGTGAGCTGAGCACAATCTCCTTGACAAGCCATGTATTTGTCATCGTCGGTCAAGCCGTAGAAAGTGTTGTTGTAGAGGAATGAGAGTCCGGAATAGCAAGAGATTGGGGTTCTTCGCCTTGTTGGGCCAGTTGGAGTGGGAACAGTGACGTTGGGTTGCTGAAAGTTTATTTTCGGCTTTACTTTCACACTTCCAATTGTTCTAGAATCTCTCAGCTGACAAAATTCTTGTCGATACTTGATCCCATAGCTTGTTCATATTGTGAACCAAACTATTGATACTCCCCGGAGAGTTAACTACTAACCTGTCGTTGGAAATTGCAATTGTCGGCATTGTTGCAGCAGCAAATGTCAACCCAATCGGTGGCATCCGGATAGTCCAACCATCTTCGAGTGCACTCGTTCCATACATCTGAAAAAGGATCAGTTGCTTTATGACTGTATCAAGTTTTTGATTGTTTTGCATAGTTACTAAGCTAGCTTGTTTTCTTATCTCCATATCAAAAGCTAATTGCGAGTATTAAAGTCATTTGGTCTCTGATCTGACAAAAATACCCTACCGAAAGCCGAGCAAATAGCCTGTGGAGCGCAGTAGTATCCATAGGTGTGAATTCCGTTGATATCGGTGACAAGAGTACCGCATTGTCCATCGCAAGACATTTGTCCACCAATGTTTGTAACATTTCCGCCTGAAATTGAAATATTTCAGAAATTTATTGGAATTCGACCTGATGTATTTTGGAAGCCGAGTCCAATGTAGCAGTTGATTGATGAGGGCAATGGATAGGGGTTGATCTGAAGTTGAATGTTGGCTTTGGCAGGTTTATTTCGCAAAGTTCTTGAGCAATATAATTTTCAAATTCTACCTTTCTATTCGGAATATCGATGCAATCGTTCCAGTCACAGCAACATCCCGTGAAGATTCCTGTTGGCGAGGTGCCGCACGCATTTTGGAGGTACATTCGATCGCAAACGCCAACCGGATCGCAACTGTACATTGTCACATTGGTGTCTTGTCCTGAAACAAACTTTTGAACAAATATATGACTATAGATTTTATTAAGCAAAGCTTTAGTCTCCTTAAGTTCCTACCAGCGATCGACGTTCTAAAGGTCATCATTCCACAATCACCCTGACATGCCATATAACGGCCAGAATTGTCGAAGAAGTTGTTGTTGATGCCAAGACCTCTGAAAGATGCAAATAGAAATGCGATAATAAAGATAATATAAGAAAGATGTGAATTCTACTACACCCTGGTACTAAACCGATTCTATTGTCAAGTAAAAACTCACCCCCAGCAAGCGATTGGTGGTCGATTCGTCGCTGGTGTGTACGGCATCGGTCGGACTCGGTTCCGTTCAGTGTTGCAGTAGTTTTGGTAGTCGCAGCAGCAAGCTGAACAATTAATTAATAATTTTTTTTCGCTTTTGACAAACCTGTAACATGTGGTGAGCCAGCATCTCCCAGAATGGTGAGGCAGTCGTTGCGAAGGTCGAGGGTTTTGCAGGTGGAGGTGGGCGCGCAGAAATAACCGACAAAACGGGCCTGCAATTTTAAGATTGTTCATGATTAAAGCTGAAAAATAAAGCTTCCAGTCTAGAATCACTCACTCCGCTGATCGTCGTCTCAACAGAGGCACATGTTCCGTCACATTGCACTTGGTAGACATTCGTGTAGTTGGAGGAGTCGACAGTGAGACCAGCTCCGCACTGAAGGGAGTTTGTGCCATTGGGATATCTGAATTCAAGGGTTGATTCATAAAATCCATTAAATCTATCAAACTTGCCAACTCACTAATTGTTTTAAGCGCTTACTTTCGTTGGTATGGCTGGATGCAGACGTCCGAGTCACAGCAACATCCGCTGATTGGTGTGTTCGGGATTTGGGCACATCTATAATTTGTATGAATCAAGTTATTATTCAATTAGCTAACCTGTTGACAATTCCCAATCCTTGGCAAACGGTGGTTGGGTCACAGGTGTAAAGAGTCACATTGTATTGATCTCCGTTGACTGATGATTGAACTGTCAACGAGGCACAGTCACCAACACATCCAGTGTAACTTTCAGCGATTGAAATGCTAAAAATTATGCATAAGCAGGATTAGTTTCTCATGCCTGAATAAAAGTTATAAAAAACCAGACTCACTTGTTAACATGAAGTCCCTGGAAGCAAGCGATCACGTCTCTTCTCGGTATTTGTGTCGGTGTCACAGGAGTGATATCAGTATTGTTGGTGTTGCAAATTGTTCGAATCCCAGCAACAGCACGTCCTCAACGCCCATTCCAGCAAAAGTCAAGTTCGAGCAGCTTCCAACCGTGTCCAAAGCCCAGCACAAGTTGTACGAAGCGCAGTAGAAAGACTCGATCTAAAAAAGTTCTCGCATTAATTTGGTTTACAGTTGTAGACTAGCCGTATATCCAGCAGTTGTAGTCTTCAGGCGGCCGCACATTCCATCACAAGCAATCGGAGCCCCGACATCGACAGCATTATTGGTTGTCGTGTTCACAATGTGAACTCCCACATAGCACTCCATGATTGGCGTTCGAGTACCTTAATAGAAAATTTTAAATTTCACTTTGTAGATTAACTAACCATTTGGATATCTCGGTGGGGTGACGGTTGGATCAATGCAAGCATCCGAGTTACAGCAACATCCGGCGAGCGTTCCATTGGAAAGGCTAAAATCTTGTCAATAGCTGATCAGCTTTGATTAGAAACTAATAATCTAGAGTCTAGAATCGTTTAATGAATCTGGTTTTTATTTATAAGCAAGCGATTAAAACTCACTTCAGACAATTGTTGGTAATTCCAAGTTGTTGGCACATGTTTGCCGGCTCGCACGAGTACATCGTGAAATCGTATTGAGCTTGGAGCTAAAGGAATTTACGTAGAAGCTTCAAGTTCTATAAAAATTCACCATGAACGTCACTGAGGCGCAATCTCCTTGGCAAGCAACGTATGACCCGCCAGCAATGAGAGTTCCAGCAATGTGAATTCCCGAATAGCAAGCGATCGGGATGCGGGTTTGTGGAGTAGCCGAGGGCAAAGGTGTTGGAATCTGAATAGCCGGTTGGGTAGAAAGTCAAAATTTACATACAGTTCCATTCGTGTTACAGTTTGATTGATCATAGCAACAGCAAGCGGTGATATTGTAGTCGGGATGAGCGCTCACTCCCGAGCACACCAAGTTGCCATCAGGGGGGAGATGGGGTGACGAAAGCGTTGCAAATCGCGTGCGTTGTACAGAAGTAGAGAGTGGCTTGGTATTCTGAAATGAAATGTGTATATTCGTAGAGTTCACTATCAAATTTCTTCTATAGAACTCACGTCCGAGGAAGGTCGAAGCTGAAGCGCACGATCCGGTGGCGCCAGCTTGACTGCACGAGGAAACGGCTCCAGCCAATGTCATACTTCCGACTTGAATACCGACGTAGCAGGTGAAATCAGCCTAAATGTAAGGTTTTATTGCAATAGATTTAGTTAATAAACATCTTTATAAAACAAACCACAGGATCCTCATTGGGATCGGAAACTTTGAGCAACTCCGTTTCGATTGCCTTTCCGGGTACTCGATTGCAAAGATCATCGTGGCAAACTGAATCCGCTTCAAAGCTGCGATCCTATAAAGTTGAATTTGTAAGTCTGCAGAAGTTTCAGAACTTTGAAATTTCCAAAACTCACCCTTTGTTCACACTCCAAAAAAGTGCACTGTTGAACCATCAGCCATCAACGGAGAACGTCTTGTGCACATACCAGAGCATTCTTTCTATAAAGAATTTTTGACTTTATGATTTTCTATTGTTAAAAGATTCTATTCAGGCTTAAGCCGTACCAAGTCTAGATTTCTATTCTAACAAAATTCTAGTCAGAAGGCTTTAGAACCTTCACCAAGTACAATAACTTACCGCTTCAATTTGACTCTCGACGATTTTCCCCTCTTTGTCCACGGTCATCGATCCGACATTACACTCAAGCCCGTAGCCTAAGCTGACCAAGCCCAGACATAGCAATGCTATCCGGGTCAAGTTACCCATCTGAAACAAATAAATAATACAATTATATTATTTTAGGCAAAAGACAGCAAAAAAAAGAGAATTCAAGATAAGCTTGGGACAGCAAGTTTATTATAAAAACTTTTAAACTTTATTCATTCCTTTGTTTCGAAGACTTTTACATCAGTTTTAATTTCTTTAATAGTAAGTTTTTCAAAGAGTCTACAGTTTTTTTTGTGCCTATATTTATCTTTTTTGCCCACAGAACCGCATCATTTGATTTTATGCCTCTCGTAAAATTTTCCAAGGCTTCCGAGCTTGCAAGATTGCAAATTTTCTGTAATGATGAGAAGTTGATACAAATCAGGAATAGGAATCATAGAATGAGAAAACTGTAGAAAGCATCCCTTAGTAAACAATAGAAAAGCAATGGTACTACCAAGCGATGGTAGTACTCTAACTACCTAAAGCTTTGTCAGGGCGAACGCTCAGGAGCTTATTGTCATTGTTCGGGTTAGTTAAACTGTGCCCTAGAATTTGCAAGTCATGCTGGCTTGACTTAGCCAATATCAACTTCAGATAAAGCCTACCTATTGGGCAACACAAAACCTTATGCTTCTTTCTGACTTCTGAGTTTTGAAAGTCTGACAGATTGTACTGTTCATTGAGGCCATTTCTACGAAAAGACGAGATAGTGGCTGTAAATGGCAACACAAACGAGACACTCCATTCACTCCAAAAACCATCGAGCAGCCCCAATTTAGAAAAGGCACAACGTTTTACATTCGGTCGTAAATTAGTGATGGGATGATAAGCTGGAATGAAGAAGAAATGAGAAGAGAGACTACCGATTGAATCTTTTAACCACTTTTAAGACTTTGAGAAGAGTCAAAAAAGAAGCTAGATCTGTGGAAAGAAAGCAATTTTACTTAAAAAATCTGACCAAATAAATTAAGCAAAGCCAAGTGCGCTTACAAGTTAATAAAACGAAAAGATGTACGGTAAGTAAACGGTAAATTTGACAATATTAGGCAAGCAAATATATGCTTGAGAAATCGTGAAAACATTCCGGTTTACATTCATAAGAAAGCGAATAAACTTGAAAATCCTTACTGAAGGCAAAATTATAAATTTGGCATCATAATTGTTCCAATAGGAAATCTTCCCTCTGTTCACAGTTAGACTTAGACTGAAAATTGAGAATCTTGCAAAATTGACTCATACCAAATTACCAATTCCACACAACCCTAAATCTAGTCCGACAATTTTATCTCCATTGAGGATTTGGTGCCAAACCTAGGGCGTACAATTAGTACTGAATTCTGTACTCACTAAACTCATGGTTGAACTCATGGTGCTAGTAAAAATTTGTTGCTTATAAGGGAAAGGCATCGAGTCAAGCTGGCCTTTTGCCTCGGGAATTCATTTTATAGAGTCGGCCATGGGGATCTCGAATCCGTTTTTAGTTTTTTGAGAACGCTTCGGCAACTGTGATATTTGGCATAAAAATCATCTTGAATTTCGGACTCCTTAAGAAGCCGCCCTCAACAACTGCTTTGGTGGTCTAGTGGATAGCCTGCTAGGCTACCGAACCTATTACATTTTTGCCCTCAATGGGTCCCACTCTCGCCAAAATTTTTTGCTTTTTTAAAAACTGTTTCCTTACGTATTTTTATTGGAATTATTGACTCGAGTTTTTTACACGCTTTCTGTAACTTCAGCAAATAATTTACAAAAAGCCGGAATCTTCCAAAGTATCAGAAGTATTGAAAAATTTAATAGCATTTGTAAAAAAACAACCAAATAAAAAAAGGAAAAAAAAAAGTTTTCAAAAAAAGAAAAGGAAGAGTGGGATCGAATAGAACGAAAAAGTTACCTGTTTGGTAGTCTATCAGACACATTAGACCACAAAAAAGGCCCTCACTGAAAAAGAATTAGCTACTGTAGCTATGTAAATGCTTTTCTCACGAGAGAAGGGGATTAGTCAGATTAACGGGCCCAAGAGATGACAAGTGATAGGCTACAGTAAGCCAGAGAGAAGAAAAATGATAGCAGGGGCGAGGCGACCGGAGGTGAGGAGCCGAAATGAGCGAATGAATGAAAAATGGAGGGAGTCTCTGCCTCGTATCTTCCTTCATGAAACCACACACACTCCGCCCCTCTCTCAATCCTTTTCCTCGGTACACAATCCGGGTTGTAATATTCAGAATTAGCAATCGCGCTTCTCTTCCGACTTTCTTTCCCTTGTTTCTATCTATGATAAGTGAGACGATTCCAACTATTTCATGATGAGCTGTCCGGGCAGCTTTCCTCTTTTTTCTGCAGCTAAGCAGCTTTCTATAGTGGTTATTCCAATACAAGCTTCCGGCTCTTATCCGTTATCCGATTTTTATTGGGTTGGGGAGAATGAAATAGCCTGAACTTTAAAGACACAAAAATCATAAAGATTGGCCGACTTAGAAGAAAGTTATGGCAAGTTGCGCAAATGACCCTGTTGCGCAAAAAAGTATGGGAAAACTAGCCTACCCCAAAAACTGGCTTGAAACAGAGCCAAAAATATAAACAATTTTTTTTTGAGCTGAGGCTTGTTTGAGTTCTCTTTAAATGTCATTTTGTAGAGAATTCGTTAAACTTTCCTACTGATATCAAATGCGTATCATTTGACGAAAAGTTTGCTATGAAGTTTCAGAAATCCTTTGATTTTCGGTACGATTTCACCTCCGCAACCCAATAGAAGTATCGCGCTTTCCGCTTTTTCGCGTCATTATATCCACATTTTTGGAAACAATTTTTGCCTTAAATTTGCCTCCTAAATTTTTACTACAAATCTCACATTTTTGCTAAACCATTGTGTTACTTGTAATGTAATGTATCTTTTATTATCTTTCTGCTCTTTTATTCATATTAATTCATTCGCTAGATCCTTAAAACCGAAAATTTTTATATGAACCTCATACAATTAACACCAATTAACTCAAAGCTCAAGTACTTCAATATCTTAAAAGAAAAACTGTAAGAACATAAAGCAAAATTATTTGAGCATAGATCAGTTCAAAAAATTGCCACTTTTTAATGGGGAATCATCCGCCCAAATTAGACTTTTATCTTTCTCGGCGTGGTAGTTTACAAATCGTCTCTGAAGAGTTATCATTCCCCCTCTTCAAACTCAAACACACTCATTGTTTGATTTGTGCTCAAAAAAAAAGTCATAATGATACTTTATTGTGCAAGAAGTGGAGTAGAGCACAAATATCTTAAGAAAGCACTGGCTAAACATACTTCCAAGTTACCTAACCTAGCTGTCTGCTTTTTATAGTAACTGATAAGTTTGAAATTCCGATTCTTTTGTTGGTATATGCACAAAATCATCAACTTTTATGCATTTCCTTTAAAAGATTTTTATTCGGAACAAGAAAACTTAAAGACAAAAATAAAGCCTATTTTAACAAGTTACATATAAACATGCAAGGATTAAAAGTCACTTTCAAAGGCAATGAGGTGCTACATGCATGAGATGGGTGATTGGCGTTATCTGGATTTGAGAACGACGAGACAGTGGAGAAAGGGGAATCGTGTTTGAGAAACTGGTGGTTGGTGGTTGTGTGCCAGTTGTTGTTGGCGGGCCCGGTTATGGGCTATGTGCCAGCTTGTCAGTTGGGTTCCGGCTGATGATTGTAGGTCAGTTGTTGGTTGAGTACCAGCTGCTCTTGTTGATTGGTTGCCGGCTGTCGGCTGGGTTCCGGCGTTGGTTGCGTGCCGGCTGTCTGTATGCTAACCGTCGGCTGCTGCACTGGTTGTTGTCGTTGTTGGCTGTGCGCTGGTTGAAAGGATTACATAGGGATTGGGGGATTAAGCGTGATTCCACTCCGTCTTGTTGATACAATCGTTCTAACTACAGCAGCAGCCACTAAAATGGATTTGTCTTTTACAAATTGTAAGAAGTTGATTGCTTATTACCATAAGTAGTCTCAAAATTTTGTCTTAACAATGAGTACTCCCACATAGTCGCGTTTCCCATTATTGTCGCACAAGCATCGTTGATTCCAAGAATCGGGCACAAAGAGACCGAATCACAGGTGAACATCGTGGCCGAAAATTCGAGCCTAAATAGTGTAGTTAAAAGAGGAAATTGTTTTAACACTCCAAGATTCCACTAAAAACTTAGAATCAGTACGTTCAAATTCCCAAAGCTTTAACTCAGCTATTGATTCAAAAAAACGCAATCCTAACTATACCTTTTTAGAAAATGCTTTTACTCAAAGAGTAAACAGCTATTTCATAATATTTATCTCCTGGTCTTACTATTAGTCAACTATCTACTTCAGAGCAAAGCATTGCTAAATGCTATCATGACGTCATCATTCTGTTTACTCTCTGCTTATCATCAACTGCCAAAAACTCACCGCTAACCGATGTGCGTTGTAGGTGATCGCAGCGCATTTTCCAAAGCACAATGCGTACTTGTCATCAGCGCTCAAATTGTGGAATTGCCCCCTGTAGTGTCGAGGGGGGGGGAGGGAGGAATGGTGATGTTTGTTTTCCAAATGGAATTGAATTCCCAGTAGCGTCGATCAAACGATTAGTGCACTTGTTTCCAATTCTGAAGTTTGTTGATTGGATACAAGAATTGGATGTATTGCACAATAAATGAAATAGGTTTGTTTTCTCCCGAAAGCAGAGCAAAGTCGACTGTGGAGCACAATAGTATCCCGAAGGTCTTGATACCATTGACGTTTGTGACAAGTGATCCACATTGCCCATCACACGGTCCTTGACCTCCAAAGGTGGTGGTCACAGCAACATCCGCTGATTGGTGTGTTCGTGATTTGAGCGCATCTATAATTTGAATGGATCCAAGCTATTACCAACTTAGTCAACCTGTTGATAATTCCTAATCCCCGGCAAACGGTGGCTGGGTCACAAGTGTAAAGAGTCACATTGTAACGATCTCCGTTAACTGACGATTGAACCGGTAACGAGGCACAGTCACCACCACACCCAGTGTAGTAGCTCTCAGCAATAGCAATAACATCGCTAAAAATTTTGTTATCATGTACTAACATTTCAACAACCCACTTATTAACATGAAGTCCCTGGAAGCAAACGATCACGCTCTTCTCGGTATTTGTCCGGTGTCACAGGAGTGATATCAGTATTGTTGGTGTTGCAATTGTCTTGAATCCCAGCAACAGAATGTCCAACGCTCATTCCAGCAAAAGTCAAGTTCGAGCAGCTTCCCAACCGTGTCCAAAAGCCCAGCACAAGTTATACGAGGCGCGGGAGAAAGATCTCTGATCTGAAAAAAGCTAGTACCTGGTTTACAAATTGTTGTAGACTAACCGTATATACAGCAGTTTTAGTCTTCAGGCGGCCGCACATTCCATCACATACAAGCAATCGGAGCGCCGATATCGACAGCATTATTGGGTGTCTGGTTCACAATTTGAACTCCCACATAGCACTCCATGATTGGGGTTCGAGTACCTTAGTTCCAAGTTGTTGGCACATGTTTGCCGGCTCGCACGAGTACATCGTGAAATCGTATTGACTCTTTATGATCCTAAGGGACAGCAAGTTTATTATAAAAACTTTAAAACCTTCATTTATTCCCTTTGTTTCAGAAGGCTTTTTACTGGGCCCTGATTTCTTTGACAGTATGGGTGCCAAAGAGTCTACAGTTTTTTTGTGCCTTTTTGCTCACAGAACTGCATTATTTAATTTTATGCCTCAAAAAAAAAAAAAAATTTTCCAAGGTATCTCGAGCTTGCAAGATTGCAAATTTTCTGTAATGATGAGAAATTGATACAAGCCAGGATTAAGGAATCAGAATACAAATATTCAAGCAAGATTCAGGGAAAATACGAGTCTAATAATATACACTGTAAAAGTTAGAGTCTTGTTCCATTTACTTTTTTGAAACATTTTGTCAAAATTCTAAAAATTTTCAGGAGCAACTTTTTAAGTACTGGGTTTTTTAGTAGCTCATCCCTTCATTTTTTTTACCGCATAAATGCCAGTACTCCAATATTTTGTTGTTTTTTAAAACCTATTTTTCAGAAAAGTTGAGAAAAAAAGGTGGTGCAAAAGTCTTGTGTCACTAAGAAAATTTGTATTTTTTCTTTGCCTTTGTTTGTTCTCATGAATTTTTTTGTATTATATTATATTTAGATGTCGACTTTTTTACATTTATCAATTCCTGATGGCAAAAGATCAAGCAAGCAACAGTGGCGGGGATGATCATTCCCGTCTATTACGATGCTCTTCAAATGCGCAGCCAGTACGGTGATTTCAGATCAAATAGTTGTTAAACCTGAAACAGGCCAAAGCTCTTCGAGTGAGCTGTCGGGGGTGCGGTCGTCCACCGATTACAATTATGAAAACCCAGCGTTAACAACGACCATAGAATCGACCCGACTCTCTGACTTCGGAGCCAGGTTGGGAATCATGAAGTTGAAGGCCATGTCTAACAAAAATATTTTCTCGATGGAGCATCAACTGTCGCTCGATCTCATTCAGTTCATCAGTGCGGGAAGACTACGGAATGACCTCGACCACTGCAAAAACTCAGAAGCCGGGAGATGATTTTGCAAAGAACTACGAGTGTTGGACTTCCGATGACTGGGCCCGAGTCATTTTTACTGATGAGACTAGAATTAATTTATACTATATTATAAACTTCCATTTAATCAGAAGACCATTTTCCCGTCGCTATAAGTTCAACACGTCAAGCCAACGGTCAAATTCGGTGGTGGGAGTATTATGTTGTGGGGTAAGAGTCACGTTCTATCTTTCACTTACGATTTGTCTTTTTTAGGCTCGATAAATCGAAGTGTATCGGGACCGCTAGTGTTTATCAATGGAAATCTCGACGCTCGAAGGTACAAGTCAATCATAGAGAACAACTTACTTCCATTTGCAAACACGAACATGCCACAAGGATGGGCCTTATATCAAGACAACGCTCCATGCCACAAAAGCCAGCTAATGATGGGCCGAGTTGTCCGACTTGCAAATGGAGGAAGAGCTCGCCTACCCGGCCTTTTTGCTGCTTATCGTGTAAAATAGATCAAAGTGTCTCCTTATTCGCCGGATTTGAATGTTATAGAGCATCTTTGGGCCCATTTAAAGACTAAACTCAGGGGCAAGATCTTCAACACAAAGGTCGAGCTTTGGTTCTTTATCAGAAACGTTTGGCGACAAATTTCTTCGGGAATTCTACGTGATTTGGTCGATTCAATGCCTCAACGTATTCAAGCAGTGATTTTGGCGAAAGAACCAACAAAATATTAATCTAGCTTTCCTTTTTTAATGGTGGGACAAGACTTTTGCACCATAGATTTTTTGATTTTAAACTTTATTTGTTATTTTCTTTTAGGTAATAAATTTTTTAAATCTAAAAACTTTTATATGAAAGCTTACAAATTAGGGTTCAGAAAAACCCCTTTACTTAAAAAGTTGTTTTCGAAAATTTTTAGAATTTTGACAAAATGTTTCAGAAAAGTAAGTGGGACAAGACTTTTGCACCACAGTGTAATGCCCAAAATCAAAATGGTAAAGACTGCAAAGTTTCCAAAGTGCTAAGTAACACTATGAAGAAGTGTAAACGACCTTTACGTTGCTTTGAAGCTCTAAGAGATAAACAATTTGATGTATTCAATTCAAAACAATTTGATGTAAGTCCAGGATTGGAAGTGAAAGTCCAGGATTTGAAGCCTTTTAAGCATGACTCTTTGCAAATGAGTTTAAAATTTTAAGACGCTTTAAAAGGCGCCACCTCCAGCCTTTCCCCTCACTCTACTATCTTCTTTACGACTTTCACACAATAGAATTACAATCGAGCCTCTTTTTTGTTTTCGTTTCGTTTTCTTGTTTTCGATTCCTTTGAATCTCTTTTCCCTTTTTTCTACTATGCTAAGTACGAAGATTCCAATAATCACCTAACTAAAGAGATTTTCTCTTTGTTGAGCCCTTCTGCTACTCGATCTCTTATCAGCTTCAATACTTAATGTTTTGTAAATCTAACATTGCTCTATGTAGTATGTGCGACTCATCTTGCCAATTTTCTTCACATCATCGTGGAGAAATTGTTGTTTTTAGAAAACTGTAAACTATTTAAAACATGAATTCAGTGTTTTGTGTTCCCAAAAATTCCAAACACGGCCTTTCTGACGTACTTATTTTTGACAACAATAAAAATTCATTGTCCTAGAAGGGATGCAATTAAATTTTTCCAAAAAACAAAGCAACAATTCTTTTTTTGATATTTTAAATCACTCAAACTTCCCAGGTCGTTTTTAAATTTAAATCGTTTATTAAAGATACTTCACTGGACAAATTTAATGAAATACTTTTGAAGGAAAGCTCGAAGGAAAACTTTGCAGAAATTAAAAAAAAATAATTTGAACAGTGATCGCCTTGGATTGATTACTCACATGCCTAAATTAGGCTTTTATCTTTCTCGGCCTGGGAGTTTACAATGGTCTTTCATAAAAATTCCTCTCTTTCAACTCAAAAACACAGTGTTTGTTTACAATCCAACAAGTACTTCATTTTATAAATTATAAAGATAACCGGCTCAATTTACCACTTCAATGATTGTAAACTGAAGCTAACACTCATAAGATTTTTGGTGGTTAAGCTAGGTGGAGGACTGGGTTGACTAAGATGAGTGATTCTGGTTTTAAAGACCAAATTTCTCTTGAATTTTGAACGGTTGGCTTTTCATTATCAGCTGTTTTTGCTATTACGTATATATTCGATCAAATGACATAGAAATCTTTTTATTCAAGAAAAGAAAACATCGAAAGCAAAGCGAAGAGGACAAATTCTAATTCAATAGTTTAAAAAGAGGCAACAAAAGAGCAAAGAGCAATGAGATGAGGGTTGAGGTTGAGGTTGTCGTCATGTCAGTCCTTTGTGTTGGGTTAGTCGGTTCAGTATTCGGAGTATTGGTTGGTCCAGTACCAGGAGTTGTTGTCGGTCCAGTACCTGGTGTAGTAGTTGGACCAGTACCTAGAGTTGTGGTGGTGGTTGGACCAGTTCCTAGGGTTGTGGTGGTGGTTGGACCAGTTCCTAGGGTTGTGGTGGTGGTTGGACCAGTACCTAGAGTTGTGGTGGTGGTTGGACCAGTTCCTAGGGTTGTGGTGGTGGTTGTCGAGCTGGCGGGGTCTTTCAACTAAACACTTTTGATTGCTTCCGAAGTGATTCAGCAAAACTCAGAAATTGAGATTAAAATTTCTGAACTCATTTAGGCATTCATTGAACCAAGAAACTTTGAGCTTACCATCCCATTCGATAGATCGATGCAATCATTGTACGTGCAACAACATCCGTACAATGTCGTCGACGTGTTTCCGCTTTGAATCTAAACCATTTTGTTATGCGATTCTTTTATACCATTTTGAATCTAAGCCATTTTTTATGGACAAACAAATTTTTCTCGTTTCGCACAAAAACCCACATTTGCACACTTGCTATCCATTCCCAGCTGACTGCACAAACTCGCCGGGTCACAAGCGTACACTGTGGTGGTGACACTCTTGCCCAAAAAGACTGAGTGGTACGTGATCTAGAAATTGAGTTGTAATTGAGCTCAGTAATGTGTGATCAAGAATTTTCGTACTTGGACTACTTGTACTGCCACGTGGTTTATTGTAAAGGCCTGCAGACTTTAAATGTTTTAAAATTACCGCTGAGCAATCCCCGAAACAGGCTTGATAGCTGTTGCCGGCGGTGAGAAGATTTCCGTTGATGCTGAGGCCGTTGTAGCAAGTGATTGGTGGGACGCCCGATGGAGGCGGTGGAAGAGTTGGAGCTGGGTCAACCTGGGAAACAGTTACTTTTTTTTCTGAAAACTTTAACTTGTTCATAACGCTAATTTAGAATCATAAACCTAGTCTTACATGAGCATTGTTAACGTTGCATTGATCGTCGTCATTGCAACAGCACGCCTCCAGGTAATCCTGATTGTCGGTGAACAAAGTGTCACAGTGGTTCGTCATATTGAGCGCATCGCAGAGTTTATTCGACGCACAGAAGAACACCCACGTGGCTTGATTGTTGATGCTAAACCATATTGAATTTGTGATTAAAAATCAGAAAACTTTTACCTGCTAGCAATTGAAGCGCATTGCCCATCGCAAGCCTGAGCAGTGCCGATGGTCGAATTGTATTGGGAACCTTCGGTGGCGATTCCCGAGAAGCATTGAAGTGTATCACGAGATGGTTTCACCGACTAGAGAAATTATAAGTCATGAACTTTCCAGTTACGGGCTTGATTTACTAAATATTTTTCTCATTTCTCCATCAAACCTTGTGCTCTCGATCGATACAATCACTCCACCCGCAGCAACATCCTTGAATCATTCCATTGACGATCTTGTTACAAGAGTCTTTCAGGCCGAGCTGGTCACAAACCTAAAAAAGCATTAAAAGAGTTCAAATTTCTCTACCTACATCAACAGGCTCACAACCAAACAACGTGAAATCATAGCTCTTATCACCGACAACGGTTGTGAAAGAGAGAAGACCACATTTGCCTTGGCATGCCATGTACGAGTTCGCGTCGGATTGCATGGCTCCATTGATGGAAAGACCGCTAAACTTTGGAAATTTTTTGTTTGTCTAATGGCTAAAGCTCAAGGTGAGCTTTTGTCTGGACATCTAGTGTACTTTATAGAATCGGGTATGAGGAATCCGAATCTGAAATCCAAATCTCCCAATGGACTTTCCAGGCGTGCAAAACGTTAATCGAAAATTTGGCGTCAAAACTGATGCTTTAAAAGGCTTCTTAGCGGAAAAAGGATACGTTGGTGGCCTAGTGGATCATGCATTAGGCTTCCGCCCACAGGATCAGGGTTCGGTCCCTAGCTTTTTGTTTTTGTTTTTTTTTGGAGCAACTTCTAGCATTTTGTGAAAGTTTACCTGTAACATGCAAGTGGTGGATCCATTGGTGGAGTATATTGATGCACGTCCAAATTGTTCACATTATTGCAATTGTCTCCTGTGTCACAACAGCATCCCTTTGCATATTGATCGCCAAGCAACGCATTGCATTTGTTCGTCATGTCCAATTTAGTGCACAATGATGGCTCGACACAGTAGTACCCTGTAAAAGGTTTATTGGATAGCAATGATAACGGTAAGTAAGGGTTAGCCGAACCGGATCATTTAGTGAGCTAACAAATGCCAAACACACCTGTCAAGTAGACATTGTTAACACTTGTTTCCACCGAGATACACGATCCATCACAACGCATCGAGCTGCCCAACAACTGCTCATCAGCGCCAGCGCTTTTGTAGGAGGCTCCTAGACATTTTGTTCTTATTTCTAGATATAGCGAACTAAAGAAATTATGGCCTTGAGATTTTTTCCAAGAGCAAACACTCGAAGAAAACTAAAGAAACTGTTTGATCACTCACCTACGACACAAGCCAAGTTATCGGGTCGGTGCGTCACGTTGGTGGATTTTGGCTAAATTTTTGAAATAGCTAATTTTTCCAGGCCTCTAACCTTTCCGTTCCAATCCAGACAATCGTTCCAATTACAGCAGCAACCGGAGATTGCATTTGAGCCTTGTTCACCGAGGAGCTAAATGGGATATTTGTTCGAAATGGTTTCATTGAGTGCCATTCATTAGATACTAGGTTAGAGCTCGTGTACATAGTACTTCTAATGTAAGTATTTAGTACTAGTACTCTAGTTAGTAGTTTAATTTTATCCCTACTTAAAATACATCCACTCACCGTTGCACAACTTCCACTGATACCGAAGTGATCGCACATTTCCGAGGGGTCACATGTGAACAGAGTTGCGGCATAGTTCTTACCGAGGAGATTCAATTGGTAGGTCATCTAAAACGCAAGGTTTTAGAATTTTACATACAAATACCGAGAAACACTCTCCATAGCAAGTCTGGAAGCTGTCGGCAGCTGTTGTTCTAACACCGTTGATCGAAATTCCACTGAAGCAAGTGATTGGCGCTCCATGGTACGACGGGGGAGGCAATGACGGTGGTGGATTAATTGGGGTCTAAAAGACATTCTGCGGTTGAGTACTTTAAGATAAACGCACACTTTCTGGTGCCCTTAGCTCTTTTGCCAAGAAAACTTTAAGCGGATGCGTCATATTCAGTGTTATTACCAGTTTTTACTACTTACGTCAAGGTTGTTGAGATTGCAATTGTCCGAATTTGAGCAGCAGCAAGCCTCCAAATAAGTGCCACCATCGGCAAACATCTTCATGCAATGATTGGTGAGATTCAACGAGTTGCAGAACTTGTTCGAGGCACAGTAGAAGCCGTAGATCTCGTGTCCGTTGAAGCTAAAAGAATAGATGTTAGACTGTTGGTTTTCGTTGAAACACGTTGTTGATCTAAAAAGATCTAAAATGTTGATCGTGGCTTATCCGATCTAAAAATCTAGCAATAAGTCTAGATAACCCACTTGCTGGCCATCAATCCACACTGTCCATCACAGGGCAACGATTGTCCATAGGTCATATTGACATTCGAACCCTCTGAAGCCAAACCGACAAAACATTGTTGAAGATCTTGTTGTTTTTTTTTGATTCCCTAAATTGACTTTCACTAAGCTTCTCCTAATCCAACTGACTCCAGTCTTTTTGTCGATACAGTCATCAAAATCACAGCAACATCCACTGATTGTTGAGTCACCGCCGAGGATCTAAAATCCGGCACGAATGAACAGAGCTGTTGACAGTTACCGTTGCACAATCCCCGCTGATCGCGTAGTGATTACAGAGTTGAATCGGATCACACGTGAAAATGGTGGCCACGTAGTCGTTGTCGAACAGTCTTGTCCAGTAGCTGAGCTGAAATGAATTCTGTCATTATATTTTGAGATTCACAAACCGATGTGCATTCCCCGAAGCAAGCCGAATAGGCATCGTCCGGTCCAAGTTGTTGTCCATTCAGTGAGATTCCGCTATAGCAGGCGATCGGTGTGCTGGCTGGTGCTGGTGGAAGAGCTGTGGGTGCGGGTGGAGCCTGAATATTCAAAGGAAACTCGGTTTTTTGACTGTAACTCTATACCAAATCATCCGATTCCCCTAAGTTTATATTTATATGAAATTTCAAGTTCATTCCTGCAGTCAATTTCAATTTTTAGTTCAAAAACACAATCGTATATTTTTTATAGTGCTTCGAAGTTCAGAGGTGCCAACCTCTCGGCAGAATCGTCGTTTTCAATAGTTCTCAACTCTCAAGAATTGCCCACAAATCGACCAATTCTTATAGTTTTTGTTGTTTCAGTCAAGTAACTGTGTCTTGTAACAGTACTTACCAATACTGCTAGCTTAATGGTATTGAAATTCATTGTACGATACTTCACTGTTCACTCACATCACTGTTATTCAGATTGCAATTGTTGGCATCATTGCAGCAACAGGTGCGCACGAATTTTCCGTTTTGATCGTGAACGCTCTGGCAACCGTTTGTCTTGTTGAGTGCATCGCAGAGTGCGTCGGGGGCGCAGAAGAAACCCCACGTGTTTTGCCCTTTCACACTAAACATTGTAAAGTATTATAGCTGTTTTTTTTTATTTCTTATAGAACAGAAATTTGTTTTGTTGTCGAATTGTTGAAAGAATTTGAATGGAGCCAATTTTTTCGTACCTCGTTTGCACCGATGAGCACTGCCCACTGCACGACTCCGAGTCTCCATAGGTGGAAGAGAGCAGACCACTCGTTCCCAAACCAACAAAACATTTCAACGTGTCATGGTTTGGTTTGACTTGCTGAACTTCTTCGACTTAAGAAGATTCTCGAGGTTCCTACTCTTTTGCTGATGTCGAGGCAGTCATTGAATCCACAGCAACAACCATCGATAACCGTGCCGAGCGAGCTGCACGAGTCTTTCAATCCGAGTGAATCACAAACCTGAAAGTGATAGAATGTACTAATTTTGATGGTCACTTACCGATACGCCATCGCACGAGAACATTGTGACGTTGATGTCAAAATCTCCCGTTTTGGTGTGGAAGTTGAACAGTCCGCAATCACCTTGACAGGCCATGTATTGGTTGGCGTCGGTGAGGAGCTGGCCGTTGACGGCAAGACCGCTGAATTGATGAGTTAGGCCTTGTTTGAAAATATTGAAAGTCTAGTTCCTTGCATACATATGCAATAATTTTTCGAGATACTGTAAGGGTCTTTAGCTAAAGATATTCAGTCTTAATAGCAGTTTACATGGACTTTACAGTATTTTTATATTCATAAATGGTAGCCAGCTAATAGCTTTATGCTACAGTACCAGAAAACAGAAAACGAACCTGTAGCAGGCAATCGGGGATTTCGTCGGCGGAGTGTACGGCGGAACGGTGAGATTGTGTCTATTATTGCAGTTGATGGCATTATCACAACAACAGCCGAGAATATTGTGCTGACCGGCAAGTCCCGCACAACTATTCTTTACGTCAAGTGAGGTGCACAAGTTGTTGGGTGCACACAAGTAGCCTAAACTTGAAAAATGAACGATTGATTCATGAATTGAAACCTGTCATGTACATGCCGGCAACGGTGATCTCCACCGAGGCGCAGCTTCCATCACAGGGCATCGCCGAGCCGTAGAATTGATCACCCTGATCACCGCCGAAATCGATTGAATATCCTGAAAATTGGAAATGGTCATTGGAAAGCTCCTATTCAGGATTTTACAAATTTTGTGCTGCCCAGTTTTCTGAGCAAATATTTTCCCTTCGTTTTTCTTTTCACGAACCGACGACACATTCGAGGTTGTCCGGTCGGGTGTTGTTGTTGTCATGTGGCTTGATCTAAAGAAGATCTAGCTCTTCAAAACCTAATCCTATCAACCATTCCATTGTTGTTCGTGTCAATACAGTCATCCCAATCACAGCAACATCCATAGATCGTTGTTGTCGAGTCCGTGCTGTCAATCTAGAAAACATTGAGCGTAGATTTTCAAAAGAATTTTTACGTTTGCGCAACTGTTACTCATTCCGAGATCTCTGCAATAGGCGGCTGGATCACAAGAATAGATTGTGGTGACAACACTCTTTCCGTTGAATGTCGAGTGGTAGGAGACCTGAAAAGGGTGGCTTTGTGGTTGCAAAATTGAAACTAAAACTTTATAAACTTGAGTAAACTTGTTTGTTCTACAGTTCTTGAATTAAAATTTCACTCACTGATGCACAATCTCCATGACAAGCCAAATAACTGTCAGCATCGGTGAGCACTCCTCCGTTCATGCTTATTCCCGAGTAGCAAGCAATCGGTGATCGATTATCCGGAATGCTTGTTGGTGGAGCAATTGTGACATCAACCTAAACCCCTTGGCTGGTTTTGACGAAGTCTGACTTACGTCAGTTCCGTGGATGTTGCAATTGTTGCTATCATCACAACAGCATCCTCGAATGTATTCCTAGAATTGTCAAGTAACTCATCAAGTTCAACAATCAAACCATATTGTCATTGAAAAGAGTGGCACAATGCGAGGTGTCGGATTCAACGAGAGAACAGGCTTTCGTCGAGGCACAGAAGAAAGACCAAGTTTCGGCTTTGTTGATTCTAAAGAGTGATAACTCTTGCGCATTTATTCCGTCTGATTTAACTGATTTAATTATGATTTATGATTGTGATTCTAATTTGAAACCACTAACGTTGTCTGAATGGATCCGCATTTTCCGCTGCACGGCGCCGATTGCCCCTTGAGCATCGATCCCTTGTCTCCATTGACGGCCGTTCCAACAAAGCATTGCAAATTGTCGTGAGTGGGTTTGATTTGCTGAATTTTGTCGTTAAAAAATTTGAGTCACTTCTTACTCCAGTGCCAAGATCAAGGCAATCGTTCCATGAGCAGCAACAACCGCTCAACGAGTTCCCGCCATCATCTTTGCCCACTTGAGCGCAAGAGTCTTTCAATTTGAACGCAGCACACATCTAAATTACTTAAAAAAGTTATTTTTTGATTACTAACATTTGTTGGATCGCAGCTGTACATGGTGAGCGAGTGTGGTTTGCCGCCGATGGTGGTGGTGAAAGTGAGAGATCCGCAATCACCTCGGCAAGTCATGTAACGATCGGCGTCTTGGAGCATCGTTCCGTTGTAGGAAAGACCGCTGAATAGACAGTGGTTATGCTCATTGGCTTACAATAGTTAAGTTAAGTTATGGTTATTTCATGAGCACAGTAACCCAAAGCTCAGAAGTACAAGTGGTGCGCATACTGATGTTTGACCTTTTCAAAAACTCAGTCATGACTTATTAGGCTGTCCGGAAAGTCTTTTCGTTCCTTTTCGTACTTCCGTCGAAAAATAGCAAATTCATCAATTAACCTATGGTTTTCTCTGAATAAAAAGTGTTTTTTGCTCTGTTTCCATTTTTTTAAGTCAATTTTGGTTCACTTTCAAACAATTCAAGAGTGAAAACGTGTATTTCCGTAAAAATCTATAAAAACCTCCACGAAGGAATTGGCTGAATCAATTTCTCTGAAAATTTGGCTATACACCAAACTTTTTGTGCTCTATCTTTTATCTATTAACACTAAGATAGGTTTCCTTAGCTAAAGTGTTTTAGCATCATCGTGCCGTCACCCTTTTTGACTATCCGACTTCACGCTCGGACTACCCGACAAAAATCCAGACATAAGACATTTAAAATCGGTTTTAATGTTATTTTGCAAAAAAATAATTGGCCTTTCTAATGAAACAAACCATAGTTCAACTGGTGCATTTGTTGGTTTTAAACGGAAGTACGAAAAGGAACGAAAAAAAAACTTTCTGGACAGTCTAATAGATCATTTGAATCTTAAATAAACATATACTATAATACTATTAACTCAGACAGAATTTGCAAACAAGGCTCATCTGCTTGATCCAAGTTCAATAACCCTATCAGTATACGCTTTAACGCTAGCCACCAACCTGTAGCAAGCCAAGGGTGACCGATTGGGTGGTGGACTCGTTGGCACAGTGACATTCTCCATGACCGCATTGCAATTATCCGCCCAATCACAACAACATCCCGAGGTGGCATTAGAGCCAGGGAGATAGGCGCAATCGTTGTGCACTCCGAGGCGGTGGCATAGAGACCGTGGAGCACAGAAGTAGCCTGGAATGGGCAAATGGACATGGTGAATTCGCTACACTTCACCTGCGGCTGGCATTCCGGTGTAGTTGCTCTTGAAATAGGCGCACTCTCCTTGACACGGCAATGCTCCACCGATCACCGAATAGCTGTCAGTTCCAGGGTTTCCGACGACAAGTCCTAAATGAATTCACTTTTGAAAAGTTTGCTAGGATTTTATGTAATCACTCACCAGTGAAGCAGCTCAAATCATCGGAGTAGTTGCCGTTGGGATACTTGTTGATCATTGGGTTGATACACACGTCCGTGTCACAGCAACACCCAGAAATCGTGTTGTCGATCGTGGCGCAACTAAAAAAATAATCTGATAAGTTTCAGCTTTCTAACTTACTTATTGATGAGTCCAAGTCCGCGGCAAACGGTGGCTGGATCACAACTGAAGAGGGTCACCTCGAAGGGTTTATTATCTAAAAGAATATCCATTGGCTGAATTTTTATATTTTGTTTAGTATAGGGTGGCTGATAATATGTGTTACGAAGGCAGATTAAGGCGTAAATGTGTCAGATTACTTAAATTTTGATATAATTTCATTTTTATAACATTTTTACACTTATATTCCAATTTTTAGCCCGGTGGGTCGGCTATAAGAAACATTAGGGCCATTAGAAGCTCCGTAAATAAAAGCGTCTGACACGGAGATGCTTTTGTCCATAAAAGCTGGTGATTAAAATGAAAGCACTGAACTTTTCAGTGATCTTAATTAGTTATTGGTGCTTTAAAAAGGTTAATAAAAATATTACTTTTTGCTTTAAGCTTTTGACCTAATGTTAGTTTTAGAATCCTCTGAAGCACCCAAAATAAGCTTATTTCATCTCGTTTTCAACATGGCGACAATTAAAGCAATTAAAATTTGATTCTATTATAGTTCAAACAAAATTTTGTTTATGACCTTAACATAGAAAAACCAAAAAAAACATAATTTGTGGGAGAGTTTTTGTGATGTGGAGTATTTTAAGCACGATTTCATAATATACATTGTGCCAGACGCTTTTATTTACGGAGCTTCTAATGGCCCTAATGTTTCTTATAGCCGACCCACCGGGCTAAAAATTGGAATATAAGTGTAAAAATGTTATAAAAATGAAATTATAACAAACTTTAAGTAATCTGACACATTTTCGACTTAATCTGCCTTCATAACACAAATTATGGGCCACCGTGTATGAACTTGACATGATAATCCCAAACTTTAAACCAAATCAACTCACTCATTGTGGTCGGCAGGGTGATCGAAGCACAATCGCCAGCGCAAGCGGTGAAATCGCCATCACTCATCGATTGATTGTTCACCCAAAGTCCTTGATAGCAAGCAATCATCTGCGGAACAATCACTGTTGGAGAAGCTGGCTAAAAATTTGAAATGTTAAGAATTACTCGGCAAGCTCACCGTCGGAATGCCTCTTCCCTTGATGTTACAATTGGCTTCATCATTACAGCAACAAACGAGCAACTCTTGGTCACCGATGGTCACTTGATCGCAAGTACCGTGTGCCTCGAGTTGATTGCAGAGACTCTCATCAGCGCAGAAGAAAGCTGTCACCTATTAACAGGAAAATGTTTGAAAATAGGACTGGTGCTCGGAGAATGTCATCTTTGTTTTTAAAGGGAATATTTGTAAATCTATTCAGCAGGGAACTTACTATCAAATGGTTTCGTATAAGGTTAGAGTGGGGTGGCTACTTAGCGCCAAATTTTTGCGCAGCTTGCCATAACTTTCTTCTAAGTGGGTCAATCTTTATGATTTGTGGTGTTATTTTATAGATCTCAACAGGTGCAACAAAATGACACCACAAATCATAAAGATTGGCCCACTTAGAAGAAAGTTATGGCGAGTTGCACAAAAAATTTGACGCAAGGTAGCAACCCCCGTTAGAGTTCATGACCAGACTTTAAAACAAACCAGCGTCGAGTTGAGCTTAGTGACGGCGCTTCCGCAGTATCCGTGACAAATCGCCTCACCACCGGCATCGAAATTGTGATCGGTATACTTCATATGCACTCCCGCGTAGCATTCAATCCACTCAGGCACCGGGTTGTCTAAAAAAAATTAAAATTAAATAGCTATTACAACTGCAGGCTATGTGGATGTGGATTCTCTAAAGTTGAACACGCTAGTCCTTTCATCGGCTTGGGGCTGGAAATACAAAACGTGGTCGGCGCCGGGATTTGAACCCGCGACCTCTCGCTTACCGGGCGAGAGCTTTACCAATGAGTTACACCGAAACGTATTCCATTGCCGCCAGGATAGGCCCTTATGCCATACTCTAAAATCTGAAAACCTACCAGGTGAAACTGGTGGCATGAGGGTTGGATCAATGCAATCATCCGTGTCACAGCAGCAACCGTAGAAGGTTCCGTCGTCAATGTTCGCGCATTTGTTCTGCAAACCGAATCCCTTGCAAACACTGCCCGGGTCACAGCCATAGATGGTGAATGTGAAGTTTGATTGAAGCTGAAAAGTTTCGGTGATAAGTTCAGATGATTCAACGTTCAGGGCTTTATTGCTCAATCGATTGTGCAAGACTTCGAATGAATCTAGAGGAAGCAGATTCTAGACATTGGCTGTTTAAATCTCGCGGTATTGGATTGTATTGAGACTCGCCTTGTATTGGAGCGATGAGCAATCGCCTTGGCACGCAACATAACCACCCGGAGTAAGGAATTTATTTTGGAATGTGATTCCGGAAAAGCAAGCGATTGGTGGTCGAAAATCGGTGGAAAGTGGTGGCATTGGGGAAACGAGCTAAAGAAAGGAATCAAGTTTTGTAAAGAAGTTGATGTTTTCAAGTGACCCAAAAAAGTCTTCAGACACGCTTGTAGAATTGTCACTTCTTGTCACTTCTTTTTCGATCAAAAATCTACCCCATCCGCATTGCAATTCGGTCCCGTACTGCAGCAAGAGCCGTTCACATTCCCGTCGAGAACAATTGTCCCATCATCCTAGACGCTTTTTTCTTTACACAATCTTCAATTTTCATTCTCATACCGATTTCAAGAATCCCTGGCACAATGGTCGTGGAGCGCAGAAGAAAAGATAACTGATTTTCCCGTTGGCGAGCGTTGAGAAAGTGCCGCAGTCTCCGTCACAGAGCTCAGTGCCTCCAACCGAGTAATCGCCGTGTTTCAATCCGACATAGCATTCACCGGGACCCACAATGTTGGGTGATGGTGAGGCGGCGAGGATTGAGGCTCCTAAAATGCTTTCTAGAAAATGTTGAACAAGTCAGCCAGCACTGTCAGCAAGTCAGACCTTTGTCAATCAATCAAATCTTTCAAGACGTCTACAGTCTGTATTGTTAGATTGTGTTTTGAAACTTTACAAAACTGGCACTTTATGAACAAGTTTATCAATATGTCATAGCTGTTGCTTTGTTGGAATCAGGTTTTGAATTGACTTTGAACTGATGCTGATAGGTGTTCAAAAGTGCAACAATTCCTCGCGTACCCGCTTTTACTTTGCGAGCGTCATTCGAATTTTTTTTGAAACGTTTCACTTCTGAGATTTTGTAGTCTCAGAGTAGTTTGCTTTTAATTGACTCGGTTGAAAGAAAATCCCAGCAAGATTCAGTGCTGATATCTCTTTCGCATAAAAGATAAAGCCGCCCCACCCAATTCTGTTCCCTGCACAGCGTTACAGAAATCCTCTTTGCAGACGCGATCACCGAGATGCATTTTCTTTTTGCGATACTGAAATGTAAGACTTTGAGTAGAAGGGAAAGTTTTTGAAACCGCTTGTTGACATGAGAGCATGTGCAGTTGACCGTTTTTGGGTACATCGGCGACGTTTGTCACACAGACACCTTCGCAATCAACCTAAATTCGAGCTTATAATTTGGCAGTTTCAGATTAGTTGGATGTTAGAGAATAAAGCAGTAAAAGCTAAACGAGATTCGGGTAGAGGCAGGCTAGCTTTTAGAAGTGTACTTTGATACTTTGTACTCAACCTGGCGCACTCAATTCATTTCCTGTTAATTCAAGAATTTGTCAAAGTAACAATAGCTCAAGCTATCAGAGGCAAAATTTTTGCAAAAGCACAAAAACAATGAGTGCATCTGAAAGAATGCGTTTCAAAAAGAAACTGCACTTCGAAGAAGAGTCTAGTTTCAAAAGTAGTAAAGGGAAAGGCTTAAGATATGTAAAAAGATTGAATAGAAGTAGTATGCAAATAAAAAGTGAGCATTTCTGCAAAAAAAACTCCTTGAACTAACCTCTTCGACTTGACTCGATGTCACTCGATCCAAATCATCAACGTGCACCGTTCCTTGAAGACACCGTAAAGCTTGACCCGTCGAGGCCAGCAGAACTAGCCCAAGCAATACGGTGAAATGACCCATTCTTAAAAAAGTTGTAAATAAGAGAATGAAGAACAAATCAAGGGTAAGAGTCTAAAGTCGAACAATTCTAGAGCTAGATTCTAGTTCGATCGGACAAAAGCTTGGATTGAGCAGCTTTAAAGTAAATAAATTTTCAACTTAAAATACAAGCAAGATCAGTTCAAAAAGGTGACAATAAAGCTTTAAGTTTCTCGTAAAACTTCAAAATCTTCAAAAAGCCACCGTAATCCGCACTTACGGAGCTGATCGGGAGTGGTTATCCGGATCAGCTCAAAGAAATCATTCCTTCCCCTATCAATTTGGGCTTTTATTTGGAGCCGAGTTAATACGTTTATCAACATGTGTCCCTTTTTGAGAGAGAAAAGAAGTGCAAAAAAGGAAGAGAGATTGGAAGAGATTGAGCGGATTAACGGGGTTTTCAGTAGCCGTCAAAAAAAGAAAGACTCTTTTCTTTTTGCCCTTTCTGCAAGTCATTCACAGTCTTTGCTTTATTACTCACATTTTGCACTCTGTGGTTTGCCGGGCAGAACTTCCTTGAACAAAGAGTTGTTGGATTTTGTTACTTATGATCAATAGATCGATAGATCTTTATTACATTTAATTTATTACCTACTAAAGATTGAGAATTTGCGAAGAAAGTCTTCTTGGTTAGCATTGACTCGATTCTGCAGTAACAGGTCATTGAAAGAAAAACGTGCTTGAAATTAACAACCGTTTTCATTGTATTCCGGACCTACTCACTTTATTTGATATTTCTAAACTATATTCTTGGATAGGCAAAAAGTATGGTGTTTGCCAAGTTCATGAGTGTTTTGCGAGGCTTTTCCTCAACTCCCCTAGGAATTTCTGTAAAACCACGATTTGTGGCCAAAAACGATAGCCTTTCCCCAGAACACAAAACTCATTTTCCCCCTTTGACCAACAATTAAAACTTTTAAAAATTTGCATGGTTTTACCATTTAAAGACACCCTTGTTTATCTGTATAAGAGTCTAAGCAATCTAAGCTCTACTCATTTCTTGTGCTTTTAACTTATCATAGAACTTTATTCTGTAAATTATTTACAGTGAGAACAACATTGAGAAAAACAATCACCAGCAACGCCTAAGCAAGGAGAATTTTAGTGAGTGAAAGAGCGAGAACAATGAGGAATGATGGGTACGAGGAGGATTTGGTTGCCGACTCGGGTGGAGCTGTGGTCGTTCGGATCTGAAATGCGAAAAGAGGTTGGTTTAGAAAAAAAGTTTAAAGTTGGCTTTATTCTAAACATAAATTACATTTCAAAAACGACTGAGCAAATCTAGTAGCCTATACAAATTTTAAATCTTTTATACTTAAACATTTTCTTCACCACCCCAACCGCACCTGTCCATTTGTCTTGTCAATGCAATCATTCCATCCGCAGCAACACCCAGCAACTGAGGTCACGTTATCGGCGTCGAACTGAAAGCTCGTTTTGGTAGTTTTGAAACTTTTCACAAACCGTTCCACAGCTCTTTCCATTGTCCTGGAAAACGTTGCAAACTGACACCGGATCACAAGAGAAGACGGTAGCGGAGACAGAATAGTTTGAGAAGACCGTCATCAATGAGAGCTAATTTTTGTGGTACTTACGATTCTTTTCCAGACTATCGATCTTAATTGATGATCAACGATTTATACTTACAGACGAGCAGCTTCCGAAGCAAGCTTGATAGCTGTTATCGGGAGTGACGAGCGCGGATGTGTTTCCAATGCCGAGCGACATTCCGGAGAAGCAAGCAATTGGAGGAGTTCCTGGAGCAGTTGTTGGGACACCAGTTGGGCCGGGTAGAACCTAAGAATAGTTTTATGATTATAAAACAAGTTTACCAGCTAGTTTGTGTTTACTCTCTTACCTGTTGATTCTTGATGTTGCAGTTGTCGCCACTGTTACAACAGCATCCGGTGATCGGCTGATTCGCGTCGTTCTTGATGTTACGGCAAGTGTTGACAAGTGACAAAGACCCACAGAGAGTGTTCGACGCACAGAAGAACGCGTACGCGTTGTGGCCATTGACCCTAGAAATTTTGTTGAATTGCTGCGAAGGTATTATGTTCCCTATCCAAATTTATACTTCAGTTAGGTATATTGTTGTTAGCCACGGTGCTCTCCAAAATTTTAACGCAGAGGTTGGACTTACGAGGATGACATCGTTCCACATTGTCCATCGCATCCGGTGACTGATTGTCCATAGGTGACATTGCTGACTGGTCCTACCAATGAGAAGCCGACAAAGCATTGATTGTTCCCTTGTGGCGTCGGGGGTGGCTTGATCATCTATAAAGGCTTGTTTTCTTTACATTCTCCATTTTCTATCTCACTCCATTCGTCTTGTCAATGCAATCATCCCAATTGCAGCAACACCCAGCAACTGAGGTCACGTTATCGGCGTCGAACTGAAAGCTCGTTTTGATAGTTTTGAAACTTTTCACAAACCGTTCCACAGCTCTTTCCATTGTCCTGGAAAACGTTGCAAACTGACACCGGATCACAAGAGAAGACGGTAGCGGAGACAGAATAGTTTGAGAAGACCGTCATCAATGAGAGCTAAATTTTGTGGTACTTACGATTCTTTTCCAGACTATCGATCTTAATTGATGATCAACGATTTATACTTACAGACGAGCAGCTTCCGAAGCAAGCTTGATAGCTGTTATCGGGAGTGACGAGCGCGGATGTGTTTCCAATGCCGAGCGACATTCCGGAGAAGCAAGCAATTGGAGTAGTTCCTGGAGCGGTTGTTGGGACACCAGTTGGGCCGGGTAGAACCTAAGAATAGTTGTATGACTATAAAACAAGTTTACCAGCTAGTTTGTGTTTACTCTCTTACCTGTTGATTATTGATGTTGCAGTTGTCGCCATTGTTACAACAGCATCCGGTGATCGGCTGATTCGCGTCGTTCTTGATGTTACGGCAAGTGTTGACAAGTGACAAAGTCCCACAGAGAGTGTTCGACGCACAGAAGAACGCGTACGCGTTGTGGCCATTGACCCTAGAAATTTTGTTGAATTGCTGAGAAGGTATTGTGTTCCCTATCCAAATTTATACTTCACTTAGACATACAGTGCGTTGCAAAATGATAGGACCACCCTCGATTTTTGCGATTTTAAATTTTAAATAACTAAAAATGCAAAATGATGCTTAAATTCGAATTTTATATACAAAAGTACGTACAAATACCGTTTACCAAATAATTTATTTAAAAGGCAAAATTTTTTAGGCATTTCGTTATTTTACCCCTGTCGCAAAATGATAGGACCACTAGGTTTCTTTTTGATTTTCTACCTGTAATAATCATGTTTTTTGCTTACTTTTTGCTAATTTTTTAGGCAGATGGAGCGTGGATCGAACAGATGAAAATTTTGATTTTGAAAGTAAGAAAGTTGTCGAATCGGAAGATCGCAAAAAAAAAAAACTAAAGCGCTCGCACCAAGTTGTCTCAAATTTCTTGAAGGATCCTTTCAAGTATGGCAAGAAAAAGTCTCCGGGACGTCATCGAAAGCTCACGATCCGCACTGAACGGCATATGGGACGTCTGTTGTCGAATTCGGTGATGTCGCTACAGGACGTCAAGGTATAAATTGGAGCTCCCGTCCACAAAAGCACTCTTTCTCGAGCCATCAAGTGTTACATCCGTTACATCAAAAGAGCAATCATGAAGAAAGCACCAAAACTGAAACCGGTACACAAAGAAAAAAGGATGTCTTGGGCTCGGGATCACATCACCATCGATTGGAAAAAAGTAAACTTTTTGCCTTGAGTTGTTAACTATTATTTTCTTTGTAGGTCATCTTCAGCGATCAGAAAAAATTTAATTTGGATGGTCCCGACGGCAACAAGTACTATTGGCACGATTTGAGAAAAGATACAATGCTTTGTGGGCGTCAAAACTTCGGAGGAGGATCACTGATGATATGGGGCGCTTTCAATGTGGATGACGTTCTTGATTTGGAATTTGTGACTTGTCGCATGAACTCGAACGATTACCAGGGCGTTCTTGCGAATCAACTGCTTCCTTTCCTAGCACAAAACCGAGGGAAAAACTACATTTTTCAATAGGATAACGCTTCAATTCATGCCAGCCAATCCACTAAAGCTTTCCTGGGACGTCACAACATCGATTTTCTCGAATGGCCTGTCTGCTTACCGGACTTAAACCCAATGGAAAACTTATGGGGCATCCTTGTGAGGAATATTTATGCTAATGGAAAGACTTACGACACGATTTCGCAACTCAAAAAAGCAATTTTGCAAGCTTGGACGTCAATTCCACCACAAACGCTTCAAAACTTAGTGAACTCGATGAAAAGTCGACTACTCGACGTCATCGAGAAAAAGGGAGCATCTATTGATTATTAATGAACTTTTCGTTCATTTTTCTTTTGTTTATTCTCAAATTTATTGTTATTTTTTATGTGGTCCTATCATTTCGCGACAGGTGTGTGTTAAAATGTTATAATTTTGTTGCAATTTGTTCAGATAATGTTAAAAATGGTATAGATACCTATTTTTGTATATATTTCTAGGATTTAAAAGCTATTTCGCGTTATTAAATTTTGTAGCCAAAAATTGTAAAATTTAGGGGTGGTCCTAACTTTTTGCAACGCACCTGATTGTTGTTAGACACGGTACTCTCCAAAATTTTAACGCAGAGGTTGGACTTACGAGGATGACATCGTTCCACATTGTCCATCGCATCCGGTGACCGATTGTCCATAGGTGACATTGCTGACTGGTCCTGCCAATGAGAAGCCGACAAAGCATTGATTGTTCCCTTGTGGCGTCGGGGGTGGCTTGATCATCTATAAAGGCTTGTTTTCTTTACATTCTCCATTTTCTATCTCACTCCATTCGTCTTGTCAATGCAATCATCCCAACTGCAGCAACAGCCACCGATCGTTGTAGAGTTGTCTGGGTACAGCTGAATAGGGTTTTAGAAAATTACCTAGAAGTTCCTTAAACTTTTCCACATCCGTCGCCGACTTGTCCGAAGACGGAACAAATCGCCACTGGATCACACGAGAAAACGGTGGCGGTGACAGAGTTGTTCATGAGCGAGGTGGTGTAGGAGACCTAGAAAAGATCTTTGTTTGTGTACTGCACAAATAACAGCTTAACTCTGCAATACTTGGTAAAAGGCACAGGATATTGAGTACTACCATAAATACTCTAATAGAAGCCCCTTCTCCGATAGGAGCATCGTGTAGCCTAAGTTTACACTCAAACAAACGCTCATGTCTCGGCGCCCAGACATTTGTTTCTGCGCGCTTAGGTAAGGAAATAAAGTGGAAAGATAGGGGGATTTTTTGAGATATAACACATATTTTTTTTTAGCATTAACCAGCGCCTTGCACAAAATGATTGAAAACTCCGCATTTTTTCCACTTTTCAAGCATTTTTCTAAGCACTGGTCAAAGTTAAAAATATGTGCTATATCTTAAAAAAATCACCCATCCTCTCTACTTTAATATGATACCGAAGCACGCAGAAACAAACTTACTGGTGTCGAGATATGAGCGTTTGTTGGCGAGTAAACTTAGACCATACGACGCTCCTATAGGGGGCTTCTATTAGAGTATTTACGGTAAGTAAACATGCACCGAGCTTCAAAGATAATGCCATCAAGTAATCAAAACTCACAGCAGCACAGCTTCCGAAGCACGATTGATAACTGTCACTTGGTGTCAACAATTTTGGCGTGTTTCCGTTTGCGCTCAGCGATAAACCAGAGTAGCAAGCGATGGGGACAGTGTTGGGTGACTGAGTTGGGAGTCCTGTTGGTGCCGGGGGAACCTAAGCATCAATTTGTGAATGTTTATTCCTATATCACCCACTGGTTGATTATTGAAGTTACACCCATCGACATCATTGCAGCAACAGCCAGCGATTGGTTGATTGGCGTCGTTGTTGATGCTTAAGCAGCCATTGTGGAGACTCAACGCGTTGCACAGATTGTTTGACGCGCAGAAGAAGCCGTATGTGTTGTGGCCATTAACACTAAATTAGAGCCAATTATGGGAGCTATCTGATTTGGATCTGGTTAACGTTGAACTATAGAATCTAACCGCCAAGACCCACGAGGTGATAATCGTTCCGCATTGTCCATCACATTTTCCAAGCTCTCCGTAACTTCCATTGTACGATGGTCCGGTCGCTGCCAAGCCGACAAAGCATTGACTCGCGAGTTTTGGCACTGGCTTGATCAACTAAAACTTTTCGATGATGGCAATTAAAGCTAACACTCACTCCATTCGACGTGTCGATACAATCATCCCAGCTGCAGCAACAGCCACCGATCGTTGTAGAGTCGTCAGGAATAAGCTAAAGTTGTTCATGAAAAATCGACAATGCGTTTTCTAACCGTTCCACATCCGTCACCAGCCTGTCCAAAGATGGCACAGATTGCGACTGGATCACAAGAGAAGACGGTTGTTGTGTAGGAGGTGTTCATGAAAGAGGTCGAATAGGAAACCTGGATGAAAACGTGATTAAGTAAGAAAAAAATCACTCACTGATGCACAGCTGCCGACGCAAGTCATGTAGCTGTCGCTGGGCGTCAAGAGCTTTGCTGGACTTCCATTGGCACTGATTGACACTCCGGAGTAGCAAGCGATAGGGCTTGTGCCTGGAGCTGGGGTGGGGACTCCGGTTGGAGCGGGTGGAACCTGAAAGCCCATAGTTAAGAGCAATATTTTCAACACTCTAGTTGCAATTTTCCATTATGTCTGTCTAAAGCTGTTTAATGATAGTGCCCTGAAACAGTTCTACCACTTACTGGTTGATTGTTGAAGTTGCAGTTGTCAACATCGTTGCAACAGCACCCAGTGATTGGCGTTGAATCCCCATAGATCTTCAAGCATTGATTGTGCAAGTTGAGACTGTTACACAGGTTGTTCGACGCACAGAAGAAGCCGTAGGTGTTGTGGCCGTTAACGCTAAAAGATTTTTGGGATTGAAAGCTTTCCTATGATGATAACCTGGTCTCAATGGATCCACATTGTCCATCGCATCGGCCGGGTTCTCCGTAGGTTCCATTGTACGCAGGTCCGGTCACCGACAAGCCGACAAAACATTGCTTTGAAGTGCTCACTTGCGGCTTAATCAACTGAATTTAAACGTAGATAAATAGAAGACAAAATATTTTTACTCCAGTTGAAGTGTCAAGACAGTCATCAGATCCACAGCAACAGCCAGAGATCACCGTCGACGAGCTATCGGCTTGGATCTGAAGTTTTAAGATTGAGAAAGTTTTTTTTGAAGATACAACATTCTTGAATTTTGCCCTACCGTAGCACAGGTGCCATCGAGTCCGAATTGAGAGCAGAGTGCAACGGGATCACAGGAGAAAATGGTGGCTCTAACGGTCTGGTCGTTGAATGTTGATGCGTAGGTGAACTGAAGAGAAACTCTATTTCACTTAAGAGATCTCTCATTTATGAAATTAATGGTACACTTGTCAATTAGATGCAACAAGTACAACAATTGCAAATAGAACTGACTAATCGGTAAGCACCACAACTTGTCCATTTAACTGCTTTTTCCAACAGCAACTCACCGACGCGCACTCGCCGAAGCAAGTCTGATAACTATCCGGTGCGGTGACGAGTTTGCCCATGAGGTTGACACCAACATAACAAGCAATGGGCGATAGCGTTGTGGGAGCTGGGGCAAGAGTTGGGGCTGGTTTCACCTAAAATCGTATAGTTTTTCGAATCCAATCTCCACTCACATGGGCATTGTTGATGTTGCAATTGTTCGAGTCACTGCAGCAGCAAGCCTTAATGAATTCACCGTTGCTGTTGAATAGGGTATCGCAATCATTTGTCATGTTCAACCCGTCGCACACGCGATTCGTGGCACAGAAAAAGAACCATGTGTTCACGCTGTTGACACTAGAATGAGTTTAGTAAGTCTGATTTGGTGATAATCTGAAAATTTGCAAAATGCTAAAACCTCACGTGGTTTGAACGGATGCGCATTGTCCATCACAGCTTCCAGTCGACCCATAAGTTCCATTTTTCGATCCCTCCAAAGCGAAACCGACGAAGCATTGCATATCGTCTCTTGATGGTTTCACTTGCTAAACTTTTTTTAAACTGGAAGTTCGAATCAAAGCGAACGTTTTTGTCAATGTCAATACAGTCGTTCCATTCACAGCAACATCCACTGACGAGTCCGTTCGGCGTGCCGCCGCAACCGTTGTTGACGTTGAACGAATCGCAGACCTAACAAAAATTTGAGTAAAATAAAGTAATCTAGAATTTATGTGAATGGAAAAGATCAGTAAAACTTTACCGTCACTGGATCGCACGCGAAGAGTGTCGCGTTGACGGCGTTTCCTTGCAACTGTGTAGTGAGCGTAATTGAGCCGCACTGGCCACGACAAGTGATGAACGAGTTTCGATCCGAGAGCAATTTTCCGTTGACAGCAATCCCACTAAAGTAAAGTGGTGCTTTAAGTGAGTGTTTTTTCTGCACTCACCTGTAGCAAGCGATCGGTGTTCGAGCCGGTGGCACGTACGGTTGAAGCGGGTAGTTGTTCTTGTTGTTACAGTTGCTCGAATCATCGCAACAGCATCCCTCAACGAATGGAGTTGTTAGCAGGGCGACGCATTGATCGTGCATTTTCAGCGTATCGCAGAGGTAGTCAGGCGCGCAGAAGTAGCCTAAAAGCAAAACAAAAATCATGTTTAGCAACAAGTTTATAAAGGTTTAAGGCTCAATACTTACCGAAAAGATCGGCACCGTTGGCGGTGGTTTGAACGGAGACACAAGAGCCAGTGCAGGGCATCGCGGCTCCCACGAATTGTGAAATCGAATAACCTGAAATCGATCAGCTTTATAAATTTGACTGAGCTTTCTTGTCTGAATTGCCCGCATCATCAAATCCAAAACTAGCTTCACTTACCGACAAGACATGTCAAATCGTCTGGCTTGTGCGTGCTATTGTTGGGGAACGGCTTGATCTGAAATTTGCTCAAAACTTGTCGAGTTTATTTTGAATGACAGGCATAATCAGTAGCTAAGTTGGTTAATTTGCTTCTCAACATCTAAACCCACTTGTCCGTTGTTGAGTGTGTCAATGCAGTCGTCCCAATCACAGCAGCAGCCAGAGAGTGTCGTCGAAGTACCGTCGTTTTGAATCTTAAAACGGAAGTCGTTTTTGTTTTACATTGAACTAACCGTGCTGCATTTGCCAGTCGTGCCAAGCGTCGCGCAGAGAGACACCGGATCACACGAGTAAATTGTCGTGTTGAAGACTTTGCCTTGAAGCGACGTTGAGAAAGTAGCCTAAAGTGATTTTGAATTCTGGTCACTGAAATTTTTTCACTTACCGATGCACAATTGCCTTGACAAGTCGTGTAGCTGTTTGCGTCGGTGAGCACAATGTTGTTGATGCCGAGACCCGAGTAGCAGGCGATTGGTGAGCGATTGTCGGGAGCACCGGTGGCTGGTGGCACTGGTGTACCGACCTAGGATTTATCTCTATACTTGGGTTTAGTTTATGATTACGGTAACATTTAGTTCTTGGACTACGGGTTACGGCAGACACGTCATGTTCCCCAAGTCTTTAAAAGCCAGAACTTAATCCTTACCTGGGCATTGTTGATGTTGCAATTGTTGTCGTCACCGCAGCAGCACCCGGTGATCGATGACTAAAGCACTGCTTTAATTAGCATCATCACAATTATTGCTTTTATGGAAAAATTGTCACTCACTCCAGAATCGGTGAAAATCGTGGTGCAGTCGTTCGTCATATTCAATCCACCGCAGAGTTTCGTCGATGCGCAGAAGTAACTCCAACCCATAACACCATTGAAGCTAAAGAAGGTGATAAAAGAGATCCGCTTGAATCAATCTTACATGGTCTGAATGCTGGCACAGTTTCCATCGCACGGCATCGAATCTCCGTAAGTCGTCGACTTATTGTTGTTGTTGGTGTCCTCGAGGGTGAATCCAACATAGCATTGCAAGTTGTCCCTTGAGGGTTTCACTCTCTAAAATGGTCTCTTGAATTTACTGACACCGAGGTACATTTTGGAACTTCTTAACAAGCCATTGATCGCGTTGTGAAATTAGATTTCCCATGATTAGCTATTTTTATGTAATTGCTAACCGGGTTGTTTATATCAATACAATCATTCCACGAGCAACAACACCCGCTAACGCCTCCTTTATCTCCTTGTCGAATCGAGCCACACGAATCTTTCAAGTTGAAAGCACCGCAAATCTACAATTCTTTTTTTTTCCCAAAATTTCTTTAATCACTCACATTGACTGGATCACAAGTGAACATCGTAGCATTGTAATCATTGCCGGCTACCGTTGCGCTAAATGTGATCGATCCGCAGTCACCACGGCAAGCCATATATTGATTTCCATCTTGCAAGAGTTGATTGTTCAATGAGAGGCCGCTGAAAATTGAAAGTCACAGTTTAACATCAAATTCTCTTACTTGTAGCAAGCAAGTGGTGGCCGATTCTGGGGCACGTATGTCGGAACGGTGACATTGTCGGCGATGGCATTGCAGTTGTTGTCCCAATCACAGCAACATCCTTTCACATAGAGAGATGAAAGCACCGAAGCACAATCGTTGTGTACGCCGAGGGTTTTGCACAAGGAACGCGAGGCGCAGAAGTAGCCTGCAAGTTGGGAACTCGTAACGAGAGTCAGGCTTTGGCTTTAATTAGAGTTAGCTTTGAGTTACGGAGTTGCAAGGACATTGATAGCAGCTATTTTTCCCAAACCCACCAGCGGCATGCACTCCATTGACGGTCGTCTCCAGAGATCCGCACTCTCCATCACATGGCATCGATCCACCCACCATGTAATCGGTTCCAACAGTGACTCCTAAACTTTAGATATAAAACTTTTAAAACCGATTCACTCACCGACGAAACAGCTCAATGAATTGTTTCCATTAGGGTATCGGTTATTGTACGGGTTAATGCAAACATCACTGTCACAGCAACACCCAGAGATCACTCCATCAATGTTTTGGCAACTGAACGGCAATTGTTAACAAAGCTCAACTAGTTTAAGTACCTTTTCGAGATACTTCGAATCCAACATTATTGTAAAATCAGGTCTGACAAGCTCCATGAAATTTTTAGCCTACTTGTTGATGAGTCCGAGTTGTCGACAGAGGTCGGCGGGATCGCAAGTGAACAAGGTGACATCGTGACGCTCGCCACCTTAAATTTGGTTTGGCTTGGTTTGGTTATTTGGCAGAGTACTTAATGACAGAGCAATCATCTCTAAACTTTCCTAGATGACTCTAATAACAAGATAACTCTTACCAACGGTCGTGGGTAAAGTGATCGACGCGCAATCTCCATCACAGGCCACAAATCCGCCGCTCATCGATTGATTGTTGATGTATAAGCCTTGGAAACAGGCGATCATTTGGGTGGGTTGGACAGTAGCATCAGGTGCGACCTGAAGAGGATAGACTTCGATCTTACAATTAGCAACTTGTCAGATTTGGTATACCTATGCCAGAGAATAGGCTTGTAGTAGGTTTATCTTATGTAAGGTGTGCAACCTACCGTTGGAATATCCCTGTTCCTTATGTTGCAATTCGCTGAATCGTCACAGCAGCAGCTCGACAGAATTTGATCCCCAATTGAGGTGGTGTCACATCGGTTGACCGTATCGAGAGCTTGGCAGAAAGATCGTTGGGCACAGTAGAAGGCTTCCACCTAGAATTTGCAAACTTTTCGTAAGATTTCAGCTCTATTTGAGGCTTAATGCAAAAAGTTCCCCTTGCCGCATATCCGTTGAGCATCGTGGACCCCGATGCGCACATCCCATTGCAATAATTCTGGGTTCCAGCGTTGAAAACGGCGTTTGTTGTTGTATTTTTGATGTTCACTCCGATGTAGCACTCGATCCAGTCACTCGCCGGGTTGTCTAGAATTGTTTCAGCGTTTTCTATCGCTCGATTCCGCTCTGAGACAAGTTTAGGACTGGACTATAAAGTAATAGGCAAAGTGATTCCAAATGCAACTCAACCAGATCCTAAACTACCGTTGCTTAGTCTGGATCTGTTGTAGACTTATTCGGCTTACATTCCTAGAGTCTATTTGGAATCTCCCCTGCTCACAGACATACCAGGGCTCACTGGTGGCACTCTCGTTGGATCAATGCACGCATCCGTGTCACAACAGCATCCATAATAAGTGTTGTTGTCAACTCCAGCACATTTGTTATTGAGTCCATATCCACGGCAAATCGTCGCCGGGTCACACGAGTAAAGGGTCAAGTCAAGATCGGAGTTGAGCTAAATTAAAGCGCTGATGTCAAAAAAAGTGAACTTTAACTCTGTACTGCTTATGGAATACATTCCCACCTGCCACTTGAGTGATGCGCAATTCCCTTGACAAGCCACATATTCTCCGCCAGTGATCAGCGCACCGCTGAGGTGAATTCCCGAGTAGCAAGCGATTGGCACTCGATTGTCGGTGGGAAGTGGTGGGATATCGGTGACATGGAACTAAGAAGAAATATTAAAAGGAAATTATTCCGGCTCACGTCAAGCGCGTTGCAGTTTGACCTCTCCTCACAGCAGCATGCGGTTAGGTTTCCGCCGACGGTGATGCAAGCCTCGTAGGGATCGGTGGCATTCTGAATGACATCAGTTTTCAGAGTGACTTGATAAGTTAATAGGTCTTGATTTTCACATTTGATTGAACGATTTGTGGCTTATGGCTTAAGGTTTCTGAAAGCTTGCTTTAAAGAAAACCCTAGATCTTCTAGGAATTCGGAAATTAACACGTTCCCGACGATACCAGGTGGGCCGTACTAATGACGATTATTTCTGGTATCAACTCGAGTTTTTAAGGATTTTTGTTATTTATTTCACAGAAAGTTCTCGGTAACTTTGTACTGGTTTTCAAGAGGAGATTCGAAGCTATCGAATGACTATAGTAGTTTCGTTTATCTTTGAATTTTCACTAAATTATCGGTAAAACAGTTAACGACTACACGACTGTATGCCCAAAATACCGACGTCGCGAAGAATGTGTTAACGGTATTCTCATTTCCCCCTATTCACCTTCAAGAAAGCAGCACAAAGGCCACGCGGAGCACAGAAAAACGCTTCTGAGTCGAGCCCGTTGGCAGTTGTTTGAAGCGTTCCACAAGCGCCATCGCATTGTTGAATCCCTCCAACCGTAAACATGCCGTGCTTGAGACCCACATAGCAAGTGAATGTGAAATTTTGTAAAGGTTCGATGATCTCGTCGAAAGTAGCTAAATAGAATAATTGCTTATTGGTACATAGATCATTTATGGGCAATTTTTGAGCTGGATTGAAATTCTCTGCTTTTTCCTGCTTTTCCCTGACATTAATATTCATAAATCAAGCATTCTCATCATCAACTTTACATTTTAATTTGCTTGAGTCACTTCAATTTTGGTACTTTGCCCTACTACCCTTACAACTAGAAGTATTGATCGTGTACACATTCTTTTTACAAATTTTATCAGGTACATTCCTTGCATTCTCCTGCTTCCTTTCCCCAAACTTTGACCGATTGTAAATCTCCTGCAAAATGCACTCACGTAGTCCGAGCCCGGGAAGTGTATTGCACAAGTCCTCTCCACAGAGAACGCCCGATAAGATCGTTTTCCGGGTCTTGTACTAAACACAGAAACTCAATAGACCAAGAATCTAGCTTAAGAACTTTCTTTATGAGAGAAAGAAAATCAAAATCAGAACAAAACGAACCTTTTCTTCGCATCCAAAAATATGCAACTCTTCTCCGTCCAAAAGTGAAGCGGTCACCGTGTTACACACTCCTTGACAGCTTTTCTAAAAAAATAATTGGTGAAAGCGCGGAAACAACTCAATTGTTAACTTCAGTGCTAATTTATATACTTTTTATTCTTGTCGGCCAATGCTAGGAAGGTTAATTTGGTCTAATTTGAACCACGTGTCTAGCCTGAATAGCTTGCAAAAACTTATACTCCAGTTCAGTATGTCCAGTGGGTAATTTCTAGCACTGCACTCTACAGTAAGCTATACGTTATATCTATCTATTGTTTACGTAGTAGCCTTTACTCTATGTAATTAAGTTTCCGCATTACTGACAGCTTTTATGTGACTGGTGAGAATGTTTCCTTGTCGATCGGTGGTAGCTGAGCCGGAATTGCAGAGAATATCCGCCGAAACTGAGCCGATCAGGGCCACAAAGGCCAACAAGGAATAATGACCCATCTAGAAATACAGTGGTTATAAGCTAGTATTTTTGAAGTACGAATTTGAAAATAAAGATTGGAAAAACACCGTGAAAATCATTGTTAAGGTTAGTGATTTTGGCTTCAGATAAAGCAAGACTTTTGATTTTAGTAGTATAGATTTGGTACTGTTCAAGGAAAGGAAATTGATCTTAAAGTACTGTTTTCAGTTTTACAAAGAAAATCGGGTCTTTCTCGACTAAAATGCGTTTAGGAGAAGTTACCATTCTTTGGCTGTTGTTCGAGCATTCTAAAGGGGTTACCGTAGCCCGGTTGCTTTTTCTTTTGTCTTTTACCCACTCTAGAAGCAATAACAACGAGCTAAATGCTAACTAAGAACAATGGGGTTACGGTACGGCTCAAATCAGTATTCAGAAGAAAACCGAAAGCAATCTCTTCTACAGCTATAGAAAACCCTGGAAACAATAGTCAATGAGAAAAGAGGCTTAGATCTCTTTGATCGATCATCATCAATGCACAACAAAGACTCAGAAAATGAAGTGAAATTAATCTACCAAGCCCATAGAGCCACAATAATCCGCTCGTAAATCGGATTGAAAATCTGAAGAACTGATAAGCCGCCGTCAAACCCATTTATTCACACTTCGCCCCTCGTTTATCAAATGTGGGCATAAG